TTAATTAAAAAGTAACTTTTATACTTTTTTAAATTTCTTTCTTTTTTATAATATTTAAATAAAAATACTTTAATAATATAATTATTATAACCTTAAATTTCTTATAATAAAGTTATTTATAATTATTATAAATATATATTAATAATATATTAATTTATATTATAATAAAATATTTAAATTAAAAATAAAATAAAAAGTATATTAATAATATTTATAAAAAAATATATAACTATTAAGTTTAATAATAATAAAATCTATTAATTTATTAATTATTTTAATAACTAATTTTAAATAACTTTAATAAGTATTTTTAATACTTTTATAAAACTTTTAAAAATTAAAGTAATTACTTTAAGTAAATTAAATTAAAACTTTTAAAAACTTTTATAATAACGTTTATTTTAATAATATTTATATTAAACTAAATAAGTTATTATTTAAAGCTCTACTTATCTTTATTTAAATTTTATACTTTAATAAAAGAGATATTATAATTATTTATATAGTTAATTAAATAAAAATAAAATCTTTTAATAAAATTAAAGATTAATAAAATAAATAATAATCTATATAAATAAAATAATATTATACTTAATAAGAAGAAATTATATTTATTATATAAAAACTATTCTTTTTAATATAAAGTTAAAAGACTTATAATTATAATTTTCTAATTAATTTTTATTTAATTAGCTTTTTTACTATAACTTAATTTAGTTTTAACTTAATTTAAACCTTTTTAAGCTATATAAATATTTTTATTTCTATAAATATAAATATTAAATTAAAACTTTTAAACTTAAATTTAAAATTCTTATAAATCTTAATTTTCTTTAAATTAAGTTTATAATTTTAACTTCTTTAAAAATATATTAATTATTTTAAATATAAATAACTTTTTTAAAGTAAAGATCTATTTTTATATAATTATAAATCTAATTATTAATAGTAATTTCTTTTTTATAGAGCTATTAAAACTATAAACTTAGATAATAAAGTATAATTATCTTACTTAATTGTCTCTTAGTTTATATAGTAGGTTAAGTGACTGCTTTTAAGTGGTTTTACTTATAAAGCTAATAGATAGGTGTTTATTTATAAAGTAGAGTTAGAATTCTTAGGAAAATAATAGCTTTATTTTTACTTATTTTAGTTAACTTATATTTATACTTAAATTATATAGTAAATTTAATACTTATATATAGTATTTATTAGTATTAAATTAACTTATAGTTTATAATAATTTTAACCTTTAATAGATTAATAGTATTAACTTAAATTAAATAAATATAGTTTAATATATTAATATATAATAATAAATAGTATTATAAGTAATTATAAAGTTATTATAAAAGTTTTATATAGTAAACTTAATTAAATTAATCTTTAAAAATATATTATATTTTATTTTTTAAAACTTTAACTATTTACTTTTAATTTAATAGTAAAATTAAAAATATATAAATAGTTTATATAAAGAAATTATTAAAAATTAATTAATTAAAGATTAATAGTTAATATTAATTAATAATAATTTAATAATTAATTAATTAATTAATAATTTAAATAATTTAAATAATTTAAATAATTTAAATAATTTATAAAATATTAAGTTTAAATATATTTTAAGTATTCAAATTAAATAAATTATAATTATATATTTAATAATAATTTTAAGTAATTGAAGTAATTTAATTAAAATTTATTTTATTAATAAATAAAGCTTTTAATTAGTTAAAAGAAGGGATAAAAGACTTTAATTTTAAAGAATTAAAAGGTTATTAATATAAAAATAATAAACTATAATAAATTAACTATTATAAAATTAATAGACTTATATATATATATAAACTACTTAGTTTAATTAATAAGTTTAATTAACTTAATTAAGTATTTTACTATTTAATTAAATAGATCTTTAACTATTATTAATATATACTATTTTATTTAATTATTTATATATAAATTAAACTAATTAATAATTATATTATATTTTATTATTATTATTAATATATTTTTAAATATTATATTTTAAATATTTATTATTATATAAAATATTATATATATATATATATTATATTATTTTAAAATATAAAATTTAATAATTTATAATTAAAATATTTTAATTCAAAACTTTTAAATTTAAATATAAAATTTTATAAACCTTATATATAAACTTTAAATAAAAATAATTAATTAAATAAAAATAATTAATTAAATAAAAGAAAAATTAAATAAAAATTAAAATAAATAAATAAAAATAAAATAAAATTATAATATAATATAAAAATATAATATATTTAAAATCTTTTTAAGTATAAAGTTAAAAGATTTATAATTATAAAATTTTAATTAATTTTATTTAATTATTTTATTATATTATAACTTAATTTAATTTTTAATTTAATTTAAATTTTTTTAAATTTCTTTAAACTTTTATTTTTAAATAAGTTAAAGCTTTATATTCTTTAAGCTTAAATTTAAAATTCTTATAAATTTTAATATACTTTAAATTAAATTTATAGTTTTTAATTTTTAAAAATATATTAACTATTTTAAATAATAATAACTTATTTTTAAAATAAAGATTTACTTTTATATAATTATAAATTTAATTATTAATAATTTCTTTTTTATAAACTATTAAAACTATAAATTTAAATATTATATATAATAATAAAATATAGCTACTTTATTTAATTATTTTTAGTTTATTTAAGTAATTACTTTTAAGTAGTTTTATTTATAAAGCTAATAGATAGATATTTACTTAAATAAAATTAGAATCCTTAAAAGAATAATAGCTTTTATCTTTATTTATTTTAATTAAATTATATTTATTTAAGTTATATAATAATCTTATATATAATATTTAATAATATTAAAACTAAGTAGCTTATAGTTTATAATAGCTTTAACTTTTAATAAGTTAATAGTATTAGCTTAAATAGATTAAGTATAGCTTAATATATTAATATAAAAAGTTTTATATAATAAACTTAATTAAGTTAATCTTTAAAATTATATTATATTTTATCTTTTTAAAACCTTAACTATTTACTTTTAACTTAATAATAAAACTAAAAAAATATAAATAATCTATATATTTAAAATATTTAAAATTTATTTAGAATTAATAATAATATATTATATAGTTAAGAAATAATATGCGTTAGTGGGGATGTATGTAGACCGGTCTAAGTACTTAGTACGGGATACTGTAATAGGAGCGTGACTGCTACTCAACGCTCTGCCGCCCGGCCAAAAGACCACAATAACCAATCTACCATACTTAGGTAAATTATCTCAACCAGTATAAATTATCTCAACCAGTACATAAGACCCGTACAGTCACCATAACCTGCACCCCTAGTGCAACAACCTTGGCTCAAACTACTACCTCACTACTGGTTTCGCTTCTATTCCGTAAACATCCGAGGACATATATGGCGCCTTCATTCGGTGGTAAACGCTTAAGACCCAGCGTTTAAAAAATAGAATGCCAATAACAGTGTATAGAGAATACAATACGTGTCAGCCTTGGTATAACTTTTGATCATGCCGCTGCGGCAGAAGACAGCATGACTATGTCGAAGCGCACAGCCCTGCGATTCAGAATCTATCTATATTTGTGCAGAAGACGCCATTCGCACGTACACAAGATAGAAGCGAAACTAGCCGATACCAGATTGTGCAGCGTTCACACTGCATTACGTAGACTGCCTTTCCTGAGAAGGGCCATTTTGGGCTAACAACCTTGGAAGTTTGCTTTCTATCACTCTCACATTTTGCAGGCGTGGATTGGGAAAGACGGCTCGCACAAGCAGAGTAAAGTGAAACATTGCCTTTTGCCGCTGGAATCCCACCCACGGAGGCGAAGGTCAGTCGGTGGTTGTGGGACTTTGGCCGGACTCAACGGGATGTTAGGAAATACTCTTCTGCACAGTATAGGAGGGAAAGTATCCGCTTCAGATCTAGGAGGGTCACAAGGAGGTAGGAACAAGCTTTAAAGAAGACCTTCTAGATATGGATTGGATCGGCGTCAGCACGGTGAACGTGATCTGCATTTGGGCGCGTGCGCCTTGCACGACCGGATATGAGATGGAAATTGTCGACGCTTGCACTGCATTATCAAGTGGTCACCACTGCCGTGTCCACCGCCAAAATGACCATTGCTGACCACCTGCGCAAGATGTTGGTCTCTGTGTACAGTCATAGATAAGTAGGCCACAGCAATACGGCCCCCTATCACGATATCTCGGTGCCGGATTGTTACCTTGCTGCAATCCCCACTATTGGCCGTTCTGCCTTACCCAATCGGGCAGGTCTCGGGTCTCATTGTCACGCTCAAGGGTTGTCAGGCCGAGGCAATACGAATGTGGTGAATAGTAGTGTATGCAGACACTATTTTTCTGTTTATGCCAAGATTCTGGGACTTGTTGAACATATTCTTTGAGACAATCCGAGTCGGCACTCTATGCCGCGCTCGAAGTGTCAACTTGTAATGAGTTTTTTTGCCCCGAGATTCGGCACAAGGTATTATCTGTGGCCTGAAGGCGTCGCAGGTCTTAGGACATCCCTCCCCGACCCTGATTGGGAGCGGCTCCATCAAGGGCGCTGCAGTAGTGTTCGCCAAGCTTTGGCGGTGCATCGAGTCATATCAAAGGCTTGCATCCAACATATATTACTCCATCTTGGCGATGCAAGTGACTGCCTCATTCAGCTACCGTGAACCAGTCACCTTCGAGTTGGCCCTTGCGTACCGGATGCCAAGATAATAGTCCCCGGAACTGGTGCGAGCAGCGACGGGCTCAACTCCAAATGGGAAGTTGGATATGGCTTCTCGTACGGGTCGTTGGAGCCCCAAACTCTGCGGCTGTCTGTTTGCTGACCGCGATTGATTATTATAAGAACTCGAACTCCCCATAATGGGTACTGACGGAGATGATGCTGGTTGGTAGCATCCTCAACGTCGTTTCTCAGCATCGTTGCTAGTCGCCATGCAGTCACTCGTTCTCCTCGGCCTGTTGGGCAGTTCTGCCCTTGCACATCCAGCTGTTCAAAGTGCCAACAAGAAGACGTGGAAGCCGACGCTGTCCAAAAGATTGGTCGATCTTGACCAGTTTCGCCCAGGCACTGTTGCTAGCTACGTCAATGCAACTGAGACTAGCTCCAGTCCAGAGACAAAGCTGATCAAGCGTGATGACTTCGTTGCCACTGCCACCGCACTCGTGAAGTCTAAAGTCCCTGATACCGAGTTCCGGGTCTATGATAGCTACATCAGCACAAACGGCATTGGTCATGTCTACTTCCGACAGACAATATTTGGCCTCGACGTTGACAACACCGATTTCAACGTGAACGTAAGTCAAATATCAAGAGCAAAAATGGATTGAGTGCACAACTGACATCGATACTAGATCGCAAAGGACGGCTCAATCTTCTCCCATGGCAACAGCTTCTACACTGGGGCTCTGCCAGAGAGTAGCCCCTTGATGAAGCGTGGCTTCAAGGACCCAGTGGCTGCTCTCAACGCCGCCAACTCCATTCTGCAGCTGGACGTCAAGGCCGATGGCGCTACTGCTGAAGCCAAGGACGGAGTTGAGACGTACAACATCGTTGGCACAACGGGAGCCCAGTCCGACCCCGAGGCCCGTCTGCTGTACTTTGTCAAGGACGACGGAACCCTGGCACTGACGTGGAGAATCGAGACTGACATCTCGAGTGATTGGTTACTGTCATATGTCGACGCTGAGACGGCCGAAAAGGTCCACGGTGTGGTCAACTACGTCGCCAGAGCCCATGAGAAGTTGGTTCCCAAGCAGGCCGATATCAGCGCCACTTACCTGGTCTAGTAAGCTTCCTAAGATCCTGCCGTAATTCCATGTGCTAATATCGTGAAAGTCCGTGGGGTGTCAACGACCCTGACGAGGGCAGCCGTGAGGTGGTCAAGGATCCCTGGGTTCTCAAAGACTCACCCTTCACCTGGCACAATGATGGTACCAAGACTTATGACACAACCTGGGGAAACAACGCTGCTGCCCAAGTTAACCCAACTGGTGCTACCTGCGATACCTGCTACACGGGCAACTACCGCCCGGAGTCTCCCAATTTCGACTTCGAGTATGACTACTCCCCATCCATGGCTGACCCAGAGAGCTATTGTACGTGTCACAGAACTTTTACCGGACACCAACGCATTCCGCTGATATTTTGTAGACAACGCATCGGTCACACAGCTGTTTTACTCGGTGAACACATACCACGACCTACTTTACGAGCTTGGCTTCACTGAGTCGACGTACAACTTCCAAACCAGCAACGATGGAAAGGGAGGCCAGGGCAGTGATTTTGCAATTGTCAATGCCCAAGACGGGGCTGGAACTAACAATGCGGACTTCAGCACACCTGCAGATGGTCGCCCAGGCCGTATGCGCATGTATTTGTGGACAGAGAGTACTCCAGTCCGCGACTGTGCGTTCGAGGCCGGAGTGGTCATCCACGAGTACACCCACGGCGTTTCCAACCGGCTGACCGGCGGTGGCACTAACACCAGGTGTCTGACTGGTGTCGAGTCTGGTGGTATGGGTGAAGGCTGGGGAGACTTCATGGCAACTGCAATTCGTCTGAAGGAAACCGACACGAGAGCAACAGACTACTCTATGGGCGCGTGGGTCTACAACAACCCTGCCGGGATAAGGGCGTACCTGTTCAGCACTGACATGACGACAAATCCTTACACCTACACGAGCGTCAACGGAAAGACCGAGGTTCACAGCGTCGGCACCATCTGGACCACAATCCTCTACGAGGTCCTCTGGAACCTGATCGATAAGCACGGCTTCAACGCCGCCGCTAAGCCGACTTTCGACAGTGCTGGCGTGCCTACTGATGGACGGTACCTTGCCATGAAGCTCGTCATCGACGGCATGTCTCTGTAAGTTGCTATCCCTGATTTCACTTGCTGGTCCAAGTACTCATTTGATGCCACAGGCAACCTTGTAACCCAACCATGGTCTCGGCCCGAGACGCCATCATCGACGCTGACTTGGCTCTGACCGGTGGTGCGAACGCCTGTGAGCTTTGGACCGGATTCGCTAAGCGTGGCCTGGGCCAGGGTGCAGTGTACAACTCCTCGAGGAGGACTGAGAGCTTCGTCGTTCCCAGCGGCGTTTGCTAGACTTTGGAGGATAGAAGCTGTATATAGATATGTTCCGTACCACAGCATAGCTATGATTTAATACTGGCTTCCTGTCTTGTCGTTATACGACTGTTAGATATATAAAATAAATTATAATAAAAAAAGGTTAAATAACTATAAATATAAGTAAGCCTATTATTATATACTATAAGATATTAAAATAGATATTAATAGTTAAAATATTATTAAATATTAATAATATTTATTATAATAATATTATATAAAATTATTAATATTTTTAAGTTTAAATTTAAACTTTTAATAATTTTAATATATTTAAAATTAATTTTAAACTTTTAATATTATTTGAAATATATTAATTATTTTAAATATAAAAGATTTTTAAAATTTTAAATATATTTATTTATATATTATTAAATTAATAAATTAAATTAATAAATTAAATTAATAAATTAAATTAATAAATTAAATTAATAAATATAATTATATTATTTATTAATTATATTTTAATTTATTTTAAATTTTAAATTTTAAATTTTAAATTTTAATTTATTAATAAAATATAAATATTATAAATAATTAATATCTTTTAATATAAAACTAAAAGTTTTATAATTATAATTATATAATTAATATAATTTAATATAAATTTTTTATAATTTTATAATTTTTATTTTAAATAAATTATAAATTTATATTTTAAAATTTAAATTTAAAGTTTTAATAAATTATAATTTATTTTAAATTAAATTTATAATTTTAAATTTTAAAAATATATTAATTATTTTAATAATAATAAGATTTTAAAAATAAAAATATATTTTATATAATTATTAATTTAATTATTAATATTATATATATATATATATATATAATATATATAATAATAAAATATAATTATTTTATTTAAAATTATATTTTAATTTAATAAAAGTATAATAAATTAAATAATAACTTTAAAATATTTTTATAATATAATAAAGTTAATAAATAAATATTTATTTATAAAATAAAGTTAAAACTTTATTTAAAAATAAATTTATTTTTATATATTTTAATTAATATTTAATATATATAATTTATTATATTAATATAAAAATACTTTTAATAATAAATAATATTATAAATATTATAACTTTTAAATATAAAATTAAAATTTATAATTATAATTTTAATTAATTTTATTTAATTATTTTATTATATTATAATTTAATTTAATTTTATTTAAACTTTTTTAAACTTTTAATATTTTTTTAAAAAAATTAAAATTTAAAAAAACTTTTAAACTTAAATTTAAAAGTTTTATAAATTTTAATTTTTAAAATTAAACTTATAATCTTTTAATTTTTTAAAATATATTAATTATTTTAAATATTAATAATTTTTTAAAATAAAGATTTATTTTATATAATTATAAATTTAATTATAAATAATTCTTTTTATTTTTAATAAAGTTATTAAAATTATAAATTTAAATATTATATATAATAATAAAATATAATTATTTTATTTAATTATTTTTAATTTAATAAATTAATTAAATAATTATTTTTAAATAAATTTATTTATTTTTAAATTTATTAAATAAATATTTATTTAAATAAAATTAAAACTTTTAAAAATAATAAATTTATTTTTATTTATTTTAATTAATTTATATTTAAATTATATAATAATTTTATATATAATATTTAATAATATTAAAATTAAATAATTTATAATTTATAATAATTTTAATATTTAATAAATTAATAATATTAATTTAAATAATTTAAATATAATTTAATATATTAATATAAAAATATTTTTAATAATAAATAATATTATAAATATAATAAATTATAAAGTTATTATAAAAGTTTTATTTAATAAATTTAATTAAATTAATTTTTAAAAATATATTATATTTTATTTTTAAAAACTTTAATTATTTATAACTTAATAATAAAATTAAAAATATAAATTATTATAAATAATTATAAAGTTATTATATAAAAGTTTATATAATAAATTTAATTAAATTAATTTTAAAAATATATTATATTATATTTATTAAAACTTTAATTATTTATTTTTAAATTAATAATAAAATTAAAAACTATAAATAATTTAAAAATAATTAAAATTTAAAAATATAATATTATATATTTATAAAACTTAAATTAATTAAATTTATTATATAAAATATTTTATAATAACTTTATATTTATTATATTAAAATATTATATATTATTAAAATATATTTTATATTAATTTAAATTATTATATTAAAATTAAATTTATCTTAAATTATAAATTAATTTAATATTAATATATATTATATTAAAATATTAAATTTATAATATAATTTAAATAAATTAATTAAAATAAATAAAAATAAAATTATTATTTCTTTAATTAAAGTTTTAATTTTATTTAAATAAATATTTATTATATAAAATTATTTAAAATTAATTATTTAATTAATTTATTAAATTTAATTATATATTTTATTATATAAATTTATTATTTTAATAGTTTTATTATAAATAAATAAAAATAAATTTTAATAATTATATTTATAATTATATAATAATAAATTTTATTTAAAAGAAATTATTAATATTTAATATAATTAATTTTAAAAATAAAAGAAATTATAAATTTAATTTAAAGTAAATTAAAATTTATAAATATTTTTTAAAAATTAATATATTTATTTATATATAACTTTATTAATATATATTATTTTAAAATATATAATATATTATTATTAATTTTATATATATTTTAAAACTTTATATTAAATATATAATATTAATATAAATAAATAATATAAAATAAAATAAAACTATTATATAAATATTAATATTAATAATAATAAATTAAATTATATAAAATTTATATTTTAATTAATAAATAAATATATTAAATATTTTATAAAAATAAATTACTTTATTAAAATCTTTATAATTTATTTATATATAAAATTAATTTTATATAAAAAATAAAAAGTAATATTTTAAAAAATTATTTAAAATTAAAAATTCCTTTTAAAGTTTTTTATTTAATATAAAAATATTTTATAAACTTTAAATTATTATAAATAAATATTTATAAATAATATATATTATTTATTATATATATTAAATTTATTAAAAATATTAAAATTAAAATTTAAAATGTTTTTATTTATAGAAAATTAATAGAATTAATTATTAAAGATTTAAAAAAATAAAATAAATTCTTTTACCTTTTTACTCTATTCTTTTAAATCTTTAATAATTAATTTTATAAACTTTTATAAATAAAAATATTTAAAATATAAATAAATATTATAATAATATATATTTTTATTTTTTAAATATAAAACTAAAAGATTTATAAATATAAAATTTTAATTAATTTTTATTTAACTATTTTATTATATTATAACTTAATTTAATTTAATTTAAATCTTTCTTTAAATTTCTTTAACTTTTTATTTTTAAATAAGTTAAAACTTTATATTTTAAATTTAAAATTAAATTTTTAATAAATTTTAATATATTTTAAATTAAGTTTATAATTTTTAACTTTTAAAAACTATATTAATTATTTTAAATAATAATAACCTTTTTAAAAATAAAGATTTATTTTATATAATTATAAACTTAATTATTAATAGTTATTTCTCTTTTATAAAGTTATTAAAATTATAAATTTAAATAATAAAATATAATTACTTTATTTAATTATCTTTTAGTTTAATAAATTATTTAAATAACTATTTTTAAATAGTTTTACTTATAATATAGTAAAGTTAATAAATAAGTATTTATTTAAATAAAGTTAGAACTTATATATATTCCTTAAAGAAATTATAGCTTTTATTTTTATTTATTTTAATTAACTTATATTTATACTTAAATTATATAATTTTATATATAATATTTAATAATATTAAAACTAAATAGTTTATAATTTATAATAGTTTTAATTTTTAATATATTAACTTAAATAAATATAGTTTAATATATTAATATAAAAGGTATTTTTAATAATAGATAGTATTATAAATAATTATAAAGTTATTATAAAAGTTTTATAAAATAAATTTAATTAAATTAATTTTTAAAAATATATTATATTTTATTCTTTTAAAACTTTAACTACTTACTTTTAACTTAATAATAAAATTAAAAATTTAAACAATTTATATATATTTTTATAATAAAATATAATAATTATTCTATTTAATTAAAATAAAAATTAAAATTTAATATCTTAATTAATTCTTTAATAAATTATTAGTTATTTAATTAAAAATTAAAGTTTAATAATTTATTTTAATTTATAATAATATTTATTAATTATTTAAATTTTTTATTATAAATAAAAATCTAATATTTAATAATATTAAATTTATTATTATAAGATTTTATAAACTTAAATAAAGTATATTAAAATTGATTCTTTTAATAGGAAATATATATATATTAATAAGAATATATATAGATTAATATATTAACTTATTAAATAAAGTTATAATAATATAATATAATTAAATAAAATATTAATTATAAAATTATAATTATAAGTTTTTAACTTTATATTAAAAAAGTTATATTTAAATATAAAGTTAATTATTTAAAGTTAAAGTTATAAAAATATATTAATATTTTAAAGTAATAGAAAAATAAAAGTTAAAATAAAAAAAGTATTTATATTTAAAGAGTAGGTAGAATTTAAGCTACTTATATTACTTAGTTAGGTAGGTACTAAGCTTTTATATAAATCTATTATTTTACCCTATTATTCCGTGTGTAATAGCTATATATCCATCATACTTAGTAAGTAAATCGCCTTCTTTTCTCTCGCTATTTTGTGCATATGCACGTCATGCTCATCCATGTGCCAGTGTGTCAACCGCTCTCGTGCTTCTACGTGGTCAAAATAAGGTTTAACTCCCGCACACCCGTGCGCCCGGGCGCTCGTCCTCTCCGGGCTCCAGGAAAATAAGTTTCCCCTATTCTCCTCACCTACAACTGGAGAAGCTGGAGTCTATAACTGAGACCGAGGGAGCATTCTCCAACTCGCTCAGAGCCCGTAATAGCATTTCCAGTGGCCCGCTGCGACCACGTAGGTAAAGGTGAGCGTCTCAACTTGCGGGGAAATACTACTCCTGGCCGGACTTCCGGTTGTCAGTGCTCAGTGTTATGAGACATCAGGTCACACATAAAAGTGAGCTCGCCATTCAGTCCTCCCCCAGTGAAGCATCGACTTCGAAAGTATCTACTCCTAAATCGCCTTTACCGCGCAAAAGCTCTCACAGCAGTCTTGAAGTCTAACGTTGTCATGGCCCCCAGCCGTATTGATCCTCAGAGTGGAGGTGTACTAGATCAGAAGACTAGTGCCAGCCTAAAGTCCAAATGGCCTGTCTCCGAAGATCTCTACGGGTCTGACTTACCGTGTCGCGTCCAAGGCGAGGTGGCGGACCTTGTTGTCCTGGGCGACATTCCGCCAGAGATCGACGGCACCTTCTATCGAGTCACTGTTGACCCATACGTACCTCCCCATCCGCGGAACGTGCCCCTAGATGGTGATGGCAACATCACGGCGCTCCGTTTTGAAGACGGGAAGGTCGACCTGAAAGTGCGCTATGTCGAAACTGAGCGATTGCAAATCGAACGCAAGGCTGGAAAGGCTATGTTCGGCTTATACCGCAACCCATTTTCGCATCATCCATGCGTGAAGGCTGCAGTGGACTCGACGGCCAACACAAACTTGGTGCTTTGGGCGGGTAAATTTCTGGCCTTGAAAGAGGGAGGTCTTCCATATCAGGTCGACCCGCACACCCTGGATACCATCACATATGATCCTTTCCAGGACCAGGGGATCAAGTCGAAGACGTTCACTGCGCATCCGGTAAATTTATCTCATGATTTCATCTGTGCGAATCGCGAGCTAAGCAGTTATTCAGAAGATCGACCCCTTCAGCGACGAGCTCGTAGTCCATGGGTATGAGGCCAAAGGACTCGCAAGCACCGACATTGTCGTTTACGCCCTGGACAAGGATGGCAAAAAGAAGGATGAGCAGTGGATCAAGAGTCCGCGGTGTGGGCCAATCCACGACTGTGCCATCACTCCCAATTGGCTAATCTTGGTCATGTGGCCGTTCGAGGCTAACGTTGAGAGGATGAAGAAAGGCGGCCATCACTGGGCCTGGAGCTACGACTTGCCCGCCACTTTCATCGTGGTTCCGAGACGCAAGAGTACCAAGCTCCCGGATGGATGGCAGGAGGGCGAGTACAGGGTCTACCACGATCGGAATGTGATGCTAATCCACACGGCCGGGGCTTGGGAGGCAGATGACGGCAACACGCTCTTTATCGAGACGACAAGAGTCCATGACAACGGATTCCCCTTCTTCCCACCCGATGATGGAAGGATGCCCGCTGCCGATGCGAAGGCTGATTTTGTGCGGTTCAAGCTGGACCTGAGTCAGCCCACAGGGAGCAAGCTCGCTGGTGAGCCTGAAGTCGTGCTTGACATCCCAGCCGAGTTCCCGCGCCTCGATGAGCGTTTCCTTTCCAAGCCATATGATGTCTCCTGGATCAACGTCATGACTCCGGCTGAGCACCGAGGCCAGGTGGCCACAGGAGAGGAGCATCTGCTCGGGTTTGGCGGGTTGGATGGGGTGGCTATGCATCGCTACTCCACCGGCGAGACCAAGATTTACTGGACAGGATTTGACGGGATTTGCCAGGAACCCATCTTCATCCCTCGCTCGGATGACGCTCCTGAAGGCGATGGGTGGGTGATGTGCATGGTGGAGAGGAGAGCTGCCAACCTTTGTGAGGTGATTCTCTTGGACACGAAAGACTTCACGAAGCCCGTGGCCATCATCAAATTGCCCTTCCATGTTAAGAACCAGGTACACGGAAATTGGATCGACCAGAGGAGGCTGAAAGAAAGGCGAAGCTTGGTGAAAGAGGGAGTGGACGTCAAGATTAGCAAGAGGGGGGCCTTGGAGACTTGGGACATAGAGTAGCCAGTGCAGCTTCAAATTGGTGTCCCCCAGCTTTTCATACGGGCATTAAGTAAATTCTTCCTTTTTCGAACAGCATCTCGGCGCCACTATAGTGATAATTCACAAAATAGCTCAGCCGACGTCAACGACACCTGGGCATCTTCTCAATGAAGCAGAGTACTGTGTTTACAGCAAATCAATTTTTGGATACATGGAGAACGTGATGCGACTAATCCTTCGAGTTCCCGAGGTCCTTCAAGTTACCAGGTAAGAGGCGACGGACCCCATGGGACATCGAGTAAACACCCGCTTTAAACCGGCATACCCAGGTATATCGAGAGGCAGACCAAAAAAGCCCTTGCACCTTAATGTCGAGGTCTCGGATCTGGTTTCAGGTCTATCGGACTGGATTAGCTTCACATCAACCCACTGCAAAGAAAGCGATCCGCATATTCTGTCGAGTCGCCCTGTAGCAGGCCGCCATCTCTGTTGGGACGAGTCCTGCTGGTCCCGACGGCGGTCTAAGTACAAATTGGAGGAGACCCTAAACCACGCTTTTTATCATATCTGGAGCAGAGGACAAAGAGGTGATCAAAAAGAAAAATGACAAAATAATTGCGTCAGCCCGGAGTCGAACCGGGGGCCCATCGATGGCAACGATGGATTTTACCGCTAAACCACTGACGCTTGTATGATTTAAGTCATGTGATGTTGATTTCACACTCAATTCTAGATCTATATATTCCAAAACTTAGTAAGGCTTTTAGTAACTAATAAAAGTTAGTTTTTCTTAAGCATTATAAGTAGGGTTATTTAAAAAGGAAAAAAGAAAAGTTACTCTTTAAGCTTTAATGTGAGAGGTAATACTATAGTAGCCTTATTAATAAGGGGACCTATAGGGACTACCGCCACCCTTGACCTCTACCCCTTACTACGGCCTTTTGGTGAACTTAATGGAACGGCCGGATGATTTATGGGTGCAGTATGCACAGGTGCCTCAGGTCATGCGGGGGACTTGTGATTCATGGTATGCTCTGAGTCCGACTCTGAGTTTGCCGGATGAAAATTGGGGCACGGGTTGGCTGCGTCAGGGCCAGAGGCCAGAAACCTCAGGAGAGTGTAACCAAGCGGTACGCCCGAGTGGGCGTTTGTCCACTGCTTCGGATGGAAGTGCTTGCAGCATGAGGGCCCACCAAGCTGATTCCACAAGACACGCCGTCCAGGTCATGAGGCTGGGCTCGTACTCAAAACGGGCAATCACTTCCAGAGCCGCTATTGTGACCAGAATTTTCTGACGGTCCAGAACACGTGTAAACACCACAGCGGTCCGAGTACTAGATGAATTTTCATTGCTTTTTAGACTAGTGTTTTTGAAGCCTTGGTGTCGGTACCATGTCTACCCCATCCAAGTCGTAAGGTCTTGAGGAGTGACGGTACAAACAGCAGCATGCACATTGCTGGTGCCCAGGTCGGCACAGACAAATACGTGCTTGCATCAAACCCTCATGACATCTATTTTTTGTCTAGGACCTCCCAAACTTTTGTTCGCGGCTGCAGTTTTCAAAGCACTGGTGGGTTCCGAAAGAACGCCGGGACTGCAGCAAGTCGAGTGGCGAATCGAAAAGCTGACTGAGCGTGTGAGCGGATGTAGAGAAAGCCATAATGGCCTCATAGCTCGAAAGGACATTGCATGGAAACAGGGATAACAGGAATGAAACAAGGAAGCTTCGGGGCAGATTCATTTGAAAACAGAGATTGAGGTTGGGAGACGATTTCCGTGCACAGGGAGAAAAAGGAAATCAGGCCAGGGATAACGGCGAGGTTCTTCAACTTTCCAGTGATTGCACCACGCAGTCATGCCGTCCATGAGCGTATTTGATGTTGTAGTGGGGCGAACGCATGGGACTTGGATGTCCGTAACGGCGTTCAGAGGTGCATCGTCCTGACGTCTGAGATGCTCCGCTGCCTCTTATGGGCTTGAGAAACGTCGGCGGCTGGGCCAGAAGCTTTCCGCTTCTGCAGAATGGCTTCTGAGGGGCTTTTGGCCATGATCTTCTTGTGACGGCGCTCGGGGGTCAGAGGAGTAGCTGCACCCCCGAGACTGCCATGTTTGATACCACGAAGTGTGCCATGGTACAACGGGTTTGAGAAGGCAAGAGACTCCTGCGTGGCTTGGCCGTTCAGGATGAGTTGTTGATTGACTTGGTTCCGGCGGAAGGCACCGACGGCATCCGCGTTGTTGGTCAAGTGGCTTAGAAGCGGGTGGACGTCATTGTTGGAATCGCTCAGCGCGCTGGGAGCCATCGAGCTGCGACGTGAAGGTGTGCGGTCGGTGTTTCCGTCCTCGGTGTTGTCAACATCATCCTCTCCGTCAGACCCGCCGTCGCCGAAATCGAGGAAGTCCTCGATGTTCAAGTTCCTTTCCTCGACGTCCTCGTCGTCGTGCTCGGCGTCCACCAGCCAGGAGTCTTCACTATCGTCGCCCATGTATGGCTCGGCGCCCGAGGGAAAGAAAGCCTCGGCAGGTCCAACCGTCTGGAAATCGATCATGCCGCCGGCGTAGAAATTGGCAGACGACATGGCGCTCATCATGAGCGAGCCGGGATTGCCCATGATGGGGGACGTCTGGTTTGAATTTGGACAAGAGAAGTAGTCTGGTTGAAATTGGCCCGGGTCGACCATGACATCGAATTTGCGCTGCTTCTTCTGTGGCGTGATGACCATCATTTTCCGGGTGATGGGGTTCATGACCACGATCGGCTTTTTGATCGGCTTTTTGATCGGCCTCTTTGTTGGCCGGGGCGTGCCACCTTCAGATTTCTCTGAATCAGAGGGGTCCCCAGATCTAGCACGCAAGATCGGGATCATCTTCTTACGGGGCACGGGCTCAGGTTCATCTTCTTCAGTCGTTTCACCATCGGCTACCAGGCGGTATCAGCATCAAGGAGCGAGCATGTCAACGCATCGGCACAACTCACACATATAACCATCCGACTCATCGTCGTCATCCTCGGGCAAGGGGAGCTCAGCAACCTTTGGGTGGGCGGCGTCATGGGGCTCGTTCGCGCTGCTGGGCCCAAAGATGTTGGGGAACTCCTCGTCGATCCCGTACGGGTCGTCGTCCGAGTCGTCGGGCGCACCAGCGGCACCCGAGTAGTCCCAATATGTTGCAGAAACCGACGAATCGTCGTCGTCGTCCTGCTCGATCTCACGCCGGAACCCAGAGTCAAGCGAGTCCTGAGCAATGAAAATGTCCGGGAAGAAGTCATCGACGTCCTCCTCGGTCTCGTCAGAGTCCGACTCTGAGTCGGGGACGCCCGTAAAGCGGACGTGACGTTCAACAGGAGTTGTACTAACTGGCTCGGCAGTGTGTACTTGGGCCGGGACGGGCTCGTCATTCTCAGACGCAAAGCCATTCCAGCTAACACTGCTAGTGTCACCACCGTCCTCGTCCGCCGATTCTAGCTCCTTCTCATTCTCATTGTCGTTGTCATCCGAGTCATCGTCATCATCAGCATCGGCGGCGGCCTCGTCTTCGTCGCCGTCGATGTCGGAGGAGGTCGGCCGAGGGGAGCTTGGCGCGGCAGGTTGCCTCGCGTTGGCTAGTATGTGCTCCTCCTCGGCCGCGAATACATTTTCCTCGTCATCATCCGAATCACTGACATCATCCACGCCCGAGTAGCCCCCGTCGTCGGAGAGGTCAAGCGATGCGGATGACAGGGAGGAGGAGGATGCACGGCGTTGCTTGGACGATTTGGGGGCTTTCTTGGGACCCTTTTTGGGGGCCTTTATGGACTTGCCGCCAGTTGGGACTCGGTTCAGGCCCCGCTTGAGGACGATCTTGGGAGGCATGGCTGCAACAGGTTGTTTCTCTTTCGAGGAATACCGCTGTCAGATTTTTTGAACGGCAGCGAGTCTATCGGATCTGAAAAGGGCGACAAGTCAAACAACGAGCCGCGGGTGCCGGGTTGGGAACTTGAGGTTGGCGTACGTTCGTTCGGTTGTACCCAGTGCCAAGCTGATTTGTGTCGAGGGCAGCGGAAGCACACACGAAGATGTCTTTTCCGTGGGGACTCGGGTGCGAGGAGGGGGACAGGTGTATGGAGGAGCTCGGATAGAGGAGGTGGGTGGGATCGCGTTCAGGCCCAGTCGGGGAGGGCAGACAGACGATGTGGCTATTTTTCTTTGATCGGGGACAGGCCTCTCAGGATGCTGGGTATCGTCGACTGGCCGGCAATGGTGGTGCGGTGGTTGCGCGGTGCCTCTAGGTGGAGTGGAGGAGGCTCTTGACAGGCTTCAAGGTCTGGATAACTTCGTCGAAAGACTCGGACTGGTCTCTGATGCTGCGGGACTGCGAGGCACCCGGTCACGTTTCACGGCGACGGGTGCCGCGCAGTGGGCGTTTACAGCTCAGGGACGGCCGAAGACATGTTGACAAAAGGGTGCGACGAAGTTGAGCTGGGGGTGATTTGATTCCTGGGGATGGTATGGCGACTTCGTTGTCTGTTTGGGTTGGTGGTGGATTGGTATGGGTGGGGAGGAAGAGGGAGGGAAAAAGAAGGGGAGGCCAGGGCAGGGCAGGTAAGCTGGTAAGCGAGAGGGGCCCCGAAATTTCCCAGGTGGCCTGGTCTCAGTCCCAGAAACTTTTTTTCTGGGGTGGGGACCTAATGTGTGCACTATGAGTGGCCAATGAGCCTGGGGATTACCATAGCAGGCTAGCTCCTCCCTACCTGGGCCGGGTACTTAAGTAGGCACCCAGGTACCCAGGTACCCAGGTGCCCAGGTGCCAGGTGGGGTGCCCAAGCAGGCGAGCTGGCGAGCAAGGGACAGGTTGGACGATGCAACTCGGGAAGTCGTCTCACCAACAAGTTTTGGCGTTTCGACATTTGCACGGCCAAATTCCAGCTCGACCTGCCAGCCCGCCAGCCCAGAGTCATGTCAGCAGATACTCATCTCAGCGGCCGGTGACTCTTTCCGGGTACCTACTCCGCAGTCAGTCACAACCCAATCCTCCCCGTCAGAACCACACGACAGCTGCTGGAGCTAGGGATAGCCCTCGCTGTAGGGTACCTGGCTGCTTCCTCCTGCAGGTTGCATGTCCTCAGGTTCTGCGCCTAGCCCCCATCCCTGGACGGCGTACCCAATGGCCTTGCCCGCCTGGGCTACAGCAGTCATCCCGTGCAGTGCCGCCGCGGCAGCACAAGCGGCGCAAGCATCAGGCATGAGCGACCGACAGGCGGCGTCGAGCTTGGTGTCCGTCACCGCCATTTGCCAGCAAGGGTTAAAGTGGTTTGTTTGTCGGTCCCTCTATTGGGCTTCAGAACCCAATTCCGCCGTCGACACTGCTACTGTGTAGCACCCACGATCCACGTTGCAGTCTCGCCTCTATACGGAGTAGCAGCCTACGGTGGAAGTGGAACAGAGACACATACCGAGTACTTATGTACATATGCTCAGCACCTCTCCTTCTGGCCCACAATCACAACTACACAGTACACAAGCAGCTCGCCTTCAGAGCTCCTCGCGTCTTCCCTAGGCCCTGCACCTCGAGGCTGCGGTGCCTTGACTTGAACAGCCTGGCTCGCCTCGCCTCGCACGTCAGGCAGTCAGGATGTCCCCCTGGTCTGGCCGAGGGCCATCGCCGCGAGGCCATTTGGCTCTCGACGCCGCCTGCCGCCTGCCGCCTGCCCCGCGACGAGCTTGCACTCCCTCCTTGACCACCAGGGCCGGCACGACGCCGGCCTGGACCGCCCGCAATGGCCGCGATATCCCGTACAAAAGTCTCGATGGCGAATGCGACTGTGGTCAGAATCAATTAGACTGTCAGACTGTCAAACTGTGTGTCCTGCCCTGGGGGATCGCCCCCGAAAGAGCGCCTTGGTCTCATGACTCAACACGGAGAATCGTGCCATTGGACATTGGGACTTCCCCTACCACCGTAGTTCGGCTACCCACCGAGCGCCGCTTTCTTGTCCCTGAACGGCGTCTGGCGCGGAACCGGCTTTTAGGGGACAGGCGTGCAGGTCGGCCGCCTCCGCCTTGCCCCACCCCGGAAGCCAGGTCTGCCAGGTCTGCCAGGTCTGCCCTTGATTCGTTTCAGTATCGCGGGCAGCACTGTGTAGTATGCCCTCAACATGCCCTCAACATTGTGCAACTCATCCTCTTGGAACTTGACCTCTCCTCGTCGTTGCACTGAACAGCCGTGATGAAATATTTGTTCACGTTTTCCAGTTTTGTCACGGTGTTTCAAAGGGTTGTTCCCGAGCCCAATCTCTGGTCTTGCTACCTCACTGGTCACCTTTCTTTCTTTTTTTTTTTTTTTCCGGGTCTGACGTAACCCAGGACCCCTAAATTTCTATCACCCCCATCCCTGGCAAGCCCCATCATGATGCATCATCACAGTATGAAGTTGCCTAAATGCCAACCCCCAACTGTCTTCCCTGGAGACTAGACTCTTGAGTGGCCGGGTATAGTTATAGTGCAGTGATTGGGCATTCTATGTGGAGCACCCATGTGACACCACCAACCGCCACGAAACCCTTCCATGTCCCTTACTGTGAGCGTATATCACGTCTTATTCGGTGACTCATATAGTGTAACCTCCAGTGGATAACCTCTAGTGGGGAAACGTCATACGGGATGGCTTGTAAAAGAAGGAAGTAGTCTAGGCCACGTGGTGTGTCTGTGTTGCGGTAACAACGTACGTGACAATCAACGGATTCAGGGCATGTGTTGCTGCTAATCGTCCCGAAATACCAGTTCCGGGGCTCTGTCATTACAGTAGGTCGGGTATCACAGAACGGCACAAACAAAAACATAAGCTTGGAAACAAGTACACCCTGCCCGCCGCGCGGTTGACAGTGTGCAGGCTAAACATTACGCCATGCTTCAGCCCTGGCCTGTAACTTCTGCCTCGCCTTCAGAGCCGCCGAGCCGACGCGCCTCCGCATGGTTGCATTGAACCCAAAGGTCAGCGCATTGGCGAACCCAACGAACTGGCTCGTGCTCTGCAGGGCGGCAACAGCGCGCGGGTTCGACGGTGTCCGGCCTGTTGCCTCCATGAGCCTGTTCACAATGCCCGGGACCCAGAGCAGCACGTACAGGGTCGGGTACGCGTTCTGCCGTATTGAATGTCAGCTTCAACTATTGTCGGACTCTGGGCGCGGTTGCGCTCAAGAGCCACCAGCACCCACCCGGGGTGGAACATGTACTCACCAGTAGAAGCATCCGCCGAATCTCCCTCTCAACCTTTTGGGCCCGGGACGGGTGTCCGACCTCATATCGCGAGACGGATGCGTGTCTCCGGTTCTGTGACGCCGCCGCTCGCGAACAGCGCGTCGATGAGATTTTGGTCTCCGTGTGTGGGGTGATAGGGTTGGCGGAGCCCGGCGGGCCGCCCGGTGTGATGCCTGGTGGCAGCCACGAGTACGACCTCTTCGCGATGCTCACTCGCACGTCTACCGAGTGTCTGACCCTGGGGCAGATCTCAGGCTTGTCGCTCTCAGCAGCAGCCAGGTGCCGGCTATAGCTGCGCTGCCCCTCCGCGTGGCCGACTGTGGGGGCTGGTGGTGTCACGCTTGGGACAAAGCCTCGTTCCGCGATGCTCACGACATCTTCAGCCCCCTGAATCGGCAGCGAGAAGTCTGACATGGTCATGTCATCTCTGCTATCCCCCAGATCTTTCGGTGCGTGTCTGATATCGCTCAATGGTCCCGTGTCGGCTTCTCCAATCAACGTTGTCCCTTGGGACTCTTCCAGCCTCTCTTTGGTCAGTCTGGCACTCTCTGTGTGCACAGCGCCTGTGACCGGGTTGTATCCGAAACGGGCGCCACCGCGAGAACCAAACAAGACCTTGAAGTGGCGATGGACAAACCACCAGATGTACGCGTAGAGCAGGACCGTGACAAAGATGATACCGATTCGCCAGCCGTGGGTGAGGCCATACCGAAGGTCTGGGCGTTTTGCCGTGATCCAACACCAGTTACCGCTCACTGGGGTCATCGCATCAAGCGAGACGGCCACGACACTGGTGATGATGGGAACGACCCATGTCGAGGCACAGATGATTGCTTTCGCCCAGATCGATACATCGGGAAGGTACGTCTTGCGAGTAATGGTCAAGAGCGTGACGAGGACGATTGCGAGAATGGTGAAGTCCACAGCCTGCACGGTGAGCTGGCCGATGAAGCCGTTGGCGGTACACGCCGGGCCAGGGCTCAGCTTCTTGGTCCGAACGTAGATGAAGCCCGATATCGAGTTGTTCAACGTGTTTATGAATTCTGTGGCCGGGCAATGAGGCCAGTCAGCTTTTCTCCCCAGCGACAACATGCGCCAATGCATGCGGACAAACAAGACTGGACTCGGGAATCTCATCAGTGGTGGAGGAGACGTACCGGCGGCCGCGAGATTCAGGATCAGGGCGTGTCTGAAAGAGTACTGTTGGTCCCGGAAGAAAAAGTACGAGAGCAGCACGAGAGATGTGGCAATGCACGAGGTCATGCTGCCAGCCAGCGTGAATCTGGCAACAAGATCATCGTAGGCCATATTGGGAGACGAAGCTCTCCATGGATATGGACCAAGAAGCCCGAAGTAAGGCGGCTTTGGTGATGCGAGATCGGGTGCTCTCCAAACGCAATGCCATTTTCAGAGACGAACGGGCGGGACAAGGTTGACGGAGGAGAGGCGGAAGGATATATTCAAATTCAGCTCTGACATCTCGGAAGAACCGGATTAAGCCGAAGAGAGCAGCATTGGTCGAAGATGGGTGGGGTGTGTTCGGCAGCCCTTGCATCAGGCACCACCAGGGCCGATCAGTAACGAGTCTATCGTCGATTGCCCTACCATGTGAGCGGTGGGAGCCATGTGAGCGATAGGGGCCATGCGAGCTGTGATGCTCGGCAGGGGGGTGGGGGGAGAGACCAGGTGTGGTGCATTGTGGACGCCCGCTCAGACCATAGCCAATTATATTATCTTAGTCGGACGAACTCTATTTAACGAGCAACCCGCTTGCCGCGCTGCGCAGACCACGAGTTCAAAGCCAGTTCCACAGGCCAAGAAGGCTTGGGCCTCGACGGTGAGGTCCTGCGAGTCAAGCCAGGCGGGCGGCAGTCAGGGCAGTCAGGGCAGCACGGCAATACATACCAAGCCGCGGGAGGCACAAGAGGAGAGAGAGGGGGAGTGAAGTCAACGCCAGATGGTCCTAATTGACACACATTGTGACAATCGGTCGAGCGCAGCCCGAATATGTGATCCGATCTGGTGTAGGTGAAGTTGCAACGGGAATCGTGATCCAAGTGAGATACAGTTGGAGCAATGTTGCAGGCTAACACGGTGCATTCCCACAAGTTGCAATCAACGACAATGTTGCAACTGATTTGTTGCAACTGATGTGTGACTGATTGGTTGGAACAGCGCCTCAGGGTTACTGCATCGCAGTGCAATCCGATCGATGGCCTGCAGCCTGCAAGTCATGTCGAGGTCGAGGAAGTTCCAACTCCCGTTTTGGACAACCGTTGAACCATCTGGGGGGGGGGGGGCAGGGACCTCCTCTAGTCAGTCTACCAGGGCTAGCTCGAGCATGGGCCCAGCCCACCTCCCAAAGCTCCCCTGTCCCAGTTGCCCGGTTATCGCTTATCGGCCACCGTCGACCGGGGTGGTTGCCCCGCCGATGGTCAGTGCTTTGTTTTCTTTGGGCATTCGTGGTCTACTAGTACACAGTAGGTATTGTGTACACCGTACCTACCTACTACTACACTACGTACCCAGGTACCAAGGTATTTCCGTTTGGACCTCTGGATATCCTGATTTCGATCTGGGAATTGAAACGGCATCTCAGACAGTCGGATCTGCTGCACCTGGCACCTGCACAGACATCTCGAGCTCCTCCTCCCAGCCATCTGGTACCCACTCGTGTCCACCCCCAGCCTGCAGAGCTGTCTGGCCCGGCTGACGGCCCCGCTTCTTCGGTCCGCATTCGATCGCTACCCACAGGCTGCGACTTGATTACTCCGTACTGTGTATATCATCACCCTCGCCGTCCTCACGGTCTGTCCTACGTCAAGGCAGCAAGTTCACGGGAACCAAAGCCATGGACAACATGTCCAAGGGGGCCACTGCGGGCCAAACACCCAACCATCTTTTCCAGGTGTACCTGCGCCTGCGCCCACCCCAGGCCGGCGCAGCAACAGCAGACCGTTTCCTGGCGGTCGAGCCTCCTCCAGCCCACGCCGAATCCACGGCACCGACCCACATCACTCTCAACCCCCCAAACGATCGAAGGCGCGCCGTCGAGAAGTTTGCCTTCACCCAGGTCTTCACCGAGGATGCCACCCAGCTCGACGTCTTTCATTGCACCAATGTTGTTGCCTTGGTGGAGGGCGTCTTGGCTCCTCACGGCGGCGATGGCACTGATGCACTTCTAGCAACCCTGGGCGTCAGCGGGTCCGGCAAGGTATGTTATGGCATTCTGTTGGATGCCAGGAAGGCATGGCGCAACTGACAACTGACTGTCCCCTTTGCCAGTCACACACGATCCTCGGTTCACGCTCACAGCGCGGAATGACCCAGTTGTCCCTGGACGTCATCTTCCGATCCATTGGCAAGAACATCGTCGACTTGGACACCAAGCCCGAGCTGGAGGCTTCCATCAATGCATCTGATGCCTCCGAGGCATCCATATCCTCCGCATCTGCATTCATTGAATCTGTCTACGGGGACCCTTCAGGTGCCCCACGCCCCTCCTCCCGGGCACCAACACCTCTTGTACGGCCCCTTGATTCCCTTTCGCGGTCTCTTGCTTTCCTTGCGCATCTTGGCCCTCACGGTCTGCCTCAGGTTTCTGAGCCGTCCACCCCTGCTCGCAATCCTCGGCCGGAGAGTGTGCGTCTCGTTTGCAAGGACGACTACACTGCCTCCTCGCCGAGTACGCCCGAACACGTGCGTCAAGATTGGCATGCCTTTCCCCATGGCAACGCGCAATCCATGACTGACAGGCGCCGGCCCCTCCAAGTACGAGTTGCGAACACTAGTACCCCTTACAAGTCTCCTTTGAAGCATTACATGAGCGTCACTGCCTCGGCTCGTCACAAGAAGAGAAGTGCTGAACCGCTCAACCTCAAGGGCGACTCCATTCCACCGACACCTCGAAAGCTTTTGAGCCGGCCCTTCGCGCTGCCTCAGGTCCCCGACATCAGCACCGTCAATGTCTCATCGGACCCTGCAGCAGAATATGTTGTTTTGGTCTCCATGTACGAGGTCTACAACGACCGGATTTTTGACCTGTTGACTCCTCCGGTCAAATCCTTAGCAACAAAAGAATTTCGACGGCGGCCCCTCATCTTCAAGTCCACCGAACAATCCCCTGACAGGAAGCTGGTCGCTGGTCTGCGCAAGGTCATCTGCCGCGACCTCAACCAGGCACTCATGGTTCTCGAGGCCGGTTTGCATGAGCGAAGGGTGGCCGGTACCGGCAGCAACAGTGCTAGCTCACGCAGCCACGGCTTCTTCAACGTCGAGGTCAAGAAGCGGCCAAAGTCCAGCAGCAAGCGGCACCGATATCCTTGGGCAGGGAGTACGCTCACAATTGTTGACCTCGCCGGTAGTGAGAGGGCTCGAGACGCAAAGACGGCCGGCGCAACACTTGCTGAAGCAGGGAAGATCAACGAGAGTCTAATGTATCTCGGCCAGTGCCTGCAGATGCAGAGCGATGTCGGTGGCAATAGCAAGGTAAGCAACTCCGATGTCATGCAGCGGTATGAGGTTTGACGTTGGACTGCAGCAGGGCGTCGTGCCGTTCCGGCAATGCAAGCTTACTGAGCTTCTATTCTCAAACTCCTTTCCATCCCCATCATCTTTGAGTCAATCCCAATCAATCCGCCGAAATCCACAAAAGGCCGTGATGATTGTGACTGCGGACCCCCACGGCGACTTCAATGCGACTTCACAAATCCTCCGATATAGCGCCCTCGCCCGCGAGGTGACTGTGCCACGCATACCGTCCATAACAGAAACGATCCTACAGGCAAATGCTGCTCATGCATACGCGGCTAGCCAGAGCTCTGGCAGCAGGAACTCGAATCAAGCCCAGTCATGCAACAGCCCACTCTCGTCTCCGGCCCAGCAGTTTCAGCGGCCACCGTTCTTCCCTCCAGGAGCGACGAGTCCAAGTTTATATCGGACTATTACGCCGCATAGCGTCACCCCGTCCGAAGACCGCGTCACTATGGAAAACGCCGCTCTGGAGATTGCGCGGCTTGCTGAGGAAACAAACCACCTCCGCGAGGCATTGGCGCGTGCCCAAGAGGCTCGGCTATCGGCCGAGGCGCATGCGATGACCATGGAAGACAAGATGCTCGAGCTTGAGCAAGCTGTTCGCGAAGACTGCGCCGCAGAATACGAAGAACGCCTCGCTGTGGAGATCTCGCGAGGGAAGGCGGCCATGCAGATGGAAGCCGAGAGGGGCCAGGAGCATTGGGACCGAAAGTTGGAGGTATTCGAGAGGAGCCTGGAGACGCACCAAGCTGTGGCTGAGCCCAGTGACGACGAAAGCATCGTCAACAAGGAAAACGTATTGGTCGAAAGCCTGGAACAGGAGAACGCACGATTGCGCCGTGAAGTCATGGTTCTGAAGAGGGAACTTGCTGGGCGCACTCCCAGTAAACGAGCCCCGCTGGCTGAGAGGGAGGACTTTGCTACAAGTGCAAATAGCAGCCCTCGGTCATTACATTCGGGCCGTGCTGGACGCAAGGTTAACGAGAATATCCAGCCGGAATGCCTTCAGAGACGGATGGAAAGTCTCAGTCTGCGAGAGGGGCAAGAGGACCTGAGAAAGGTAGCGAGTGCCAACAAAAGCCGGGCAAATAGCAGGAGCCGTGCCGAACCCGGTGGCAGTCCGGTCAAACGAGTCCGGTCTCGGAAGTTGACTGCAAGGAAGTGGGAAAATGTCTTGGGCGATGAAGATGATATCTTCTGAAGGAGGTCTGATGCATTCCACCTGCCACCTGCCATCTGATGCTCTGAGCCAAGCTGCTAGGTGCTTACAGCTGAGCAACCCCCGAACTTCAACTTTCCTTTTATGTTTGACCTTGACGAGCCATGATTGGCATGTGTCAGAAAGTGTCAAAATCAACAATGGACACACTGGTTGGTAAAAAATGGTAATGAAACGCACAACTTTTGGTATGGGTGGGCTTGGTTGGACAGGTAGGGTAATGATGCTACGACGCCACGAAGGATACCCAAGACATGATTCCCGAGAGGATTGGTTTGGTCAGTATATTGACGGTTTTTGAGGGCTGCACCTAGCCTGCCTTTGTTCTAATGATCTTGTACTAGAGTTATGAATGTTTTGGGCGTGCAGCTCTCAGGGCGTTCATGCAAATTGTGTGCGTCCGCAGCCTGGTTCTCAATTCAAATGACCATTACGTCTGAGAATAACTTGTCTGCACTAATAGAGCCAAGGTGCTCTGAACGTAATCTGTGCATTTGCTTCCTCTGCCTAATACATAGGTCCTCAGTTTGAAGAGTATGTGACAACGAGACTGTGCATCTATCACATACGGAGCCCGGAATACGTTCCGCGGCTCCCTTTCGATTCCGGCTATAGCCTTGCGTCCATGATATGTCGGACTCACTATCACGCGCATGGACAGGGACATGGAGCAAGCATCAACTCTTGTCGACATATGACTGACTATTGAGCGAGGTCAAGGCTCCGAACCGAGTCGCCTCTGGGATTTGGCTTACCTCCATAGGGTGGTCAGATGATCCCTTGACTTCGCTGAATGGGGAAACCGAGCACAAGTACAAGGCATAAATTTTGACTGTTGATAGCAATATCCATTCTGTTGGAATGTGCACTATACACCCATGAGGTCGGATGGACGCAGGTGCGATCCGAATCACGCATGCAGTGATGGAATGCAAGTCGTCACCTGTGATATAGCACGGCGTAGAGCTGAAAGAAGCAAGTGACAGACCGACCCCTGGCACCTGGGAGCCAACAACATTCGTAAGACCTCGGTGCTTGATACCTCCATATCATCGCTTGACCTAAAGGGCAACCCGCTGGACCGGTCATATCTGCGACATAGACCAGAATTGAGAATTGACAAGGCAGCTGTGGGGGCTCATTGTTTTTTGCATGTTCAGTGGATGATCCATCACTTATTCACTCCGGACTGCAACACCATCTTCGAATCCTAGCGTCGAAGGATGATATCAATGTGACCAACTTCCTTTTGCCAGACTCGAGTCCAGTCTGGATCGCCGTCGACTGAATCTCGGCTTCTGGGACTGTTCCGAGTTGCTCGGCGGACAGCGGCTACGAGTCCATGGAATGCAGTGACCGGTCCGGAACTTTTGATGAATGAGAAGGACCAGGGTGTCCAGCCTCCCCCTCGCTTATGCCGTGCCCATGCCGGTTCCGGCAGGTTGCGCATCTGCGAGCAAAAGATGGCGCCCACCTCGACCCCGGTGAGGATTATCGTGATCCCCCGAATTCCAGTCCAGCTAGGAGCCCGCGGTCTGCGCCGGCCGGCGAGGCAGGGTTTTTGTGTCGAGGTTGGATTGACTGCAGGTGCCCGAGACCATTGCCGAATGTCGAGCCAGGATGCAAGCGGGTGCTCGCCGGTAGCATTGCAGGGCCGCAAGATGATGCTGTGCGACATGATGAATGCACCCCAGGGGGGCACAAGCCCGGTTATGTGCACATTACCGAGCAGCTGTGGCAGGGGTGGATCGCGAAGACGCAGGATCGAAGCTGCAAGATCGATCTTGCTCCCATCCAATGCTTGTGGCATCACACCGCGGAATCAATTGGCAACTAGCTAACTATAAGATCTCAAATCTACCAAAAAACAATTCAACGATGTGATTCAGTCTCCAGTTGCTTTTGCCGGCCCCGGAACGCGGTTTCCTGCCCCCGGGGGCTAAGGATGTGCAGCCGGTGGGACATTTTCGCCAGGATCCTTTCTCTTGCAGTATTCGTAGCGTGCTGGGCCAATTCTTGGTACAATTGCTTCTTGAATGATCTCCCACGTGTCTACCAGACAATCCGTTGCTTCCGGCTGGTCGGGACCCGCTGAAGATCTTATGTCACTCACCGTGAATATCTGACGTGAGGAGCCGATGAGGAGCCGAAGGAAGCGTGAACAGGCAAATCATGGCACTGCGAACTTCCAAGTAAAATCACATGACGGATAGGGTTTGGGGGCAAGGTGAGGCCAGATGACCTTGGAGCCGCAGCAACAGTGGGCCGCAGTTGTAGGAACAAGTGGTCACCTTGATCAACTGGTGTGAGATCATTCACGGGCCCACCTTCTGCCTAAGGTAACTTTCCTAAAATAAGCAACAAGTGGGTTTCTTCAAAAAGTGACAAATTTCGAAGCTGCAAGGGACTTCACCGGCAGCCTGGCATTCACTCCACGATGGCTGTCAGACATGCACCCCAGGGTGGTTTCACCATACCCAGCTGCTGGACTACCCTTTCTTTTCCTCGATACGTAAGTACATACTTAAAGCCTTCGGATTTCCCGTGTTGACCAGACGCGGGAGCTCCTCCTTATTAGTGCTGCACTCTGTACACTATTCGAAAGACATCGGGTAAACCTTGTACCAAACCTTTGAAGCTACCATCATGGGTCTCGCCCTGTCTCTCCTCCGGCATGTCTTCACAGAACATGTGGAACTGCCCCAGCAAGAGAAGTCCCCGTACCCGCAGGATCCAAACACAACTCTTGCAAACGAACTGCGTGGCCAGAGGTTCCGAGTTGACATGACAACGAGCTTCTGTAACTGGCCTTCTGGTGCAATGAACCCGCACTACAGACGTCTCCAGTCCGAATGCGACCGAGTTCTCGAGGTGTAAGATAAGTCTTGCTTCCATCTCCTTACCGCAGCTAACCCAGATTCACTCTATCAGTGGCGTGCCAGATGCAGATCGATGCAAGAAGTTCAAGAAGAGCGATTTCGCCTTGTTCTCTGCCCTGTGGTGGCCGAGTGCCAACTGGGAAGACCTGTATACCGCGATGTTGTTTACCGTCGCCCTGTTTGTCTGGGATGATACGATCGACACAAACGAGCACATTCTGGCTTCCGATTTTGCCAAGGCTGAGGTCTGGCGTAATCAATCTCTCGACTATTTCAGATACCAGCTTCAGTTGTCCCCCAATGAGAAGGAGCCATATCTCCCTGATGATATCTGTCTGCTGTTCAAGGAATTTGCTGAGAGATTTTGCAAGAATTTCGGTAACGGTTTGTTGAGCACCAGTCTTCGATTAGGGCAGTTTCCATTGTTTCTAACGTCTGTTGATCCCAGAACAACGGCGCCGCATGTACTCCAAGATAGAGCATTTCGTCGCGCATAACAGGCTCGAACAAGTGGAGCGCCTGGCCGGCCGAGTTCCTACCTACGACGAGTACATGAACATCCGTTACGGAGTGACTGGGGTGCGGATGTTTACTTTACTACTCGAGTATGTTCTATCAATCCCTTGACCTATTCGTTTCCAATGACTTTTTCTAATCAAGACTGGACAGGGTCACCCAACAGACGAAGCTCCCAGCATGGATCATGGACTCGTCGGAGATGGAGGAGATTGTCAAGGAGTGCAACTTCATCATCATCGTGTACGTCTACAGCCCGTGGACCCTGCAAGCTCCGTCCATGAAATCAGAGCCTAACCAAGCGCTTCAGGATCAACGATATTCTTTCCCTCAAGAAAGAGATTGTAAGATTTCCTGGAGATTCTGAGATGTTCGCGGTGAGACCTGAGTGCTCGGCGACTGATATGAATGAGGTACCATAGGCCACAGACTGTGTCGTCAACCTTGTGCCTGTACTGTACAAGACGGGGCTAAGCCTGGACCAAGTAATCCCACGTCTCATCGAGGAGATGCACGCGTCCCGGGACCGGCTTGATTCTGCTGCTGCGCGGCTTCACTCAATGACGCTCGCAGACCCCCAACTGAACCGTGATGTTATGGGTTTCATCGACGGCATCCGTATCATGGACACCGGGACACTGGAATACTCGTAAGCTCAACAGAACACCACGCTCTCAGACCATCTGCTGACAAGAGTAGGGTTGAGGCAAAGAGGTACGATGTTCGCAGGTACTTGCAGCCTGATGGAGCTCTTGACATAGTCTTGTGATTGGCGCGCTGGAGGCCCCCTACAACCGTGTCAACAGGTTTTGTACATAGACTGGAAGCACTTGATATTTAAGCACTGGAGACCGTTTCGCAAGAGCGGCAGTAGTGTTTGTCCACCCGGGAGTGTGAATAACGATCAATTGATGACTGTAGTATTTTACAAATTCCACATGTGCAGTGCTGCAGAGGCGAGAAGAGCCAAAAAGAAAAACTTTGCGTTTTTTTAAAAACTTTGCGCCAGCCCGGAGTCGAACCGGGGGCCCATCGATGGCAACGATGGATTTTACCGCTAAACCACTGGCGCGATGACTTTTTGATGTCAGGTGACCGTAATCTGCAAATTATGACGCATTGTCCAAAGCTCGGCGCAAAAAAATGCCTGAAGAGAGTACCTAGATACTCCGTACCTAGGTACTTTAGTATGTAAGATCATAAGATCCTGCAGCACACCGCGTCTACTCGACTTGCCAATTAAGAGCAGCATGGCCAACTTACTGTGTATGTATCTAGACCTAGGAATCAAACTGTGGAAACGCTATTCTCTTTCCATATTGGCACTGTATTTCTTCAAACGCTGGGTCTTGAGCGTTTACTACTGTATGAAGGCGCCACGTACATTTTACATGTATGGGGATTAAAAACGAAACCACCCGTGGAAACGCTAATATTGAAAAGCACCCACCTCCCTAGGCTGGGCATCATTCAAGTAACTGCTAGTATCTTGATTGAATTTGGTATGTTTTTATGTTTTTTAATATGCAGACAATTTGGCCTTTTCTGCAAGCCAACCCGAGGGGTGCGGGCCTTCGCCAACCGCGAGTTGGTCCTTGATCATGCAGGTACTTCCCTCTTCCACAACAATACTCCCAGCGCCTCAGTGACACAAGCCACCAACGGGGGCCTGAATACATACATAGGTATGTACTTGAGTGGCAAGGAACTGTGATTCCACATATGGTGTACATGCCATGACGTCGTAGGTCAAAGAGACATCTGGATGCGGCCTGTATCCACGGCCCAGACTTCTTTTCCCCACTGTCCGCAACTGGTGTCAACTGGTCCTTTCCCCCCTGGTTACTAGTTCACTATCTATGAAATAACCAACCAACTACACATCACGTGGATACAATGTATGTATCGAGTTTGTGGACATGTGCAGTAACCGTCACCCGTGATGCTGTAACAGAGCGGATCGCCGGGGTGAGAGGGTACGACTCGGGGTTCGTAAGTGCTGGATTTTAAGTCTGGCGAACTTGGAATTGTGGTCTTTTTGGCCCATGCGTCCGTCGCGCAGTACATATGCATTCGACGAATCCGTCTGACAGGGCATCAAGGGGCAACATGAATTGGCTCAAGGCCCACCACGCCCGCGTTTACAGCTCGAGCTCGTAAAAATACCGTTTTAATGCCAACATTATATAGTGCTACCTATTAGGTGCAGCTGTCGTAGTTTGGTGGATAACGGCATTTGCCTGATCATTCCATGAGCCGCAGCGCTCAATTATCCACACGTTGGAGTCTAAGCCATCTGTGCATTCCTATCCCACTCTTTCCTCTGGCCACAGTACTACAACTCCTTGGGTGGGTACCTAACCCCTTATAAGTTTGTGTGCACCCCCGTCTAGCTGCTGCTCACGGCCTGTAATGTTCCCTGTGGTGACCAGAGGGTTTGGACCTCTCAGCATACACGAGACTCTTTCATTCTGGGTGTCCTCTCTAGATACAATCTACCCGTCGCCAGGGCAGATGATCATTTCGACGGACTCGTCGGGTTGCGGAGAGAGCTGTAAGGACTTTTCTCATCGCCGTGATTCGGACCCTGAAGCCACCTAAACGGCAAATCTCTGAGAGCATGCTGCTGATCCCTGCTGTGAGCATGATACGCTCGTAGTGGTTCCGAGTGGTCCAAAGGCTTTGCCGTTCTTCCCCAAGGAAGCCTCTCTACTCGGAGAATTGTAGGGCAAGGGCGGACGAATCATACGCCCACAACCGCCAGTCGGTTCGCATCACTGCTGGTGGCATCATCAACCCCACCTAGTGTCTATCAGCACGGCTGGAAGAGTGCGAAGCCCCCCCCCTCCCAACAAGTCTGTCCCATGACAAGCCTTTGGTTTCGGCTAACAAGACATTTGTCCTTTGCTCACACGTTGGTGAGGAAGTGCGGCTTGAACTTTCTGTTTGCGCGTTCAGCTGACGGGACGGAGAATTGGTCACCGTGGATCTCAAAGACCAAGCTCTTGGTGGAGGTTGCTTGTTCTCCCCCGGCGGCCTCGGTGGGCTCGGCGCCAGTGGTCGTCGGCGGTGGTGGTGGTATTTCGACGCGGAAGAGAGTCCCTTCCTTTGGGACTAGTTTGACCTTGTTCTTGGGCGTGACGACCTCGAAGACGAATCTGGCGTCCTTGATGACGATGCCCTTTATGCCGACCCGACCGACACAGCCACTGCGGACCACCTCGACCTCGGCGCCGTGCATGTCGGCGGAGCTCAGCTTCGAGGCTGCGCCCTGCCCACCGGTGTAGACCTCGTTGCCCAGGAGCTCCGTCACATAGCCCAGCCACAGGTGGTGGAGGGGCAAGAAGGTGGCGTATTTCTGGCCGTGGCGGGGCACGTCGTAGAGGCGGAGCTTGCGCCGCTGGGTCGCAGACAGGGGTTTGGGCTTGAGGGCCTTCTTGCGCTCCTTTGCCTTGCGCTCGCGCTCCTTGCGGCGGGCCTGGCGGGCGGTGGCCTGAGGCGGAGGGGAGGTCGGGCGCAGAAAGAGCGGGCGGTGCTGGATCTTGTCCGAGTAGATGCGCTCGGCCGTGGTGGGGGAGTGGGCGCGGGCGAGGAGCGCCTGGGTTACGGCTTGGCTCTTGGAGGTCATGTTGTGGCTGGTTGTATGTGGGTGGAGCGTTGGGACGAGCGTGAGATGGTGCATGCAGGTTTGAGTGGTTGCATCGAGCTTTTTGCCCTTGCTTGCATGCGGCTCAGTTTACCCCAACTTTTACTAGCACCAAGCAGCAGAGACTCTTCACATGCTAAGCAGCCGCGGGTGCGGGGGCGAGCTCGGCAAGTAGCGGCCACCCCCACACGGGAGGTCCCTCAGTGCCTAGGCATGGCAAGGCATGTCACCGGATTCCTCGCTCGGTGCGCAGCGGCAGGGCCCTCCATAGCTGCTGCTGCTGCTGCTCCTGGAGAGGAACAACAACGGCCATTGACGTCCAGCCTGTCACCAATCAGCCGCCCACGCCATGGCAAACGGCGACGACGACGCCTCGCGCGACTCTGCGCCCGACCTCCAGATCCTCGGCGACCAGATCACCCTCCAGCCCTCGGGCTATGTCGAGCCCCCCCACGCTGCCCACGATGCCCATGCCCATGTCGATGCCGACGCCGGCGCCGGCCCCGAGAGGGAAGAGGCCCTCATGAAACACACGGCCCACTTCCGCTCCGAACCTCTGCAGTTCCTCCGCGAGGTCTCGCTCTATGTTTCCGGCACGGGCTGGCGCGCATACGACCATGTCATCGGCCAGCCCATCTTCTACTCGGGCTTCTCCGAGAACATCAAGAACACGATCCTCTCTGCGCCCCTGCTCAACGCCCGCATCTCAAGCCTGGCCGACCGCAGGCTGGCCGTCGAGGAGAGCCAGGGCCTGCTGGGCGACAGGACGAGGGACAGCCGCGAGTACGAGATCCGCAAGGCCCAGCGCCGCAGCTTCCTCGAGACCGGCCTGAGGGAGGTCGCCGACAAGTGGACCGACCAGATGATATGCAAGTTCGAGAGCAAGACCTTCATCAGGGGCGCCTACTACCTCGTCACCCAGCTCCTGACCAGGGCATACCACCAGGGCATACACGTCTCCTCCGAGGAGGTCCTGCGCCTGCGGAGGGTTGCCGAGAAGGCCGCCGCCAACAGGCAGAGCATCGTCTTCCTGCCCTGCCACCGGTCCCACGTCGATTATGTCTCCATGCAGCTCATCTGCTACCGCCTCGGCATTGCCCTCCCAGTCGTCGTTTCCGGCGACAACCTCAACTTCCCCCTCGTGGGCAGTTTCCTGCAGCATGCTGGTGCCTTTTACATACGACGGTCATTCGGTGACGATGCCCTGTACACCACCCTCGTGCAGACTTACATCGACACTCTGCTGCAGGGCGGCTTCAACTTTGAGTGCTTCATCGAGGGTGGGCGCTCGAGGACTGGCAAGCTGCTGTCCCCAAAGTTTGGCATATTGGGCTTCATCATCGACAGCCTGTTGTCCGGGCGCGTCGAGGACACCATCATATGCCCGGTCAGCACCCAGTACGACAAGGTCATCGAGACAGAGGGCTATGTCACAGAGTTACTTGGCGTGCCCAAGAAAAAGGAGAACCTCGCAGACTTCCTGAGCAGCGGCGGGTCCGTACTCTCACTGAGGCTCGGCAGGGTGGACGTGCGTTTCCACGAGCCTTGGAGCCTGCGAGGTTTCATCAACGAACAGCTCACCAAGCTGAACCACCCCGCCAAGTCCCTCAAGGTGGACCTGGACCCCAGCATCCGCCAGAAGCTCCTGCGCATCCTCGGATATCGCGTCTTGGGCGACATCAACGGCGTCTCCGTGGTCATGCCTACCGCCCTCATCGGGACCGTCCTCCTGACCCTGCGCGGCCGCGGTGTTGGCAAGACCGAGCTTGTACGGAGGGTCGAATGGCTTATTGAGAGAGTCCGCGCCAAGGGAGGGCGCGTCGCGCACTTTGGTAACGCGCCCCTGTCCGAGGTTATCGACCGCGGCCTCGAGGTCCTCGGCAAAGACCTCGTCGGTGTCATTGAGGGTCTCCCGGAACCCACTTATTACGCCGTCGATCGCTTCCAGCTGAGCTTCTACAGAAATATGACTATCCACCTGTTCATCACCGAGGCGTTGGTCTCGGCAGCCATGTACACTCGCGTCAAGCAGGGCGGCGGGCCGGCCGTACAAGACATATCATACAAGGACCTACATGACCAGGTCCTTTTCCTCAGTTCCCTCTTCAGAGGGGAATTCATCTTCTCGGGCGAAGGGCTGGCGGTCAACCTGAGCAAGACCCTCGCTGGCCTCGAGGCCGACGGCGTGTTGACTCTCAAACGGGACGGTCAAGGCCAGGTAACGACCGTAGGGCTATCGGACCAGGAGAGAAGGGTCGGCCGGGAGAACTATGATTTTTATTGCTTCCTGATCTGGCCCTTTATAGAAGCCAGCTGGCTGGCGGCGGTGTCACTAATGGGGCTCACACCACCTGTCGGGCAGGAGGGCGAGGTATGGATCGAGGTTTCGAAGGCACAAAACAGTGCTCAGTTGGTAAGTTTACACGTCATTAGCTCCCCACGCGAGTCTGCCAGCCAGTTCTGACCCCGAAACCTAGCTCGGCAAAACCCTGTACCACCAGGGCGACCTGTCCTACTTTGAAGCCGTGAATAAGGAAACCCTCAAGAACGCCTACACGCGCTTCGAGGAGGAAGGTATAATCCAGGTCGTCAAGTCGAGAGACACAAAGATCCCACCGCGGCTGCGCCTGGCGCCCGAGTGGCAGCCAGCCCGCGACCCGGACAGCGGCGCACTCAGCGCGATTGGCTCGCGGCTGTGGAACTTCACCGAGAAGATAGCGAGCAGCAGGCGCGAGGGCAAGAACAGGCGTGACGGCGCGACGGTGAGCACGAGGGTGGTGAGGCTGACGGACGTGCTCGGGCGCAAGCTGTTCGAGGAGGCGGTGAGCGGGGCCGAGGGGAGGGGCAAGGGCAAGGGCAAGGGTAAGGAGAAGGCCAGCTACCCTACACTGAGCAGCGAGGACGCTCTGGTGCTCAAGAGGACTGTCAGGGAGCAGCGGCGGCGGAGGGGCCTCGAGAAGAGAGCGCGGCTGTAGAAATGTGTGATAAATACCATGATGGGGTTCTGTTTGGGGTTCATGTTGTAAGAAGAGAGCCTACTGCACGAGCTGCGCGGGAAGCAATGAAACATATGATCGCAACCTTGTTGTCTTTTCTTTTCTTTTCTTTTTTTTTCTCTCTCTTTCTTTAGTAGCGCAGTGTTGCCCTGCCATAATGGGTATCATTTTGTTTGTACGATATTCCTTGCACATCCGACCCGACCCACCCGCAGACCTAAGGTTTAGGCGGCAAGATGATGTTGTCTATCAGCCTCACTGGCGGCCCATTGTTATGGCCTAGGTCCTCGCCTTGTTGTGGTTCAAACACAGGCAGCATCTTGACGGCGCCGCTCAGGATGGCACCCTTGGAGGGGTCGATCTGGTCGATCTCCTCCATCGTGTCGGGGTCGGCCAGTGATATGTAGTCGAGCTTGAACATGACGCCCTCGTGGGGCGGCAGGTCCTTCTGCTCCTCCAGGGTGTCGAGGATCACGTTGAGCGCGGCGGTGATGACGTCGCCGGCGTCGAGGGCGCCGTCAACACAATAGGCACGCTCGGCAGCCCTCAGGGCGCGGATCAGGACGGGGGCGGCGCGGCGCCTCCTGGTGCCGAGGTAGACGTTGCGGCTGCTCAGGGCGAGGCCGTCGGACTGGTCGCGGACGGTGGGCACGACGACGGCCTCGAGCGGCATGCAGAAGTCGCGGACCATCTTGCGGACGACGACGGTCTGCTGGACGTCCTTCTGGCCAAAGAAGACGCGGGTGGGCTGCACGATGTTGAAGAGCTTCATGCACACGGTGGCGACGCCGCGGAAGAAGGTCGGGCGCGTGCGGCCCTCGAGGAGCGCGCCCACGGGCGTGATGGTCACGAAGCTCCCGTCCGAGTCGGGCTCCTGGCCGGGGAAGCCCGAGGGGTACATCTCGCGCGTGGTGGGCGCGAAGACGGCCATCTCGAGGGGCCCGCCCGCGGCGCCCAGCTCCTGGTGGAGGGCCCTGAGCGCGGCGCAGTCGGCCTCCCAGGTCTTGGGGTAGCTGTCGAGGTCCTCGGCGACGCCGAACTGGGCCGGGTTGACGTAGATGCTGACGACAATCTTGTTGTGGCCGCGGCCCACGGCGTCGCGGATCAGGCGGAGGTGGCCCTCGTGCAGGGCGCCCATGGTGGGCACGAGGGCCAGGCCCTGGTCGCCGGCACGGGCACGGGCACGGGCAGCATGCGGGCCGTCGCGGCAGGCGGCGGAGGCCCAGTGGCGGATGCCGGCGACGGTGCGGAGGACCGAGATTGGCGAGCCGGGGATGGTCTCGCCCGGGGGCTCGCGGGCCACGGCCGGGTCGATGGGGATCTGTAGCTGGCGCGTCACGAAGGCAGGGCGCGGGTGGGCCGCATCGGGGGCCGCCTCGGGGGCCGCATCGGAAGGCTTGGAGAAGCTTCGAACACGGCCTGGCGCGCAGAGTCTGGCCGGCGGGCGGCGGGCGGGCGACGACGACGACGCGAGGGCACGCGACGCTGCTCGGATGTGCATTGCGCGGGCGGACATTGCGGAGGTTGGGGCCCAAGGGGTCCAGGAGCTCACTCGTGACTGGATGTGAGTCAAGAGAAGGTCAGGAATTGCTGTTGCCCCATCGCAAGGGCGTGGTCGGTGTTTTATGTGGACATCGTGATGGATTTGTACAGCGCAGTTTTGAGGCCGTTTGAAGCTGAGGTCGGAAGCTCTCCCATCGGGGGTTGGACCCTTATCGGAATCTACCACCCCTCCTCCTCCCACCCTCCCCCCCCCCCAGCTCACACGTACTCTACACTCTTGCATGGCACCACCATATATTCACAAAAGAATAATATAATAGTTACAAAAGGCATAGTCTCTCACAGAGTTGATGTGTTTTGTTTTCAGAGATCAATCCCCCCCACCCCCATCCCATTCTTCTTGTTCCAGATGTCTGTAGCAATTGCAGCCCTGGAATATAAATTCGCGGATACCTAGTAAGTAAATAGAATATTCATGACCGCTTACCAAAGTAATTTGTAATAGTGTTCCCCGGCTTGGCTTCTGCCCCTTTCTTGGGCGTGCCTCCTTCCGGCTTCCCCCCAACTCCCATAAGTGTCATTAATTCCTCAAACTCTCCTGTGCGAACTATCCCTCCGCTGGCCTCCTTGTGCCCTCTTGCAAAAGACTCGCCCATCCTCGCCCTCAAGGTCTCGTCTGTCGCCTTATCCACAATCCCCTTGAGCACTTCGATGATATTCACCGGCGGATCTCTTGCCCTGGCTGTCCGTGGGATCCGACACGAGAAATTGACCATGCCCGGCAGGTACCCTTCGTTCGCACACATGACCACCTCCAGCTTGTTCGACTGCAAGTGCCCGGCCCACCTCGTCGCGATCACGGGGTGGACTTGCGCCCTGGAGCTGATCCTGAACACGGCCACCTTGGCGTCCGAGCTGAACTTGGGCGCCGTGTGCGCCCATCGCTCAACCTCGGCCTTCACCTCCGCCCGGGCCTCGAGGAGCCCTCGGTTCTTGAGCAAGTCCGACGGCGACTGCGCCGCGGTCAGAGCAGCCCATGCTGCGGGAACGCCGAACGCTGCTGTGCGCCGGGGGGCGTTGATGAGCGACACCGCCTCGTTGATGGCCGATTTGGTATACTGCTTGAAGGCGCCCTTCATGTCTGGAAACGGCGGCTCCCACTTCAGCGTGTTCCCGAGGTCGCCGTGCGTTCCCATGATGCAGAGCCAGTCGCACTCCTTCTGCACGTCTTCGTGGAGGTCCCGGCAGATGAGATAGGTCAGCAACGAGCTGGTCGCCACTGGGGGGCTGTCACAGGCAGTCACATGCCGGGACCCCTCAGGGAAGTCGTCATCGAGGGCGTGATGGTGATCAATCACAAGTGCCTTGTGCGGCTTTTCTATCACCGGAGGTGACTTCCGTGATCCCTGGTCGAGTACGAATATGTATTCTGGGTCATGAGATGCCATTGAAGCTCTTTCGTGGTCATCGTGAATACTGCTCCCTTTCTGAAGCAAATGTGCCGATATTTTGGCCGGGGCCAGCCCAAGAAGAACCAGCGTCTTCTGGAGTATTACTCCCGAGCTGAGCCCATCGGCATCCTTGTCTGGCACAATCAGGGTCTTGCTGCCAGATGCGGCGCTTTTGCTATCTCAGTCTGGTGTAACAATCTGGGAGGGGTTTCGGGATCTTGTTCACCTACCATTCACGTATAAACTCTCTGGCTGACTCAATCTGCTCCTCAGGTGCAGGCCACACAATTTCGCCATCCTCTGTCCTCACAGAAGGGGTTGCGTGATACTCCGGCAACTTGACGCGTGCCTTTTTCGTCTTCAATGAACCTGAGCTTGTTTCGGCGCTTCTCTTCATGGCCTTTCCACTCCCGGCTGCAGTCGTGCTCGATAGCCGGCGAGCCAGCATCCGGGTCGTTTGGGCGTGTTGAAGTGCAAGCCCCGTGAGGGATGAACATGGGCTGAAGGGTAACTTGAGAAACATTCAAAACCACTCGAAAATAATAGCATCGCCCTGGGGTTGAATGGTGTCGAGCCCACAGGCTCAAAAGATAAAACCTGTCGTCCTGGCTCCCGGCACAGTGGTGACGTCAGGCCACACACTTGTCACCGCAAGGGTCCCGAACATTGAAACTACCAGTCGGGGCTCTCATATCAGTTCAATATCCGTGGCACCTATTTCGTAAAGTATGCCATCTATCTCGTGGTTCATAATGCCAGGAACCCAAGCAAAGCAGACAAAAGTGTACCCGTCTCCAGTCTTCCGGAGGATCATCGGGTGCGTGTCAGAAGTCACGAGGCACAACACGTCGTCGGGCTCAAGAAGCCTGGGACTGTAGCCGACGAAGCCATACGATGACCTGAACCACACCGGCTCGGGGTCCGAGATGATCTTGCTGTAGTCGAGGATAGTCTTCCACCAGAGACTTGTCAGGAACGGGCTCTCAAGCCCTGTCGCTGAGTACCAGGCGCCGGCGAGGTGAAGACCAAGTCTCTCGGTGTCGAGTAGCTGGTGCCCTAAGATGGACTTGAGACTCGTCCAGTCAGGGCTTTCGAGGCCAGGCTCAAGAGCAACGGGACGGTCGCCTTGCATCAGAGCTTGTCGCGGGTGGGTTCTTGGCATCGATGAGAAGAGGGCTCGAAGAGACGAGCGATAACCCTCGCGTTCGTGGCATGTTGCGCTACGCTGACTTGCAGCCCAGGACACAGGGGTCGTGTCGGCCACCCGGTCCAGGAGAAAGCTTGAAAGTCGAAGCCTGGAGCCATCTTCGTTGAGGGAGGGTGGTGGTGGCATCTCGAAGAGGTAGTCCTCCCACACATCCCGACGTCTCATCTTGGACAGCGTGCTTCTTGCCAGCTCCAGCTGAGCATTATCAACTTCACAGCCCGAGAGGGTGAAGTCGATGGCCCATGAAGGCATGTCACCATGCTGTGCTAAGCCGATGCAGGCGAGGTGCTTCTCGGACGAAACAAGCGCGAAGGTTGCCTTGCTGAAACACTGAGCCGGTGGCTCATCGTAGCTCGGGCTGACGAGGGCGCTCTCTCCCTCCTTGACCAGTCCCAGGAGGCAGTATACCATGTCGCGGGGGTCTGCTGCTTCACGGCGTGCCAGATTTGGGAGGAAATGTATCATACCCGCTGTGGTCGCGTGTTTTTCAGATGCTCCAGGCCCAAATTGACGACGTAAACCTTCCAACTCAGACAATTGTTCCCGAAATCTTCGAAGCTTATCCAAAACGCCGCTTGGTAATTTCAAACTCGGCGAATGGTTGAGTTCGCGTCTCAGAAGTTCCCAGCTCCAAGTGACGGAGCCGAACTGAAATGTGGGCGGGACAGTGGCGAGTACAGCTGCCTGCATGGACCAGGCGCTTTCTGACCACAGAGGTTCCTGTAGAGCGTGGCCCAAGGCTCTGCTGCTTTGCCTGAGCCACTGCTCCCGATCTGACTCCCGAGTTGCCGTGGGCTCATACTGGGACTCGTAGTCGCCCAGCCAGACGATGACTGAATCGGCAGCCTTCAAGGCTCGGGGAATCAGAGCTACTTGCCAGTTCCGCTCAACATTGTTGTCATGGTCAATGCATAACCCATCAACCCAGAGAATCCTGTGCCTGTCCGCACGGCGTAGACGAACCAGAGCTGCGTGAAGATTGTCGGTGACCTTGAAACCCGCCCGCCCACCGAGCGTTATTGACCGGCTGTTCGCGGACTCCCCCCAGGTGTAGGATAATGCTTCGTAGTGTGAGGCTTCTGACGTTGTGCACTTTTCGCTGGACGCCCTTAAAGAAACAACGCGAAATTCGCAGCACACCTCATCTTCCACGGTTGGCGCTGGCAGGAGAACCAATAGCCGAGTATCTTGGTAGGACTCCCGTAGGGGGTGGGCCGCAAACGCCAGGGCTCGTTGCTCGTTGTCCAGACTGATCTCTGTGATCTGCGCAATACTGCACTTGTATGGTCGATGATAGACTGTGATGATTTCACTCCCAGTTGCCTCCTCGTCGCCGCTGATCACCACGGTGGCCGACATATTGCATGAGATATTCGTGTCAGAGTTTGCTGGTGTCGAGGCAAAATTGTCGTGTTCGCACCGAACCGCTGCTACTTGTGGCCAACGAGAGCTCGGACGAGCAGCTCGGATAGGGGTAAGCCCATCGTGAAAACAAGGCCGAATCTGACAGGATCCTGATCAGGGTCCGATCCTACGCGGCATCGTACCTGGATGTTCTATGCCGTAAATCAGGTTATTCCCTTGCGGTTCTGGGCGATGCAACCGCGGCCAAGCATTGCATTGCCCCGGGACCCCACACTAACAGGCATTGCCTCGCTTTCGCCGGCAGGTGGGCATTACGAGACCCCAAATTACTATTGAACTATTGACGGGAGCGTAAAGCGGTATATGTGGTGGCAGCTATACTAGCCGGGGATGCTCCGACACTGCGTGAAACTGGCAGCCAACAGACTGGAAAATTCTTGATTTCAGGGTCTTGATCAAATTGGCCGAGCACCAGTCCGACACCGAGAAGGCTGCAATTCAAACCTAGACCAGCGAGCTTTCCAAGGTTTTCATCGGTACTCAATCATTCCTTTCATCTAAGTAAAATTCCTCGATCAAAGAAACAACTAGCTGCGATGGAATCTAGAGCGTAGCACGTAGTCGTACCGAGTTTTGAGGCTCAAAACCAAAGGGACCTACCTAAATACCTGGTGCTGATCTTTGTTTGTGGTAAGGAAACAATTGGGGACCCCGCCATCGTGCTGGATGACATCAATAAGGTTTCATAAATCCATGGAAGGCTAAATTTGGGGGCCCAGCAAACCGGAAACTTCGACACCAACAGACGGAAAATATTGCCACACGGACACCGATAATTTTACGAGGGAGCCAAGATCCGGGGCATCTCATGATCCCAACCCTGCCATTGTACATGAAAACAAAATTATGAATTCGCTTATGCATTGGACATGGGGAAGGGCCCTTCCACCTTCGAGATAGGGTGATGTTGGATTGCGTTGCGGCTTATCCTTGTTGGGAACCTTGAAACCTAGGAACTTGCGGCACAAACCAACTGTAGCTCATCCGAACTATTCGGACTGCCCCAAAGCACTCCATTTGGTATTTTCAAACACCCAATATTTCGATGACGTTGGTGAGAGCGCCCAAAAGAATCTACCTCGTCATGTTCTCGAACAGCAGCTCTACCGCACTTTTACTGAAGCGTGAAATCTTACTGGATAGGGGACTAAGTAGTTGTGACGGTACGTACTTATATACTGCTAGGTAACCAAGTTGAATTGGTCAAATTGGTTATTATGGTCTTTTGGCTGGGACGTGTGTTGCGTAGCAGTTGACAGCTCCGTCTCAGTAGTCTAAGTTTTTCCTTTTTTCTAGAAACCCATCATCTTTTCTAGGCGATTCCAACTGGACTAGGTCAATGGAACAGCGGTCGGCAAAGCTACTAGTATTAAATGAGCTTGAGGGGGTGTCTGGCTGCATGTGTAATTCGTAAAGTCGGTTGTACATACGCTTGACATGTAACTCCTACTCTAAGGTATTTTCCAGGTCTTGAGTGCTTACCACCGTATGAAGGCGCCATGTATGTCCTCGGACGTATACGGAATAGAAGCGAAACCACATAAATAGTTGAATAAAAAATACAATGTGGTCGAAGCTACTTAAGTAGCGTGACTAAAACCCATCAGGTCTAAGCACTTGGATAAGCAACGGCAGACTGAACCCTGTCTATTTCTATGCCACAATGGTCTCACTCAAGTGGCTCTATAGAGGGTGCAACATCACTTGGGACCAATCAAGGATGTAGATTTGTCAAGTCCGGGCGCTGTCACGAAAACGGACTGAATCCCTCTGTGCATCAAACTTTAACCACATAGAGATGCAGGGCCCAGCTGAACATTTTGGTAGAGTAATAAGGGGTGGTTTCATTTCTAATCCCCATGTGGTTTCGTTCGTTTCTGATCCCCATACAAATAAAACGTATGTGTCGCCTTCATACAGTGGTAAACGCTCAAGACTGGCAGAGTCGAGACATATCCGAGGAAGTTGACAACTTTTCGAATTTATCCGCCATCATGTCATTGGCTCCATTGTTTCCATCGCAGACCAAACCTCATGCTGAAGTTCAAAAAACACCTAGGTTGCAAAAGGAATTCCGAGTCAGCCTCCCAAATTGCTGCATTTGTTTCTTTCAGGCGGTAATTAGCGATACTTGTGTCTTATTCCATAATAGAAGGGCCATTTTTTCTTCTTTGATCGCTGAATCAAAGGACAACTTGAACTGTCGGAATAGGACCGAAAGACCACTCGGTGCAAATGGGGGGGGGCTCAGAACCTAATGCTGAAACTCGAGCAAGGTGTCTTCAAGATGGCTTCCAAGGTGACTATGCGTACATCGACTGCGCTTACAGTCGAATATATGGAAATATTCAATTTCTTGGTGAATAGACATGGTCATGCCCGTGCCGTGATTCGTGAGCCTGGTATGGCTGTGCCAGTTGTATGCTTCTGTAGTCAAAATGACTTCCAAATTTGAGAGCTTAGCCGAACAAGCTCGGCCGTCGTTGAGTCTTCAATCTTGCTAACAGAGGAGGCGCACACCTGGGCAGGTCTAGATAGAGCAAGAGCACCGGCAAATGTCAGTCCTGGGGTCTGGCCGGTCCGAGTCGTGCGAGCAGTGACCGGCACAGTGACGGGCACTGGCTGTGGCGTACGGTGAGAGAATGAGTACTTGGGCGGAGACAGTCCCACAAGCAATGTCGGTAAATACTCGAATTAGCTTCGAACGGGATAGCGCTGCCACAATCGACGAGCTCGAGGAGGAAAACAAATGCAGACTTGTTCAACTTGCAGCCACATCAACGCCAGGTTGCGGTCCGAGTCAGATTTGCCCCGCTCATGATGCATCCAGTCAGTTTTACACTCCATAGAGGGTCTCATCGAACGGGTGCATCCGTCTCTTCTGTATTTCAACTCCTCACCGCACAATTTGTGAACAAATGCCCACTCAATCAGGGCTGAGGCCTTCCCCTTGGATCATCGACATATGCAGCGTGATGAGAAGCAGAAATTTTTTCTTTCCAATTTGTCATTCGTCCGTATTGCGACATTAAGCGAAACTGCTAGAAGCTGTCACTCTCGAGATGCTCTTCACACTCTCCTTCCGTGTGTGCCTGACACCGTAAGACGTGCTTTTGTTGTTGATTTCGGCTCTGGATCCAAACTCCTCGGGCGCCTTGAAGGGATTCACCTGCTGCGCAACATATGGATCCTCGTAGTACCCCTTGCTAGTCTGGGCCTGCAGCCCACTCTTGCTCCTCTGAAGCTCGATCCCATCGTCATCAGGGTCGTTATCCGTGCCGCCTGTGCTGAGGCGGCGGTGCTCAAGCGTCACTTTGACTTCGTGCGTCACCAGGATCTTTGACATGTCGATTTGCTGGAGCACGGGCCAAAATACTGGTAGTGAAGCGCAAACCACAGCTACATCTACTTCGAGAGCGGCGAGGACGATTGGAGTTGGGCCGTACCAGGTCGGATCGAACGTTGGGGTGGTAGTGGCTCGTGTTTCGACAATCGACGCCAGGCGCCATATGGAAAAGATGCTGGCCCTGTAAAAAGTCAGCTATGCTGATGACATTGGTACCGGATAGGGAACAGCTTACAAGCTGCCGATGCTGAAGAGGCCGATCAGCGCCCATCGTGATCTCCTGTTTTGGGTCTTGTTGTAAAGCAGCAACGGTGCAGGAATAGCAAGGATGATCATGTCGAGGATCATGTTTGTTGCAGTCAGACTCGTATAAGTAGCGACAAATTCGTCCACTTCGAGAGAACCGAAGGCATATCGTGTTGCAGGAATCGCCAAATTCCAGTAGGCTCGGATTGGTATTGTGGGCACCCAGCCCATGATTCCGTATGCTATAGACCACGCAGCGACAACAATGATGGTAGCGACGGTGGTATACCACAAGCGTGATCCTCTCTCATAAATTCGAAGGTACTGAAATAGTAGCGCCAGCTTAATACAGCCTGCACTCGTTGGGTACGTGGCATTGGCGATGTAGAAGATCTGACCGCGGCTTTGATTAGCTTGAATTACAAGAGTGAAAACAAAAGGCGCACGCTTACTTTCAGATATTGCGACATTCGCTGCTCTCCGAGGAGAATAAAGTGCTGCCCGAAGCCTGTAGTAGTCGAGTGACATATTGATATGGAGCCGGCGCTTGTCATGACCTGTCGCGCACTGTTGGTTCACGTTCCTTTTTCAGGTCTCCAGACCTCAACTCACAAGTGCTAAGACAAGAAAGAAGTCATCCCACCACGGCGACTTGATAACAAATAAACGGGTATAGAATCGCAGAAGAGCACATAGCCAACTCAATATCTGTTCGTGGTAACGATGATCTGTCAGATGGATCTTCCGAAAGGACGGCGTTTCGAGCAAGTACCAGTACGAGGCGATTTATGCATCACCCGATTGCGCGTACCATGAAGCTTATTACGACCCCGAGGATATTCTGAGTGTGGTTGAGAAATTCCGGTTCCTCGTGGAGATTGTCTTTGGAACCGATCAAGTCGGTCATGAGCGCCATTATCGTATCATTACTCTTTCTTCTCGGTGAAGATGTGCAATTGGGTGCCGATTGTTGGACGTGGATCGTGGATCGCCGGCAAGTGCTTTTTAGTGAGTGGCCTGTCAGACTGGAGCCAGCGGTGATCGGTAGTGGTTTGCGTCGAGTCTAGACGCCAAGGCCAAACTGCCGTAGTCAAGTCCGGGGAGCGTGGCTTTTTGTGATGCTGCATGAGACATAGCTTCCGGGCTGGATTGTGGGTGTGGGCCGGTGGATCACACTGGAGATTTCCACACGGGCCCCTGATGATCACAAGAAAAATCCAGGCTTGAGTTGGCCTCAGCTCCGCCGCACACATCAATGGAGTGGAATGTGTCGTGGCAGGGTTTTGGTGAGACGAGAGGAGTCGCCCGAAAGATGCGCCCACGGAGTTGAATTTCCCTTTGCGGAAAACCAAGGGAAACAGAAGAAACGCCAGCTCGGGATCGATCATCAGACGGCACTTGAGCATCTCAAAACCTTGATCCTTGGGATGAGTATGGGATGGCAGGTGTGTATCTCTGAGAGGTCAAAGCTCTCATGCATGTCACGCCGCCAAGATTGCCACGTTCCCAACCCTGTAAAACGGAATGTGTGACGAGTTCCGGCAAATTTTGTGGCCAATGATTGCGGTATTGAGTCAAGAATCAAGTTGTGCTCTGGCCCTTTTCCAGCGAAACCTTCTATATAAGTTGATGTTAAGTGCAGAAGTGCCCAGGTGGTGGGACCTGAGGCCTTCTGCCGTGCCGTCGACCGACCAGGCAGGGATATATGCCTGAAGATGTGGATATATGAGCTTTGACCTCGCAAGGCACGACAGATCTGGATTCCGTCGCCGAGGACCCTCATCTTTTACATGACTTGGTTGGAATGACCACCATCTTAGTCATTTCCTCAAGCCCAGCATAGGCCACCGACCTAGACTGCTATCTTAGGATGAAGCCGGAAGCCGCAGGTATTGTCACGCAGCCAGGCCCAAGGCGCGAATACCCGCCTACCTTAGAGTTGCACTGGTGGAGACTTGTGTGGGTTTGGGGCTATAGTGAATATGAATCCCTGCGTAAGGGGCTGCTCAAGATTCTTGCGACATGTCTGGCGGGCGCGAGCCGTGCGAATTGAGAGGCTCCTCCATAATTCAGAGTAAGCGCTTCAATGTTGAGGCAACGATATTTGCTGTGTCATGATCGCTTCTGCGAAGCTTCAAACGTGCACGGGCTAACAAATTCTCTTTCGATCTGGCACACCCTCGGACGACGAGAGCCGAGATATCAAAGAAGCAATAGCTACAAGCCACATTGGATCCTACATGTGCGAGTCCCCACAGGCGATCGCCGGCGCCCCTCATCGGGGCTGTTGCCGGGTAGTCCATGGCGTTAACGTTTGAGGCTAGTACCGGCGATCAGCACGGCTTTTTTTTCTTCTGCCTCCCTGGTAGTATGTCTGGCCTGCCGTGATTTCGTCAATGGTAGCCCAGCGCTGCCGGCCGGTATCAACCCGGTGACGAGCAAACACATGCGGTCAGGAGTCTGCCCTGGCTGACCCCTTTTCACGATGGCTACAGGTCAAATCTCGTCGACGAATTACCACAGCACTGTAGAGCTTCCGGCTTGGGTCCGGTCCAATGGCCTGAACCCCAACCGCCGGGGTCCCGGCAACGGGCTACTTTCAGCGTCTTGCCATCGCGGCAACGTCCAAAGTTCCTGGTCAGCGAATAAATGGAGATGCCTCATTTCCGTCACTCATGCACGTCCGGACGAATGTGCCCGTTGAGAAGTGCCGGTTGAGACCTGTAAGAGGATATGTACGCACTAAATTTTCGTACAGCTCAATTTGCAAATAACACCTTTGAGGCGCCCTGAGCACTGTGACATGTTTGAGTTTTCTCCTTGTGGTCAGTCGTAGTTGTGTCCGGATCGCGGCTGTCCTTTTGATCTCAGGGTGCAACAGTAGGGTAAGCCAGCCACTGGAGGGACGACTGCCAGAGAGCAACTGTCACATATCTCGCTTCGATGCGGGTGCGATGCGGACGGTGTTTTGTCATTGAACCAGCATAGGTACCCGAAGTTATGGGACTATCTGTACTCTACAAGCTCCTCTACTGAGCCGAAATTGCAGCAAGTATCCTTGAAGGAACAATCCAACGTATCTTTCAGGATCAATGCAGTAAGTTCCTCCACTCAGGCATCTTCACAATGACTTTCCAATTTGCTTCTGCTACCAGCGCATTCTAGCCGGCAACATTTAGTAGTACATCCGCCCAGGCAGAGTCTTCTTATTATGCTATTGGCATTGTTATTTCTTAAACGCTGGGTCTTTGAGCGTTTACTACTGAGTGAAGGGACCGTACACCTTCGGGATATATAATACGGATTAAGAACGAAACCACCTAGCGAGCAATGAAGTCCCTCTACTCATTTGAAAACTCTGGGCATCTGGTATTGAATATATTGAAGCGTTAATCTCGAGCAAATCCGAAATTGATGAGCGTTTTCGCGGTGCTGAGCTCAGGGAATACTAAAATATGCCGCGAGCGAAACGTGTGGAGAGGACTTTTTACTCCACAAAGCTGATGAAACCGGCACAGCTCCCAGTGCTTGTTATCCAAGAATACTTGGAATCTAGTTCCGTGTCTTTCAAGGGCTGAGAAAGATCATTCCTGATCGATTCACGTGTTTCTTGGTAGTACAGTCTCATAGAAGTTGCCCAGGTGTCCGTGTTTCAAGCCGAAGCTTTTTGAGGTCTATTCCTAAATAAGTCTAATGCCAAAATGGTACCTAGGTATCTAGGTATTTTCAGTTGGACTGGACCACAAGGATCACGTACGCACCAGCCGAAAATGGGCAAGGCTGGTTGATTCAATGTCAGCAGTCCGCCGGTCGAAGCATCATCGGAATCGATCCCAACACACCGAAACCGCCCTCGCCCTGACAACGGCAGCAAGTGGTGGAGGACTTTCTGCCCGGATCAGTCCCCGGATGAGCATTCTATCACTTTATTAGGCATCAATATGGCCGCTGAACATGTCCAGAAAGACGCCAACCCGTCAGCAGACACACGGCAGATCGCTCCGACATTTACTGAGACATTTCCAGACACTCTTGAAGTCGATAATGGGCTTGCGCAATACAGTTGCCAGCCATGTGCGAAACGCAAGGTCAAGTGCGACAAAATGAGGCCAATCTGTTCCAGCTGTGCCAGCCGTAAACTGCAATGTGTATATCAGGCGCCTCCACCCCGACGGCGGAAGAGGCAGTCAAGCGGCGGTGATGTCTACGAAAAGCTCGCTCAGTACGAGCGTATCTTGTCCGAGCATGGATTGCTGCCACAGGAATCCCAAATATCACCTGCCACTGGAGGAGGTTCGCCACGGGAGCCAGTTTCCCTGCGTTTTATTGACCCGCATCCAGAAACTTCGAGATGGGGCAAAGTCGTGGTCGGCCACGGGAGGTCGAGATACATGAACAGCATTATCTGGCGCAGCCTAGAGGATGATGATGTGCAGCATGCGTTTGTTGAAGACGGTCATCGTCACGAAGAACGTGGTGATGCTTTGAGTTGCACAAGGAGCCCCCTGTCTGATCCTCTGGCGGGAGCGTTAATGGGCTATCAAGAGAACTTACTACACTGCCACCCCACGCAGAAAGAAGCATCACTCCTGTGGAATATTCATATTGAGAGCGTGGAGCCCATATGCAAAGTATTGCATATTCCGTCGGCGACCAAGATGGCGCTAGCAGCCGCTCGGGAGCCTCAAACGGCATCGGGAGCTGATGAGTGCGTTTTGTTCGCGGTATATCATTTCGCCATCTTCTCCTTAACGGAAGAAAAGTGCGTCAAGCTATTCGGTCGATCTAGATCTACTCTGATGCAGAAATTTCATTTCGCGACTCGGCAAGCCCTCGTCAACGCGTCCTTTCTCACGACCGCAAATACTTCAGTTCTGCAAGCTCTGATTCTGTTTTTGCTTGCTTGTCGCCACCATTATGATCCACAAACATATTGGATCCTAACAGGCGTCGCTGTTCGCATTGCTCAACATATGGGACTCCACCGCGACGGTGAGGCGATCGGGTTGCCACCATTTGAGGTACAAATGAGGAGGCGCTTGTTCTATCAACTAATCCCACTCGATGGTGTAGCGAGCCAGCTGTCGGGAACAGGCATCGCTGTTGCACCAGAGTCCTGGGATACTCAGGAACCACTCAACATCAACGATGACCAAATGTGGCCGGAAATGACCATCAGGCCAGAAGAGCAAGAGGGAGCAACCGAGATGATCTTCTGCCTGGCTCGAGCATGCATCGGGAAGTTTTTTGCCAGGTCGATGCGTGGCACGGCTAAGGACCACAAAACAGTTGAGACTCTCATCAAGGAGGCCGAGAGTGAGGTGGAGGAAAGGTATATCCGCTACTGTGACGTTGTTAACCCGCTACACTTCCTGACCGTCGGCATGGCGAGATCAGCCATAACGGCTATGCGAATAAAAGCCAGTTTGCCAAGAGTCCGGGATAAGACCGCCACGAATGAGGACAGGAAAGAACTGTTCCATTTGGCGCACAGGATCATCGACACAGATGCAGCTGCTTACGCCAACACAAGCCTTCAACGATACCATTGGCATGTGAGATCTTTCTGGGCATATGGATCGTGGGAGTCCTTGATTTATGTGTTGAGCAGCATGCGAATTCCAGGCCTACTCTCCATCGATGAGAGTGATGGCACGTGGAACAAGGTAGAGCAGGTTTATACCAACCATGACGACTTGCTGATATCGAAACAACCCTTGCACATGGCATTCGGAGCCCTTACTCTGAAGGCTTGGGACTCCAACCCTCCCAGACGCGGGACCCCTGAACCAGAGTTCATCAGAACCCTTCGCACCCGGCGGGAGCGCAAGCCTGCGATCACAGCAGAGACAGATGGCAGCGAAGTAACAATTTCAGAACCGAGTAAAAATAGGGAATCGCCAAATGACTCGGGAATTCAGTTCGCTGGTAGCTCGGGATTCGACGACTTCTCTGGTGCCTTGGATTTTGACATGGCCAGGGACTTCAGTCTCGATACAGAAGATTGGGCACTGTGGGATCGGTTAATCAGGGACGAAAACGCTCAAAGACTGCGTTGACATGGTCTCAAATATATTGAAACTTGTATCAGGATCTGGATCCGCAATACCTAACAATTCAATGATTACCGACGTACGGCAAATTCCGTAGAAAAACTTGAGATGTAATTCTGAGGCACTTATATAAATTGTGGTTTGGTTATGACTGTGCATTAGTTTACTGCCCTTAGACCATTATCATCCTATAACTAAGGTTATGTAAGAAAAGAAAGTATATATGTACCTAGGTATGGCCCCCGTTTTCCCTCCGGAGTATGACCCAATCACACACAACGTCTACCAGGCGCGTCTAAAAGCCGAGACGGCGTCACAACTGATCCCTCTTGTCCTCAAAATGCCATTCGTAGTCTGGCAATCCGAATTTGTCGCCGCCAAATGAGCTCGAGAACAGCCCACCAGCCCAGGCAACAATACCACCAAAAGCACCCATCCCCCAACAAATGACAGAAAGGATCCGGTTCCGAACCCATATTCCCCAGGCTGTCTGTGGCGCAAAAATCCAGGGAATTCCTGGGGGGATGCTCTGGAGATCGTCGATTATAGGCCTCATGCGCTCCTCGTAACCTCGGAGTCCAGCTTCCACATCACCCTTGTGCAAGCTGATTTCGCCAGCCAGTACATAAGCACCAGCCATGGCCAAACTCGTGCCAGTACCGGTAGGGCCCGGCGCGTAGCCCGCATCACCGACCAGGACGAGGCGTCCCTTGAACAGGCTGGGCACCTTTACCTGCACGATTTCAGACGCATAAAAGTCGTCGGAAGCCTTCAACCCTTCGATTATCTCCTCTGTCTTCCAGCCGGCCCCAGAAAACTGCCCAGCCACGTACATCTTCAGGGCATCACTCCCCTGCTTCGCAGCCTCCCTGAATGGCAAAGTCGCATCCTTGCTATTGCGTGGGTGGATTTTCTGAGTGATCACACGAGTGACCCCGGAAGGATCTGGCCCGAGACCAAAGAATCGGCCACCCGGCGCTGTCCAGGCCTGTGCCGTCTTGCTGCCATCGAGAAGGTCCTTGTCCACAGAGAAGTATGCAGACCAGCATTCGAGTGATCTGATGTGATCACGAACACCGCAGCCAAGCCCCATGGCCCGGGTTCGCGACGTGGCGCCGTCGCAGGCCACGACAAGGTCATACTGCGTCGCCGGCTGGCCGTTGGTGAACTCGACAGTCACGGGCCCGTCCTCGTCAGTCTGCCGCATGGACGAGATCTGCTCGCCAAATATGTATTTTATCCTCTCGTTGTTGCTGGTCAGGTCGAAAAGGATCTGTGCCAGGTCGCCGCGGAAGATCTCATACTCGGACACGAGCGACTGCTGGTTGACATCGCCGGTGGTGGTGATGGTCGCGAACGGTCTGCCGTCGTCGCCCACGAAGCTGATTCCATCCATTCCCGTGGTCTTTGCCTTGACAGCGTCTTCCATTCCGGGAATTTTACGCATGACCGAGACGCCAACGTTGCGAATGTCGACGTTTTGCCCGCCGGTGCGCAACTCTGGAAAGCGTTCGATTATAGTGACGTTGGCGCCAGCTTTGGCTAGCCAGTAGGCTGCTGTTGGTCCTGCGACGGAGGCACCCACTATGAGGACTTTTAGATCAGACATGTTTGGGAAGTATAGTGATTGTCGTAAGTACAAAGTTAAATCGAAAAGTGAATACTGCTGCTGTATTACAAGTCCATGTCTGTAACAATTGTTGGGTGTGCCATCTATGTATGTGTATATATATACCATCACCATCGGACCAATTCGGTGCTTGACCCAAGCTTTGGCCGTTGAATGCTAAGATGTCCGGGCCCGAGACAACGGGCCTCAACGGCCGAAGAGACCCACGAGTTGGGTAGGAACCGGGCCCGCGCAGCGCTAGTTTGCCCACAGCAAATATGACGTCCTCAGTTGGACTTTCGCATAGCCGTATGTAGTTAGGCTGGGGCTGTCCAGCTCGCATAAGACGTATCCGAACACCGACACGTCGAAGTGGCCTAACCTTAATAGGGCATCTAGGTAGACCACATGCGTACTTATTTAGCCTCACAGCGTCTACCTGACCGGTAGTGCAAAAACAATCATACCATTACTGTATTTCTCAAGACATTGTAACATTATTATGTATTCTTCAAGTTTACTAATAGCACTTATGAAGGGGTCACTTCGAATGTTCTATCAACCTTGGAAGGCAGATGTTGCAGAGGTGAAATTACATAAGCATCCAAGTCCCGAGGACTGACATCAACCAACTTGTGGTACCTGGGTACCTACTTGCTTAATTACTTACAGAGGTACCTGTGGCCAACACGGCTGCCTACCTACATGTGCACTCAATGCATGCTCCCCAGCACCAACTGGCTCTTGATTGAAAAGAGAATCCATCACTACCTAATGCTCTCCGGGTGACTCAGCACGGTCAGCCCCACACTGTACTCACTCCCACTGCTGTTGGCAACGGTATGAAGGCAGCAGCGGTACACAGCCCCTCCCTCGTCTCCCTCAAAAGCTTGACACGACCATCTCATTCACTGCTGGCGAGATCCAGCACCATTCATCGGCTGTTGTGGACGGGCACGACCTCTGCTCGCGCAAGATCAGCCATGGCCCCACGCACGTCCATCGAGGACTTCCAGGACCTCATCAAGTCCAGCAACCGCATCGTCGCCCTCTGCGGAGCCGGTCTCTCGGCAGCCTCGGGCCTGCCCACGTTCAGAGGGGCAGGTGGTCTATGGCGGAACCACGAGCCCACCTCCCTCGCGACCCCTGAGGCTTTTGAGGAGGACCCTGCTCTGGTCTGGCTCTTCTACGCATGGAGGCGACACATGTGTCTCAAGGCACACCCCAACGAGGGCCATCGCGCCCTGGCCGAGCTGGCAAAGAAGAAGAATAATTTCATCTGCCTGACGCAGAACGTCGACGGTGAGCCCCCCCGTCCGGGCCCCCAGTGTTCTGAGGCCAAACTTGAAGTAGAGCGGAGTGACACTGACATCTTGACCACAGGCCTGTCGACCCGAGCGGGCCACCCCGCGGACAGGCTGCACCTCCTCCACGGGAGCATCTTGGACATCAAGTGCTTTGACGAATGCGGCTATGTCGACAGGGACAACCTCTCCGACCCGCTCTGTCCCGCGCTGGAGGCCGCGTCGGCGGTGAGCACGGCACCAGATAACGCCGGCAGGCTGCCCCTGCTGGACCCCAACGTGCCCATGCCCCGGATCGACGTCAAGGACCTGCCGCACTGCCCGAACTGCAAGACTGGCCTCCTCCGCCCCGGCGTCGTCTGGTTTGGTGAGGCGCTGGACAGCAAGATGCTGGACGACACGGATGACTGGATCGACTCGGCGCCCGTGGACGTCATGTTGGTGGTGGGCACCGCGGCTGTGGTTTACCCTGCTGCTGGCTACACGCAGAAGGCCAAGAGTATGGGCGCTGTTGTCGCGGTTGTCAACCCTGACAAGAGCTCCTCCGCTGGCCTGGGGTCCAAGGACTTCTTTTTCGAGGGCGACGCTGCCGAGATTCTTCCTAAGCTGTTTGCTAAAGTTATCTGACGTCTCCAATCTACGTGTGGGGGACGTGTACAGTCAGTCCATGGGCAGGTGCTATTAAAATTATCATTGCTGGATTATCTAAAGGGGTATCAAAGTCTTTCTGCTCTCGTCTCGTCTTGTTCTATAGGTTAATCGCAATCTTGACCCCGACAGCGGTCGAGTCGCCCAGCTCCTTGATGAGCTCCGACGCCCGCTCGGCGGCCACCATGACGCCGAACTGCGGGTTGACCGTCAGCGGGGCGACAATGCTCGCGTCAACGACGTGGATGTTCTCGGTGCCGATCACCCTCGTCTGCGCGTCCACGCACTTTCCGATGCGGCAGCTGGAGCTCCAGTGGTTGACCATGCCCCTCGCGTAGGCCGACCACGTCGTGATGTAGGTCTTGATCTCCTCCTTGGTGGCCGCCTTGGGGATGTTGAGCGGCACCAGGCCCGAGTCGCTCTTGTCCAGCGCCGCGAACAGGTCCGCGATGAACTGCGCGATGTCGTCGGCGTCACGGCCTGCAGGGTCGCTGTAGAAGTTTCCATCTCCGCCTCCCGGGATGAACTTGCCCGTCTTGGGGTCCTGGTTGAGGACCACCTTGCCGGTGGACAGGAGCCCTGAGGTGCCGTAGATGTTCAGTGTGATGGTGCTGTCGTTGGTGAAGTCGGAGTAGCCGGCCGTTCCGATGGTGCCCTGCAGGCCGGTTGGCGGCGTACCATCGGTGTGGTTGATATAGGTCCAGAAGGCGGACGTCTGGCCTGCGAAAGAGTATGGTCCGGAGCGGTCCTTGAGGTACATCTCACGGTCGGCCTCGACGGGAGAGTTGTAAGAGTAAGTGTACGAGTCGATGGATGGCCCTGTGAGCTCGATAAAGGTGTTTGGGTTGTCGAAGAGGCCGGCACCGACGTCGCTGTTGTTCAGCCACGACGACGGGGTCAGGGATGGGTCGAGGGCGCCCGCCTCGGAGAGGGTGGTAAGAACATCTTCGGGTCCGATTCCTGAGAGCATCAGGAGAGCAGGGCTGAAGACGGCGCCACCACTAAAGACGACGCGGCCGGTGGGGCTCAGGTGGATGGTGGTCTCAACACCGTCGACCACGGCGGAGACGCCGGTGGCCTTGGACCCGGTGCGCACAGCTCGCGAGACGGTCACGTTGCTCTGCAGCGAAAAGTTGGGACGCTGCAGGGCAGACTGCAGGTAGGTGGTGGCTGGGCCGCCCCGCTGGCCGTTCTTGTAATTGTAGGACGTGTGCCCAAAGACGGCGTGCTTCTGGTCTGGCACGTCGTTGAAGACCACCTCAGAGTAGCCGGCCCCGTCAACAAGCCACTTCCTGGCCGCCTCGTAGCCCGACTGCACGTTGGATGGAGTGGTCACCTCGACGGAGGGCTGCCTCTCGTACAGCCTCTGGGTGGCAGCGGCGACGTCGGCGCTCTTCCAACCGTCCGGGTGGAAGTTGTCCCAGTCTGAGGCTGGAGGCTGAAAGTAAAGGCCGGCGTTGATGGCGCTTGAACCACCAATTGTGCAACCGCCATAGGCGGCGACTCTGTCACCGCAAGTGAGGGTTTCGGATCCTGCGAAGATTGTGTTGTCTGTAATTATCAAAAAGAAGTATTAGTCATGAGCTATCAAAGTGTTTTTCAGGTTGGGGACTTACACAATCCTGGCACGTCCACACGGCTCATGTTTGTGCCGTCCAACCAAGCAGGCCTCTCCTTGCCACCCGTGATACCGTACGACGGGCCTCCCTGCTCCAAGAGCAGTGTTTTTGCGCCCGTCTCGCTCAACCTGTCGGCGACAATTATGCCTGCTGGTCCAGCTCCCACGACAATGAAATCGTAAGAGTCGGTTGTCCAGTCCCCTCCCCTACCGACCAAAGGAGCAGCCTCGACGCATCGCAGCAGCAGCGCCGCCAACGCCGACGTCTTGAGTGAGGCTCGCATCGTTGATAGCTGTGATATGATCAACTTCGTCCTTGATGAGTTTGTTTGGTTGATCTCGTTGGTGAGAGAGCAATGTAAGGTCGACTTGAGATAACGAGGCCAGGACGGGGCGGAGGGCAGTTTTTAAACTCTGATTCTAAGCTTCAACTTGTGGGATATGGGACGGCTGGGCAGGTGCAGTTCAGCCCCCACGCGGGTCGCGGCAGATTACTGTGGTGTAGAGCCTCGATCGTAACTTTGAAGTCAAACAATGAAAATAGAACTCTAAGATGAGGTGCGGGTCTTCCAAGTTGGCCGAAAGGGGTACTTGGGTACTTGATAATAACTAGTCAGCGGGAACCTCAAAACAATGCTGCCCCAGCTGCACGGCGGCGCAGCATCTATCGGGTTCATGCTTTCTTGTCCGCCTCGTTCAAGAAGGCCTAAAGCTAAAGCCTAAATCTAAAGGCTATGACATAATGAAGCCTTCATCCTTTGTCTGCGCCTCTGTCGTGTTGCCGTAAAGGTTGTTGTTGCATGACTTGTTACGAACTACCTAACTATGCTAGCTTGGCCCTACCCGAACGTGCCGTTGCCTCTATTTTACTAGGCTTTTTACAGGTCTAGTCTAGCACTTGAGCATGCTCTGCAGATCTCTTGGCGATTCGCGCCGTGAGACTTAGGTAGCTAGCTGCACGTTGAGGCCGTCGGCCTGGTTCCACGGAAGAGTCCACGGAATACGAGCATGCGAGGAAACCCCCGAGGGTCCACTAGATGAGCCGGGAACCCCGACACAGCTGATGGCCGGTCAGCAACAATGCGTTCGAGCTGAGTTGCTACCACTCCGTACCTCGTACCTCGTACCTACTTACTGAGCACTTAAGCCTGTCCTGACTGCGCCATTGCACTACAAATAGGTTTGGCGTGGGACAGTCTTGTAGATCTGCAGTGGGAGCACAGACGCGGAAATGCTCAAGTGGTCATCTTTTGCGCAGCTCGGGCTTGCCTTGTGCTGTGAATCTCTGAATTCGGAGACTGTCCGAGCATTCTAAGGTTTACGAGCTGCTGATCTCTATCAACCCCGACCATCTTCTGCTGCCGTTACCGTGGTTCCTCAACCTGTGCCGACTAGAACAGCTCCGAAGATCTTCAAAAACCTCGTATCCAAGTGAACCTCAACTCCTGAGCCTCAACTCCTGAACTTTAGAACCCAATGAATGACCTCTGCGCCGCCCTTTTCCTCCAACCCCAAGCAGCCAAAACCATCCATCCATTCATCCGTGGATGTCGCATTCTGCAGAATCCCCACAAGAAAACACCAGAAAAGAGTACTCGAAAACAAACCAAACCAAAATAAATCAAATCGCCAAGCTCTGACTTTCCCTTCCTTTCCGTGCCAGATAAACTCGAGTTCTTATACACACGCATCACCAACGCTGTCACCGTGATGCACACCTCGCCACTGGGCTCCCTCTTTTTTCTTTTGTTATCCGAAGGGGGCCAGACAGGAGCATGTCTAGCGCGGCGGATATCCATTCTCAACGTAGGACCCGTCCATGACCCGACCATCGCTGCCCGGCCCACCACTGCCGAGGGCGTTGAAGTCGGCGCCCTGCTGACCAGCACCGCCGTCCATTCGGCGCTGCCTTTCGTGTGCGGCTACCCCCTGAGCTTGCTGATTGCCACCGGTCCTGGGCCCGCCAAACATGTTGAAGTAGCTAGTAGACATCCTTTGGTAGAGGCCGTTGCTGCTGTCCTGCTTGCTGTAGGGTATCTGCTGGTCGCTGTTGGCCTCACGTCTGGCCTTTCGCCGCTTTTGTATAATAGGTAGGGCAATTGCGATAACGAGCAAAACTACCACGACAACGACGATCGCGATCAGGACTGGCTTAGGGAGGTTTCCTCCTTTGGTCTTTTTTTGTTTCTTGATTTTTCTTGCCATCAGGGTCACAAGCGGCGACATTTGGTCGAGTGCTATCGGTGCCATCTCCGCTGGATTCCGTTGAGATGGTTATTTGGACTTTCAAAGGGATTTAGTTTCGACGGGGAATGAGGTCGGTGTCAGTTATAAGCGCGAATGATGGTTTTCGCAGGCATCAAAAGTGTGTATATGTGGGTGGTGTGTAATGAAATCACGAAGAAGAGCCACGCAAGGAGCCAGGTCAGGCGCAAGCGCTGCACAAGAAGGACCGTGTCGCTGTTATGTATCCTTTGACCTTCACAGGGGCGGTTGCTGGGCCGCCTGCTGACGTCGAAACGAAACTTGCAGCCCTCCATATGACCTGGTGTTGAGGGCGTGAGTGAGCATCAACCTGGGCGCTGGCAGTTCCCGAGATCTGTAAACATTGTAGCAGGTCGACAAGACAAGCCCGGCCGCGGTCGAAACTAACATCAGATGTCAATCAGATCCGTTTCAAGGGATGCCGTCCTGGTTGGCGGGCCGAGTCGGGCGGCTGACTATTTGGGGGCTGCGCCGCAGACTTACAAAGGATGATTGGATATTGGCAGCCCATTTCTGAAGCGGGTCTACAGGTCGACTTTGTGGCCGACTTGAATTGCGGTTCGAGAACTTGCAACACCAAATAGGTGTGTGAAGACAGGCCGGATTCGCGGTCCGAGATAGCCCTGTCTCAGACCTGCGCAACATTGAAAGGATTGAACAGCACATGCAACCACGAAGAAATCGCCCCAGAATCGCCTTCAAATGCTGACCCCATGGTCTATGGCCCGGCACGGGAGGAGATCATAAACAACATAATTAGAAACAAAATGGCCGTGTCCATCGAGGGACCAGAGCGGGCAGGGCCAGAATGTTTTGGGGTTAAGACTAAGAACTTTGTGGCCCTGGCCTTGAGGAATAGAAAGTTGAGTACACAGGTACAATAGATGACGTCCTCCAGCTAGGGCGCCCATGTGGCCCAGTGGCCTGCATCAATGGGAGTCCTCGTCGTGCTGCTTGGTGGATATATTATCGCCCTCCGAGCTCCCTTTCTTGAAGTTCTGGTGCGCAATGGTCTCCAACGATAATCCCTTTGTCTCCTTGAGGAAGAAGAAAGCCACGAGTGCAATAACAACGTCGAAAACTCCCCACAGGAGAAATGTGCCCCAGCCCATATTCGCGATCATATACGGCGTCGTCAAGGAGAAGACAAAGTTAAACAGCCATTGGGAACCAACGCCAACGGCCACACCTGGCTCACGGATCCGAGTAGGGAATATCTCGGCCACATAAGGCCACGGCATCGGCCCCCAACTGAAGTTGTACGCGATGACGAACAGGTATATCAATGCTACCGTCGCAATACCAGCGCTGGTGACACTTGCTTGGTCAGGCGGAGGGACCGCCCTGACGACGGCCGCAGTGGTGATCTGGCACGCTGCCATGAAAGCAGCCCCCACGATCAGCACATTGCGCCGCCCGACCCGCTCCGAGACGAACAGGACGAATATGCCACAGGCAACGACCTTGATGGCGCCAAAGATGGCGGTGAGCAGCAGGCTCTTGTTGCCTGGCCCGACCAGGAGGTTGAAGTACTGTGGCCCAAAGTACGCAAAGGCCGTGGCGCCGCTGGCCTGCTGTGCTGCGAAGATGGCGAACGCGGCCAGGATTCGCCTGAAGTTGTCGCCCTGGAGGAGCTCCCTCGGCCGGAAGCCCTCGGTGGCGCGGACTTCCAGCTCAACCCCGAGCCTGATGTCCTCCATCTCCTCGAGCACGGCCTGGGAGTCGTCCGCCCGGATCCACTTGAGACTCTCGAGGGCCTCGTCGTGGCGGCCCTTCTTGGTGAGCCACCTCGTGCTCTCTTTCAGGGTCAGCATCCCGAGCCCGAGGAGCGCCCCAGGGACGAGCTGCAGGCCGATTGGGATCTGCCACTGCCGCGAGTTGCTCGGGCCCAGGGCGACGCCGTAGTCGACCCAGTAGCTGACAAAGATGCCAAAGGTGAAGAACCACTGGAAGAAGCTGCCGATCTGGCCCCTGATCTCCTTGGGCGTCATCTCGGAACTGAACATGGGGACCACCACGGTCGCCGTGCCCAGGCCCAGCCCGGCGATGACCCTCGCGGCATAAAAGGCCGCCAGAGAGTGCGTGTTGATGGTCTGGATGAGCGCGCCTACGAAAAAGACGAGGCTGGAGATCATCAGCGCCTTCTTTCGGCCGAGGCAATCCGTCAGCGGCCATGCCAGGAAGCATGCGACGAAGGCTCCGAGCTGCTGGAGACTGACAGACAGTGAGTTGGTCCGCGTTGCCCCGGCTTTTGCGTAGCCATAGTCGTTCTGGAACGAGGCGAGGGTCAACACCCCACCGACAATGCCTGAGTCGTATCCGAAGAGGAAACCCCCTATGCAGACCACGCTTCCAAGCCAGTAGGCGCGGATCTTCCCCAGCCGGGTGCCCTGCATCCTTCAGATGAGATGATGGCTGTCCCGCAGGATCAGCACTGGGAGTCGTTGATCAGGGGCGGTGACCTCTTGGAAAGCAGCATTGGAGGTATACTTCAACTTCAAATGGTAGCCTCAAGAGGTTGACAGTCGAACTTGGCCGCCCGGATATGTCTGAACAGGTGTAACAGCAGCATGCGAAGCCGTAGACACACTCTTTTGTCAGAGGTCTGTCCGGCCTTTTCTGTACTTGGGCACTTACCTTCGGTCATGTGGGAGCTGACGCATACCTGGACACCTCCAGGGCTGCACAGTGCAACATTATTCTCCAACCCAACTGAAAGCCTCCTACCATTCGCTGACAGCCTCTCGAAACGAGCTGCCGGCCACCAATTGGCTGCTCTGACGGTGCATGAGCAACATTGTGAATTCCCATACCTAGGTACTTGGTGAGTATTCTTCCATACGAGGAGCCAACGTGATCCATCCCGGCAACCATGCCATTTTCGACCAGTCAGAAAGAGATACAAGCTGTTCGGACACCAGTAGAGCAAAGAGGGCTTGCAGGTTCTCAACCGACGCCCTCTTCCCCGCAGCATTCGTCATTGGTCCCGAATCTGCAATGTGACCGACTTCCAGGGATCTACAGGAAGTCGGCCTCTGAGCATGCCACACATACATGCGCGTTAACTGTGTGTATTTGATGAACGAGGGGGCTGATGCGGGGTCCTTCACGTCTTGGGGGATATCAGAGCGCAGGAGCTGCAGGAGGGAAGACATAAATTGCTGTGCGGGAGCGAATCATGGTGAGCATCGATCGACTTCTACCTCGTATCAGCAGCTGATTAGCTAGGGAATGCTCGCAACGTGATGGATGAGTAGACTATGTGGATGTGATGTGCGCGACAACTCATCCCTCGTTGCAACGAGGCCGCATGTGGGGTATATATTGCTTCCAAATGCAAATTCCACATGGAGAAGAGAGGTTGCGTGTGCAATTCTGCTTGCGATTGATCTCACAGTGTTCCAGCTCAATCCGTATCTCCCTTGTTAAATAGCATGGGAGTCGAGGGCAGGGAACATCATCACGTCTCCCCTCAACTTCGAGTATATATATACTCCCTGGCCTTGTGATAACCGTGTTCAAAGTTGTCCAACACTTAAATCCCAGAAACCACCATGGCTCCCGGCAGGCGCCCCAACTTCCTCGTCATCGTCGCCGACGACCTAGGGTTCAGCGACATAGCTCCCTTCGGCGGCGAGATCAACACCCCTCACCTCGACAAACTCGCCGCGGGCGGCCTCCGCTTCACAGACTTCCACGCGGCGGCGGCGTGCTCCCCTTCGCGCGCCATGATCCTCACAGGCACCGACCACCACATCGCGGGGCTCGGCAACCTCATCGAGTGGACCAACATCAGCGGGCAGAACGACCCCAGCGGTGGCATGTCCACGGCCCCCCAGCGCGGGATGCCGGGCTACGAGGGCTACCTCAACGAGCGCGTCGCAGCGCTCCCAGAGGTCCTGCGTGACGCCGGCTATCTCACCCTCATGTCGGGCAAGTGGCACCTCGGCCTGACCCCAGAGCGGTCCCCTCGCGCCCGCGGCTTTGAGAGATCCTTTGCCCACCTACCCGCCTGCAGCAATCACTATGGTTACGAGCCGCAGCTCGAGGGCGCCGACAAGATCCCCGAGTTCATGACCATGAGCTACATTGCCCTGCACAGCGAGGACGGCGAATACGTGAAGAAACTGCCCGAGGGCTGGTATTCTAGCGACGGGTACGGGGACAAGATGCTCTCGTACCTCGAGCAGTGGAAGCAGGGCGAGGACCAAGACGGCAAGTCCGACGACGACAGAAGGCCCTTCTTTGCGTACCTCCCGTTCACCGCGCCGCACTGGCCCTTGCAGGCACCACAAGAGTACATCAAGAAGTACAGGGGTGTGTACGATGACGGCCCGGACGCACTGAGGCAGAAGCGCCTGCAGCGGCTCAAGGAGCTGGGCATGGTGGACCAGAAGGTCGAGCCCCATCCCGTCGTGGCGGACGAGGTCAAGCAGTGGGCCGAAATGAGCGATGAGGAGAGGGCCAACAGCTGCCGCGCAATGGAGGTGTTCGCAGGCATGGTCGAGTGCATAGATGCCAACGTCGGCAAGGTCGTCGACTACCTCGAGTCCGTGGGCGAGGTGGATGACACGTTTGTGTGCTTCATGTCCGACAATGGTGCCGAGGGCGCCGCGTACGAGGCATATCCCATAGTGCAGGGGAGCATGATACAGCACCTCAAAAAGTACTACAACAACCACATAGACAACCTTGGCAACGGCGACTCTTTTATCTGGTACGGCCCGCGCTGGGCCCAGGCCGCAACCGCCCCTTCGAGGTTGTACAAGGCATATACCACGGAAGGGGGCGTGCGCGTGCCCTTCATGATGAAGGTGCCGAAGCAGTGGGAGGGAGGCCTAGACAAGGGCGGCGTCACGCATCAGTTCAGTACGGTCATGGATCTTGCGCCGACGATTTTAGACCTGGCTGGCGTCACACATCCGGCGCCGGTATATCAGGGAAGAGAGGTTGTCAGCATGCGGGGGAAGAGCATGATGCCTTACCTTCAGAACGAGACCGGCAGAATCCACGAAAAGGACTTCGTGAACGGGTGGGAGACGTGCGGGCGTGCAGCCGTGCGGAAAGGGGACTGGAAGATGGTGTTTATTCCGAAGCCCAAGGGTCCGGAGAAGTGGCAGCTGTACAACCTGGTCAAGGACCCTGGTGAAATCCATGATCTGGCTGATCAGGAGCCACAGAGGCTGATGGATCTCCTCAAGCTGTGGGATCAGTATGTGCTGGAGACGGGCGTGGTGCCGCTATCAAAGGACCTGGGCAACTGGATGGCCGCAATGGAAGAGCAGATGCCTGAGAATGCGTGGATTGAGTATGAGTATTGGAAGGAGGGGGCGAGGGACGATCCGGCCAAATTCACCAAAAGTATCCCACGTTTTATACGACAGGTCAAAGCCATTTAGAGCAATGCCTAGGTAGTTCAGTGAGCATAAAGGTTCTTCTCGTTCACTCGTCACAGAACCCCCCGTGCCGTGCCATCCGGTTAAATACTGGAGAAATGCAATAGTCTGAGTACAGAACCAGTGATGGTCGCTCCCGAGTGATCTGGCATCATGCCTTAGTCGTCTATCGCTAATCACCGTTTAGGGGTGGTGTTGGGTAAGGAACTGCCCAGACGCCATGGTACTGTTGGTGAGGACGGACCTTCTTTCGCTGTACATGCCTTGCCGTCACTGCTGCTTGTGGTGTTAGGAGACGGGTTGCTTGAACCAAGAAGAAATTCCCGAGTACCCTTTCTGAAGAACCGACCTTTCCTGGGAAGAAGCTCAAGTGGCTTCCTTAAAATAGCGCGATATCCAGCCATTTGGTGGTCCAGACCAAGATTTGCGATACTCGACGCCTTAGAAACCCAGAGCCCATGATGTATTTACCTGTGATACTTGATCTAGATGAAAAGGTGACCCGTTGTTTATCACGACTTGAAGTTCATGCTGTATCCACCGGTCTTTGGGTCCTGTACCATCTGGAATTGATCCGTAGACAGCCCGAACGGCTTCAGGATTCCGTTGCCGAGCTAATAGCACCAGGAAAGGTCAGTCATTCAAAGGTTTCATGGCCGTTGATGAGATGAAGAAATTTGAGCCCAAGTCCCACTTACGTCTTTCAGTTTGCCCCACATCTCGGCCGTCTCCTTCTCCTTGGCCTCGTTGACACGCGCGGGCAGTACCTTCAGCTGCTGTTGCAGGAGCTTCCTGTCGCCGGGGCTGACGTTGTCCATCTTTGACAGGAGCGTGTAGTCCTCCACTGCGCCGGCGAGGTTGGTCCATCCGCCCTCCTCACTGCGGGCGCGGGCTCGCCTGATCAGGGCCTTGTATCGTATGCGCTTGATGTCGTCCCGCTTCTTGTCCCGGGCGACCTGGGCTGGGTCCTCCTTCTCGTCGTCTGGGATCGCAGGACCGGCCTTCTGGGCACCGGGGCTGATGATCTCATCCTCAACCTCCTCTTCCTCTTTGGCCTTGGCGTCGGCCGCAGCCTTCTCCTCCTCTGCGAGCCGCGACTCGAGCTTGCTAAGCTTGTCGAGGGCGGCGGTGGCGGTGGTGTTGGCGTTCTTCCACTCTTGCATTTTCAGATAGCATGCGGAGACGTTGGACTTGAGGACGGCGAGCTCGAAGTCGAGGTAGTTGGGGCAGACGGCAACGGCCTCGTCGTACTTGGAGATGGCAGCGTCATACTTGCCCGAGCTGAAGAGGGCATTTGCTTCGGTCTTGTGTGTGTTGGACTCGCCTAGGAGTTCCTGCCGGGAGATGCTATTGTCAGGCCAACCGCGTGGTAAAGACAGCAGTTCTAGGGAGAGGTCTCCGTATCATCATCTGTACTTACGGCCTCCTCCTCAGGCGAGAACTTGACGGGCTCGGCGTCTTCAGGAGCGTTGCCATTGTCTGCATCGTCCTCGTGTCCCGGCGTCTTGATGTACTCGGCAGGATTTGCAGCAGACGTCTTGCCAGACATCCTGATAGACCTCCTCGTCCCAGAAGAGAGGACAAGGGCTGCGTACTGGAAAAGCAATAAAAGCGAACAAGGTTGGCGGGTGTTGGTTGTCCACGGCTAAATCACAAAAAAAGATGCATGGGGCAAGACAAGCTATGACGATGTCCCGTCCTCCCGCCCGAAACCCCACGGGCCTGGGTGGGTCCCCTGTCCCGCGGCCCCACCAGTTTGAGTTGGGGCGCTCGAGCTTCGAACATTGAATGCCAAAATGCCCCTCCACACCCCCACCCACCCAAAGATGAAGGCGCTACGATGATTCACCGTAGCATCGCGCATGTTTCCCAAGACTTGCGACACTACAGTACACAACACTCCCCACGACACGCCTACCCAGACCTTCAGAACCCATCAATTCACCAACCCACTCTTCGTTTGAACCACTGAATCCGTGAGCCCAAAAGATGGCCCCAAGAACAGAGTCAGTACCTCACGTGTCCCGGCCCTCAGGCTGTTGTTTACTGACTCACTTTGCCCAGCTTCCCGCCCATACGGGCCTGCCTCTTTGACATGGACGGACTTCTCCTCGACACCGAAGACATCTACACCCAGTGCATCAACATCCTGCTCGCCAAATACGGCCGGCCCAACCTGCCATGGTCGATCAAGGCCAGGCTGCAGGGCCGCCCCGGGCCCCAGGCCAACGAGCTCTTCCACAACTGGGCCAAGCTGCCCATCTCGAACGACGAGTACATTGCTGAGTACTCGGCCCTCCAGCGCCAGCACTTCCCCAACGCCAAGGCCCTGCCCGGCGTCGAACAGCTGCTCCAGGACCTCGGCCGCACGAGATACTGGGACGTCGCCGGCGCTGACGCAGAGCGCGAGGACAAGCACAAGGGCGCGAAGAGGGTCCACATAGCACTGGCAACCTCCAGCAACAGCGGCAACTTCGCCCTCAAGACGGCCCACCTCACAGACCTCTTCTCCGTCTTCCAGTCGCCCCACCGCGTCCTGGGCGACGACAAGAGGATACAGCCCGGCCGCGGGAAGCCGCTGCCAGACATATACCTGCTCGCACTGGAGACTATCAACTCTACCCTGCCGCCGGGTGTCGCCCCAATCAGGCCGGAGGAGTGCCTCGTCTTTGAGGACAGCGTTCCAGGCGTCGAGGCCGGGAGGAGAGCCGGCATGCGAGTCATCTGGTGCCCCCACCCGGGGCTCAAGGGGGAGTACGCCGGCCGGGAGGCCGAGGTGCTGGCTGGCAGGACCGGCGAAGCCGGCGTAGGTGTTGACGAGCACCAGCTCGGGGAGATCGACGACGGCTGGGCGCAGTACCTCGAAAGCCTCGTCGACTTCCCCTACAGCTCCTACGGTATTGTCGTCCCTCCGAAAGACGTCGAGTCAGACCCCAGAATGAAGGAGACAGCAGAGACCGAGACAGTCGCGGTCGAGGGCGGAGCATAAGGGGTGGGATACGCTGTAATTTGGGGGTTGGTGTTTGCACCGTAAAAAAAACTGTTAGAAGGTCTTTTACAAGATATTTCACAAGTGTTTGCTTCTGGTGTGCAAACAACATCAAGTCTATGTGTATAACGTAGCCCGTCGAGACTGGGAAGAGCAGGATTAGAGTATGAGTTAGAACTAGTGTACACTTAGACAAGTAGGCAATTTTGGTCTGCGCAAGGACAATGCTTAGTTTACACTGTGCTCTTGTGTGATGTGCTTGCCTAAGTACAACGATAAGCAGCAGAGTGCCGAGGAGCATAACGCAAATGAAGCATTCGTTTAAGCCCACTGAGTAGGTGTAAACTAGATTTGGTTCCGGTTTTGATTATGCATCCGGGACAACCTGGTTCTATACTGTATACTGTGTCGCTGTACTGCCTGCTGCCAGTGATATGAATGGGTATCATGCACAACCTGCCTGTCCCTCTCACCAGTGAGGGGCCGCACTTTAACCCAATTCCCTTGAAGAAAACAAGAAAACCCGTCATAATTCGCTTGCTCACGCCTTACCCATGCAAGATCGGTCCCACGATCCCAGAAAAACGCCATATATATGTATGAATGATGAAAGATCCTCCCAAGACCATCATGCAGAATCACATGATGGCCGAAACATCCGTCCCGACACCTCCCTCACACGAAAGAATAGCTAGCTCCTCCCCTATGGGAAGCTAGTAAGGCCACAGCCCCCCTCCGCCCGACCCAAACGAGTGGTGCGAGCCGCTCCCCTTCTCAGGAGGCTTGTACCACTCGCGGTAGGGGTGATTTGGCTGGTTGAAATCCGCCTGCGCCAGCAATGGGTTGACCATGGGTCGCGACGGCGGCGTCGGCGCGTTCGCCGCTGTGCTCGACACCGATGCGGGCGTGTGCGCCGTGCCGGCCGGGCTGGGGTGGTTGCTGCTGGCGATACTGCTATGCCTCGCGCCGCCCCCAGCCGCCCCCGCCGCCGTGTTGGCGGACCCTGCTGAGAACACCGAGTACGATGGAAGGACGGGCGGTGTCGGGTTGCTGGTGAGCGACGCGTGCCGGTGTCGCTCTGCCGCCGCGGCGACCGCAGCAGGCGGCATGACCGGTGGCAGTGGTGGCTGAGAAGGCTGCGATGTGCGCCGCGCGTCATCCTGCTGCTGCTGCATTGTGGGCTGCGCCGGCGGATCGCGTGGCCCGAAGAGCTGGTTTAGCACCGCGGCCGCGCCTAGGGTTCCGCCCTGTGCCGCAGGGGCGATAACAGAAGCAGGGGCATTGTGAGGTGGCAGGGACGGGCCTGTAGAAGTCGCCGTACTGGGCGGCACATCCGGTGGATCCCAGCCCCATGCCCTCCTCAGCTCTCCGACAATTCCCTTGAGATTCCACCCAGTTATGCGGAAGACCCGGTTCACCATCGCCAGGACCTCGTTCTGTTCCCTCGGGTCCCGCAGCACAGCTCCCGCGATGGCAAGGGACCGGATCGCGACGGATGAGACTCCGGCGTCCTTTGTGTGCGCAATGATGCCGCAGACTTGGTGTGCGTGGTGGAGCTGCTGGATTCGCGACTCCTCGTCATCGTGATGTGGAGGCTTCAAAGGGTTGATTTGGGCGAGCAGACACATGGCAGTGTGGTAGAATAGGCGGCCTACAATAGCGACGCGTTTGATGAGCCTGTCGCACAAAGTCAGTCTTACTAATTGCCAATGGATTGGCAAACGATGCCTTTGTGCTCCTTGGTGAGAGAGCCGGGAGGGGGGGCGGGGCGGAATGAGCGTAGGTTACGTACCAAACATTTGGAAATGCCGATTTCGTCGAGGCCGCAAAGAGATATCCATACGGCCTCAACGACCTCGGACAGTTCGTATTCCATGTATCGCACCAGTGCTTCAGTTGCTGCCATTCCTGGAACCGGCCCTGCATTTTAACCTGTTCGTCATGCGGGTTCGGCTCCTGAAATTGTGGTATGCTCGCCCTGAAGTTGGCCACCTTGGCCACGATGTATAGTATCCTGTGAACCCAGATCTCCTCGTTCCCAACCCCTGCAATGCTGCTCAGCAGTAATGGCAACTCCTCGGCTGCTGTTCCGGCCGTGTGGTGCTCAGCCTCGCTCGAATTCGAAACCTTGCTCTCGCGGCTCGGTGAGTCGGCGGTCATATCCATCAACTCATTTGGATCAATGCCCCAGTGGTCCGGATCCCATTCTATTGCCCAGTTATGCGCCAAGCAGCTCAGAATCTCCATTCCGACATTGAGCCAAAAGCATGCTGCCCCGATACCTGTACTCTTCGCGTTCCACTTGCACTCGCGGATCAGAGCTCGTGCCCCAGCGATGTGGTTCATCCTCGCAGCCGGTCTCTCGCTCATGATTTCGTAAACGTTCAGCACCACCGCAGTTGTCGCGCATTCTTCCGTGTCACGCTCGGGGTTCTGCAGGCTTCTAAGCAGCTGTGTCGTTGCCGTGTCATAGTAGTATAAAGCCTTGTCATCTTTGTAGCTGCCGCCACTAACCAGGGTCAGATGCTTGACACCGCATGCGAAAAATGCATTGAGCAGCATCGGCGATTTCAGAGCGAGGTACGGTATTATGCGGCCGAAATGTTTCTGGTTGTCCAGGCTGTCCATCCACACCGCCACATCCTCAATAAAGACCTGCATGTAATGGATCTCTTCTGGGGTGTTCAGGTAGTCCCGTTCTCCAGTCTTCTCGGACTGCGGTGTCATGAGTCCATCATGCGGGTCTGGGGCGCCAGATCCGGTGGCGTGTCGGTACGACCCTGAGGAGGAAGCAGCAACTCCCTGAGGCACGAGGGATGATGCTACGCTGGAACCGTCACCCGATCTATACCCATAGCCCGCGTGATAAGCTTCCTCCCGCATGGCGTACGGATCGTGCAGCGGGCCCACGCTGAATGATGGCGCCCTGCCCCCGCCACCAGAATGAGATGATCCGGGAGTGGGCCCGGAGCTCAGGGCAAGAAATGCGTCGCTGCTTTTTCGTGAATGCGTGTGAGCGAGTTGATCTTCATAACTCGCGAAAGGCTGGTCGTGCGTGGGCCGAGACAACCCCCCAGAGTAGTACACGGCATGACTAGAGGCGAACGGAGCACTCCTGTTGCTCTCCATGACCCGGCTAGGCGGTAGATCGATGGCTGGCCCTGGACGTGGAAGTCGAGTCCCCACGCCCGCTGTCGCCCGTGACGGTGAGACTGGCCGCGATGCTAGTTTCGCATATTTCGCTGCACCCCCAACATACTCGGAAGCAATTTGTCGAGATTCGTCTTGGAATTTGACTGCAGCACATGTGTTAGCATTCTGTTTGGGTCAACGGACTCCTAAGCCATGCTGAAGGCCCTCAAGCCTTCCCCGGTGCAACCTACCTTTCCAATCTACTGGTGGTAGCAAGACTGGTGGCTGCTCCACCTTCAGGTCTATAAAATTAAGCCGCACTCCACGCTCGCATTTTCGATTGCTTTTCTGGCAGTTTAGACAGGTCGGCAAGGCTTCGTCACATTTGAGATGTCGATTGCGGCACGTCAAGCATCCCGTTCGCACACGCTTAGGCTTGGCCACCGTCGGCGACGCTGATGGCGCTCCCTGCTCCCTGCTCTCGCTCTCTCCTCGACTGACGACCTTCTCGCGTCCTGTGGACACCTCCGTCGCCCTGGAGAAGGTTGGTGGAGTCTGCCCATCCATCACGTGCGAATTCCGGGGGCTAGCCGTCGCCGAATGGCTAGCAGTCTGACTAGGTCGTCGTGAGATGCCTGCCTCGGAAACCCTTTGTCGCTTGGCAGCTGGGATTTCAAAGTGGCCATGCGGCGCTGGACTCGTGGTGTAGTTCCCTCCACCGCTGCTGGCACTGGTGGTGTACGTTGGCGAGGCATTATCGATTCCGTAAGCGGAGTAAGGGTTCGGTTGAGGACCGGGCAGGTGGTGGTGAGCTGAATATGGCGATGGAGGGATTGAGGGATGGTGTTGGCCGCGAGAACGAGACTGATGCCGCTGGCGTGCAGCCACCACACTGCCTCCGTCAGGGCCGAAGCCCGACGAGACAGCACCTGGCGGTGCCCCGTAAGCCGCCACGGCTACTGATATCTCGGGGAGAAAAGGAAGTAGGGCTGCGGCGCAAGGGCCGTGCCGTTCCGCACCGGCTTGGAGTGGACTGGTGGCACGAGGAGGCCGATGTGGAAACGAAACTATTGGGAATACCAAGCAGGTGAGGGTTCGCGCACTGGCGAAAATGGGGAAACGGCCCAGATCAATTGCCAATGTGGCCTCAATTGGTGACAGTGGTGGGTAGATGAGGGTAGATACGAGGTTGGTATGGCTGTATCGTTGAGTCGGTGACCATAGGTAGTAAGTGATTTGACCGTTGTGCTAGTTGTTCAGGAAATCTGCAAGAAGCCCGCGATTCGCCCCGTCGGGACCGGGGCCGGGCGGTCCCTGTGTGCGTCTTGTTCAAGCAGCTAATGCGTTACTGGAGCGGGAAGCCTGATGCTTGAAGAAGCCAAATGTCGTGTCTCGAAATCTGGCCTGTGGCATTTGTGCCTGAGCGGTATATCTCACCTTTCCGAGGGATTCGGTGGCCTTAAAACATAGCAGAGAGCCGGGAGGTTGCAAGACCTTGAGCAGGAATGCACGGTGGGTGCGCCCCATGTGACCCAAGATTCGTCCCTCACTGCAGTGTGTCGAATTGCGTACAGGGACGAGAAATTGTGACGGCGTGTGGCGTCCGTGATTGTGTCCCTCTTGGGTGCTGGAGCGGGCCGGGGGCGAAAGTCGAAGGAGAATCACTGTCGTGAGGCTCCGGGCTCGCCGTCGACGTCTACTGAGGGCCCATTGCGAGGAAGGTGTTTCTCTGATAACACGTGGTGCCCTTGGCCATTCCGCACGGTCTAGATGGTTGAGAGAGCCCCGGATCGAAGTTGAGGTGATATGGGCTTGGGGCCCAGCTGAGAGTCTGTCGCACACGGCCTGCGCAATTTGAAATGCTCACCCCGTTTGAGAGACAACTGGGCGCTTGAGGTGGTGCTGGGCATATCAGTCTTGCACGGTGGTACAAACTGTGTCCCGGGAAATGAGGAGCTCTGCTTAGGACGACGACAGTCACCGAAGGGGCCCCGGGGACACAGCAAAGGCTTGATGGAGGTCCTCAAAGTCGAGACTTTTTGGAAAATCTAGGCCTCGGGATTTCCTCCCGAGGGATGGAGGTCGCTTGAGCGGCAGTAGCTCTGAATTTAGACCAGTCAAGAGCCAACCATCACAGGCCCTGTCCAGGAGCTCTCCCTGCTGGGGTGGCTAGCGTCCGCCGTCCGGGGTGGGCAGGTGGGGTCGCATACGTTTCTCTGGAGAGCAGGGTCCCGGGGTGGTGGTGAAGATGAGAGCCCCAGATCCCCCAGGCTGTGAGCCTCAGAAACCAGCCACGACTGGCAGAGTCAAGGTTGGGCACCTGACTGCCGGGGAAGCTGCCATGTCAAGCCAGGAGGAGAGACCTGGCATGCCGACGAGGACGAGGGCAGTCAGCGGTCGGCTGGCAGAGCAGCAAGACGTTGCTTGCCAGGTGTTTTCTTTCATGTGAGAAGGAGCTTGCGGCCCTGCCGTGCAGCGAGCGAGACACGCCGAGGCGGGCGGCGGTGTGGGTGTTGTGCGCTTGGGCTGCCCAGCTTGGTCTTGCAGCATCCGCGGGACTGATCACACAGCTGCCATGACCATGCACAGCCAGACAGTTCTGCACGCGCAGAGGCCACAAGGCTCAGGTGCTGCGACCTCAGGCCTTGTTTTGGCACGTCCGTGCAAGGATCTCTGCCCGTTTACAAGTGCGGAACGGTGTGGACGAAACATTCTTCGCAATGTTGTCAATGTTTGATCGTCCACTTCCCACCCGGCCATTCATCACCAGCAGGGGCATTTGTGCGCCCCACAGGGCGGATTTCGTGTCGAGCCCCGGAGGAGTACCACAGCAAAGATGCACCGCATCATGACACCCTGCTGGATGAAGGCGTGGGACCCGGAACACGAGCTCCCAAGATGCAATCAGTCACGTGTAGGGGCGGGCAGGCCCAGCGAGCCTCCCTTGGGCTCAAGTCTATTACCATAACATCGCCGGCGGCCGCCCTCAGGGCTGCGGTGCTCTGTGTGCCCTGAAATCGGCAGTAGATCGTCCCGAAAGTGCATAGTGGAGACTGGCCGGAGCCGTCGTGGTGTGTCCGCCGATGTTTTGCAGTTGGGCAGATGAGACGGAGGGAAAGCCTTTCCGAGCCACCATGACACACAGCTCAGTCTTGGCGGAGGCCGGCCGGAGTGCATGGCCTGCTTGGCCTCCAAATAGAAAGGAGGCCGAAGCTTGACCACTGACCATGAGGTGGGTGCAATACCTGTTCTAACTTCTGGCTCGTGCCCATGCCGCATCTCGCCTATCTCCCTTGCACTATGCCGGGCCAGTGGCGGGCGGGTGGACAAGGTGTGCGCACGCCTCGACCGGGTTGTAAATTGGGGGAGGGGGGGGATGTCACCACCAACCACCAGCAGCTCATCTCATGACGACGGTTGACAGCCGCGCACGAGACTTATCTGCATCCCCAGCTGCCAAAGCAGGGTTGCAAAGGACACCAACACTGCAGCGGTGAGCCTGAGTGATGGGGGAGAGGGCCATGGGGGGCCAAGCACAGTCGACATCGATGACGATGTGGCTTCTCTGGTGCTGGGGCAAGAGGTACTGGACCTGCTGCTTTGCTCTGGGTTCCTTGTTGTTGTTGAGGCATGTGAGGGTCACGATGTCAGGCTGCGTAGGGCGAGGGCCGTGGTGGAGGGTGGCCGCCCTTGCCAGAGGGTGAGCGGGTGGTGCAGGCGTTTGCAACACATTAATAGAATAAGGTTCCATTCTCCGGCTCGGGCTCGCCCGCTCAGCCCGCTTGTGGAGACCCCTGGCTGACAGGCTGGCAGGCTGGCAGGCTGGGAGACCTCCCTTGCTCCAGGGCTGAAAGCCACCGCCCGAGTCCTGGTGGTGTGGTCCCTGGCTACCGTCTCCCGCCGCCAAATTCCCCGATAATGTGTTGTGCATTGGCTCGTCGACTTGGCAGAATATGGTTTGGTCGGTTCTTGAATGGCCAGGTGCAACCTCCCAGCTTCAACCAACCCGTCTGCTTGTCCAGTCCAGGGCCAGAGCGACTCGGCCGACCGACCTAATGACTGCAGCTCTGTGCAGTACGGAGTAGGAGTAGCATACAACACTGTACCCCGTACACAAGTACTCCGTGCAGACACAGGCGCAGGGGCCCATGGCGAAGAAGGAGATGAAGTTGCATGAATGGGGTTGCCAAGCAATGGCACGCTTCGTTTCACGATGCCGATTTGCAGAGTCGGGCCCGTATTGGCAGTCGTCAGCAGGGCAAGAAGCAAAAAAAGAAGGGGGAGAAAAAGAAAGGAAGGGAAAACCCGCAGGCCACCGGCAGGTAGGGCCCCGTATCTGAACAACAAACCGTTTATCTTCTCGAATGCACTCGAGCAGGTACGGAGTACCGAGGTACTTGGGTTCCTGCCGTGGAAGGGGTGGAGCCTGCCTGTGGGGCCGGCTGGTGGGGAAAAGGCAACCAGCCCGACGGTGCGGCCTCAACTTCACCAAACTCATCAAGCATCGACTCTCGACCCACGCCCACGCTGCCGCATCTTCCATCTCACATCTTCCCGTGCTCCAGCTGCATGGTACATCAAATTTATCGAGAGACCGCATCTGCACCTGCATCTCGCCGCTGCCTCTGCTTCTGCCACCTTCCGAAACATGGCAATCTCCTCCTGATCTCTGGCCGGAAAACTCCCATCAGCAACGCCATGCCACGCATCAACCTCCCTGAGTTGAGTTCTTGATCTCCATCAGCCATGTCCGACCAGGATCGACCCCAGGATCCCGGCCTGCCCCCACAGCCCAGGGCCATCCTCCGCGGCCACAAGGCCCAGGTTCACGCCCAGGCCTTCATCAGGTCCAACCAGCGCCTTCTGACCGGCGATGCCGACGGCTTCGTGGTCGCCTGGGATCTGGCCACCATGAGACCCAGGGCTGTATGGCAGGCCCACATGGGTGCTATCCTGGGAATCGCGGGTTGGGCATCCGACAAGATCATCACCCACGGGAGGGACAACAAGCTCATCGTCTGGAAGATGACGCTCGAGGACGAGCCTGCTCTGAGTTCAACGCTGCCCCTGGATGTGGCGACCGAGCCCAGGCCCAAGCCTTGGATGCTACACCTGCTCCAAGTAAACACCATGAACTTCTGCGCGTTCGCCTGCTGTGCCACAGCGCCATTCACGCTGCCAACGGCATCAGCCACGCCACCCTCCTCATCTGAGAACACGCCAGATCCCGGCTCAGAGTTGTTCGTTGCCGTTCCTAACACGCTGGCCTCCGAGGCTGTCGATATATATAGTCTCCCATCGCAGACGCGCATCCACACTGTCAGGCTGGGGCAGGAAAACGGCATGGCCATGGCTCTAGCTCTTGTTTGGCTACACGATGTGCTCGCTTTGGTTGCTGGCTATGAGAACGGGTTGGCAGTTGTCGCACAGCTTGACCCCGGCGGCGGTGGCTCCTGGGAAACCACATACCGCAACAAAAGCCACAGCCAGCCTATCCTCTCACTTGACGTCGCACCGGATCGAGAGTATTTCCTGACCACAGGCGCTGACGCCACCATCGCAAAACATCCTCTCCTTCCGCAAGCGCCACTCGTCCCAGACTCGGCGCAAGACGCGTCTGAGACCTTTCCCCCAGATGCCGGTCCCAAGGGCATGCCTCCCAGAGGAGAAGAGGACCCAGAATCAGGCATAGAAAAGAAGCAGCCAAGCTCCGCCCTCGCCGTAGCCCTGAGCAGCCAGGCATCGACTGGTCGCCCAGCTCCTCTCGGTACACCTGAGATCAGGACTCGGCCTATCAAGGTCATCGATACAAAGCACTCTGGTCAACAGGGTATCAGGATCAGATCTGACGGGCGTGTCTTTGCCACTGCAGGCTGGGACTCCAAGACACGCGTGTACTCAACCAAGTCAATGCGCGAAGTCGCCGTCCTAAAATGGCACGCGGTTGGTTGTTTCACTGTAGCATTCGCAGACCTCACTGCCCACGACTCTTTTACCGACTCAAAGACAAAGACCAAGCCAGCTGATGAAGACGCTGCTTCCAACACAAGGGTTGCCCCGCGGCTACTCAAGATGACGGTCAAGGAGAGGAGACTCAAACGAGCCACAAATGCACACTGGCTGGCAGTCGGGAGCAAGGACGGCAAGGTGAGCTTGTGGGACGTGTTCTGACGCGCTTCAGTCGCCTCTCCGCACACAATACCGGCCCGACTAGTCATCGTTCATACATTCTGGTCTCCAGGTCATGCCCACGATTTTGGATCACGATCCGTTCCGGACCAACAGATATTACTTCCATCGTCCTCCTTTAGTCTCATTCGCATCCCTCTGGAACCACTGGCCGGCACAATAGGTCAGTCAAGGATTGAGTGATGAAATTGTTGTCCGGGCCAGTCGTCTTCGGCCCAGGAATTCCTTCCTGGTTCCCGCACGGCTTTCGGCATTGGGCCCTTGAAATGCCGGTAGTGCAGGCTAAGCTTTGCTGCATATGCTAGATCATCCAGATCTGTATAGTGCCAACGTCATCTCGGCTCTCTTGGAATAGGCTCATTTTCAAGAGCGCTGGTGGGTGAAGAGGGTGGCAGTTACGCCTTCCAGATACGGACGGACCTTCCGCCTCCATCATGCATAAACTTGGACTGAGAACAGCCGAAATGAATGGACCCTGTCCCTGTCTCAGGAATAGCTTTCAGGCCAACGGTACTGCGGTCATGTTATGTCAACCCCGGACGTTAAGCTCACGGACCTGTCGATACCCCTGAGAAATCCCCTTACAGGTGACCAGAGCGTGTCATCAAGCTCGAACGCTAATCTATTACAGCCTGCCTGCTCTTTCAGGCTGTTTGCTAGATTGGTTTCAGACCAGACTTTTTCCTAATGGAGGCATCCACAAATCCGAGCCTCAATCCGGGACAGCGGGGTGCCACTGGCAGCTCAGGACCGCGCCGGGTGCAGACGTGGTAGCGTGGTGGGGCCCCACAACACTCTGTCTGTCACATCCTTGGACACATGTTTCCTCTTCGGAGGGTTTCGCACCCTCATCAATTTGAACCCATCACCAGAAAACGGCATGCCTGCCATATGGAGAAAGGAAGAAGAGGCTGAAAGGGGGAGCGGAATGTGACCCAAGCTCATCTGCCGGGCGTGACTGGAGCTTCTTTCTCCACAATTTCGTGCCGGCCTCCCTAGTCATCAGGAGATGCTGTACTTGCGTATAAAGTGTCTATCACCTCGCGGTTTGCCTTGATGATCTGCAACTCTCAAACACTCCGAAGAAAGAATCATTGACCTCCAGCACCTTGTCCGCTCTCTCCACACGTTCTTCAGTTCCACTTTCGGCACAATGAAGGCCAACACTATCGTCCTCGCTGCCACCCAGGCCCTCCTGGCCGCCGCCAACCCCGTTCCCGAGATCAAAGAGCGCCAGTCTTGCCCTGGTGTCCACGTTTTCGGTGCCCGCGAGACGACCGTGTCTCCGGGGTTCGGCTCGTCTGGCACCGTTGTCAACCTGATCACACAAACCTATTCCGGCTCCACCTCCGAGGCCATTAGCTATCCTGCATGTGGTGGCCAGGCATCTTGTGGTAGTGTTAGCTATGCAGACTCCGTCAAGCAAGGCGTTTCGGCCGTTGTCAGCGCCGTGAACGCTTTCAACACAAAGTGCCCTAACACGTCATTGGTGCTCGTGGGCTACTCCCAGGGGGGCCAGATCTTCGATGACGCTCTTTGCGGGTAAGTAAATATCCTAGTGTATCAGGAGGAGAATACCTGCTATGCCTGCGACTCCTCATCACTTGTCTTGAAGGGCGGTTGTCCACAAAACGCTGCAAGCCATGGAGCCCCTTTTGTCTTTACATCTATCTTGCATGTCTTCTTCGGGGTTTCAATAACTGACTTCGAGTGCTACAGGGGTGGGGACACTGCTGAGGGTATCAGTAGCACTGCTGTCCCATTGTCATCAGCCGCTGTCTCGAAAATCAAGGCTGCTATCTTCATGGGCGACCCACGCTTCGTCGCTGGTCTTCCCTACGAGGTTGGCACTTGCAAGGCTGGAGGGGTAAGCAGCCTATTCCGTTCCATGCCTCTTCGTTTTTCTAACATTCGTGATCCCATAGTTCGATGCCCGTCCCTCCGGCTTTTCGTGCCCTAGTGCCGCCAAGATCCAGTCGTACTGCGACGCTGCTGACCCTTACTGCTGTAACGGAAGCAATGCTGCTACGCACCAGGGCTATGGAAGTGAATATGGGCAGCAGGCTCTCACTTTCGTCAAGAGCAAGATCCCGGCTTAAACACCGCATTTTCCTGCGACGGCGTGCACTTGATACCATAGGAGCAACAACACGTTGAGCTCCTTTCGACTTCGTGTCGCCTTTCTATTGTACATACATGAAATATACTTGTATCTTCTCCCCCCCCCCCCCCCCACAAAAAAAAACCGCGATTGCTATGCTTGAAATACTATGAAAGTTGTTGATTTGTGGGGCAATGTAGGAGCTGAGGCGGCCACTTGGTATAGATGGCCACGCGGACGCATGCGTTTCTCGACCATTGCAGCTCGTGTAAGCACGAGCTAACCAAGAACGGGATGGGTGCTTGAACGTGGCTCCAGTATGAATACACTTGCAAGAATTTGTTTCTAGAGCTTGATGCGCCTGGCGATGTCTCTCAATCCTCGTTATCACGCTCGGCCGCTGGGACGTCTACTACGCCCTGCCACTCCCATTGGAACGGATTCGAGGAGTTGGTCTCGAACTCATTTATCTTCCCATTGACCCTGCTAATAGCAAACATCTTCATCGTCTGCGTCACCGCGACAGCTGAGAATCCTTCTTCCACCACGTCGTCCGGGCTGCCGTCCAGCGAAGCCGCCTGCACGACCCAGTCGCTCCCGCGGTAGACGGACGACTGCAGCGCGCCAGTGGTCTGGTCGAGGGTCAGGACAATGTTGTTTGTCCACCCATTGGTTCCAAATGTGAGGGAGGCGATCTCCGGGGGCGGGTTGACGGCGAGGTTCGAGGTGATTTGGTTTCCTACTTGGAAAGTCAGTCACTCAGTCTTGGCCATGACTCGCAGCGAGATTTCAGGGGGAGTGCCATAGGAACGGGTTTGAAGCCTTACCAAAGTTACCCGTCTCCAACCTAAAGTCTGTCGACGGGCCGCTCAGCTTCTCGATGAGGCCGCCGCCGTCGGCATAGTACATGCGCATGGCGTTCGGGTCTGTCTTGGTTGGTCCGGTGCCGCCGAGGTCGACGAACGCTGAGATGGCGAGCCCCGTGCCGGGCGCGGCGCTCGTGCTGACGACGTCGCCCATGGCCCAGACCAGGTCCGTCATGTTGGCCATCTGCACATGGCCGGTCGCCGCGTCCTGGTACAGCACCAGCAGGCTGTTGGTGCAGTTTTCGCAGTTCTGCCACAGGGCCGCGAGCCCGGAGCCCGGCGCTGCCTGCGGGTTGCCCAGGTTCGCGCCCATCCCGCCCTGCAGCCAGCCCGAGGGCGATGCCGGCTTGAGCGAGTACAATTCCGCGACCCTGCGGTCCGATGTCAGGTAGTACAGGTTCCAGAGGCCGTTGTTGTTCGCCACGGCGAGGGGTGTGCCGTCCAGCACGTCCAGCCCGGCCGGGCCGGCAGACGCGCTCACGTTGATGGACATCCACGAGTCGACCGTCGAGGGCCGGATGGCGGCCATGATGCTGCTCCCCGTTGCGTTGGAGCTCTGGTAGAAGACGCCCGTGTAAGTCGTGCCGGTGGGGTCGGTCCAGTTCATGGCGGCCAGCCTCGACTCGGGCATGAGGATGCCTGCCTCGGAGGATCTCGAGTCCCCGTCATCGTCCGAGGCCGAGGGTTTGCTCCATGGCGCCGTAACGGCGAGGAGTGTCACGAGGAGGCCAATGATGAGCAAGGCGATCCCCGCCGTCAACGCGTAAAAGGTACTCCTCCGCAGCCCAAACAGTGTTTTCCGTTCCGCGGGACCGTTCGCGCTGCCAAGTATTCCCGCCCCTCCTATTCCTCCAAGGGAACCGGCGGTGGACGCTCGGTCTCCTTTCGCATCGTTGGTTGGCGCGGCATATAATGCCTGTGCTTGGCCCTTTGAGTCGACCAGGTAATATGCGGGCGGTCCTACTTGAGGGCTGTCAACTGGGGAGAACCCCAGGGCTTTGTCGTCTGAGAAAGGGTTGGCGTTGTTGTTTGTGCTGCTGTCGTCGGAGATGGCGAATTTCTCGTTCCAGTATGACTGGCGGACTGGTGCCGTCGCGGCAGTGGTTGAGCTCTGGCTGGGCTCACTAGGGGTCTCGTCGGGGATGATGATAGCCTCGAGGTCCGAATAGGACTTTTTCCTTGCCCGGAAGTCCATACTTGAAATAAATGAATGTGGAAGAGTTGGTGACGGTGTATGGGTATTAGACAATCATTGGGATGAACGATTGGTCTTCGTTTCCAGGTCACCGTGCCCGGTGAGGTCGAAGCAGCCTGGCACACAAGGAAATGGTACAGAATTACGCAATATTAGATCGGAAAAGAGCGACAGGCACGGAAAAGAGTGACGACGAACAGAACACGACCAGCGTATCAGAGGAGCTGTTACAACAATAGAAATGAGCCAAGCAGAAGTGGGAAAGCAACCAGAGGTCGGAACGCTAGTCGGGGGCAGTGAGACCAGGGCTAATCTATAATTCAAACTTCAGCAGGTAAGAATTAGATGACGGGGCCTTGGTGCGAGGCTACCCGAAAGTCAAAATCCCTAACCATCATAGGGCTGTGTATCCGCATCCGACCCCAAGTTGCCGGGTCCTCGGATCAAACGACGCTGACGGGGGGGAGGGGTTGCCGAGGGGTTGAGCTGCGGGCAAGGAAAAGCATGAGGCATCTCACGAGTCAAGCCCTGAGGAGCCAGCAGGTTTGCTGGTGTGACAGATGTATCATATCGGCGTGGCGCGGCGAAGCGAGGTGGGCAAGATAGGAAGGCGAGTTTCCAAGGTTGATAGATCACTGCTTGAACTCTGGCTGGTCAAGACGTGCGGGTAGCTTGGATAATAGTCCGGGAGCCATGCGCCTTCAAAGTTACCTGAGGTAGGGTTGCAACAGCCTTTGGCCTCAGAGGAACTCTGACGAGAGCCTCAATGGCGTCAGTGCGCGTGCAAGGTGAGCCAGATCCCCATGGCGAGTACCGGTCTCGACGCGGTGAGCTTGGTGGCCCACCCTTTCAGCCTCATGTTAGCGCCCCTGCAATCTCCACTTTGGTGTTTCGGAAGGCTCACCGAGACAGATTGGCAGTGCAGGCGCGCTGTGAAGCTCGGGACCTGACTCGCTCTTTTTCTCTCTCTCCCTAGAAAGGATCCCGCCGTTTGCTACTCTTTAACGTCGACCGCCCAGGAGTGCATTGTTAAGATCCACAAGCCGCTTAAGATCGCCAGCCGACATGATGATGGCACGACTCTGCAAACATGGGAGGAACTGCTAGATTTGTCAGCTCGCCTCAGGCCTTCCTTTGGGTGCGAATTACTCAATATTTGCTCTCTCTTGGAACCGTCGCACATTCTCGATATATCACTTCGGGTCTCGATGCACTCTGTTCGCGTCTACCTAGGTACACTAGGGATTGCAAGGGAGTGTTGCAACCACAAACAACGTCTTTGGCGGAGCCGTGGACGATGCAAAAGAGGTCTCATGTTTCATGTTGCCCAGCTGAAAATTAGAAACTATTCTCCAGTACACTATGGGTCCTGTGAAATCGCGGCGACCAAGTTTCATACGTATCTCGCACTATTACATATATGATCGACCAAAATGCTTGTGCTGGGGAAGTGAGTCTGATTCGCTAAAGACTTTTAGGATTAGCACTCGTGTTAGAAATGCCAGTTGACCAAAGACATCCATCTTAGCATATGCTAAGAGTCACAATATTTCAGCGGATTCGTTCGCATATGCACTTGTGAAATGCCCCGATACACTCATAACTTGAATGTAGAGGATCCACATTGTACGTTCCTTGAACGCTGCGTCTTCGATCCTTTGCGACTTTGTGAAGGGACTATATGTTTTCGGGATGTAGTTGTATATGGATTAAGGATGAAATGATTGTGGTAAAAGACCTTCGAGACTTGGACTTCGGAAGCAACCCGACACAAGTGGGAAGGAATAATATCACTCGAAGGAAGAGGTTCCTCCGGGGAAGTTGGTATGCAAGCCAAAAGAGTTACATTCTGTAGTCCATCGGATTCAAGAGAGGCGGCGATGCGTACACGGAATGCTTAGTCTCGGGCTAGCAAGGCGCAACATCTTCTAAAATGTGGGCATGAACCCTCGGTCTTTGATGTCATATTCTTTTTACATGACTCTGGATACGCCGCTGCGTTTGAGTTGGCTACTTGCCTTAGTACCGAGCAATGTCTCTTCCACCAATCCATACAAAAAGCCAACTGATGGATATCATTATCTTCCTTCGCCAGCTCCTTGTCCAACCTAGAGAGCCCGAGCGCCACGCGAGCCAGGCCGAGGCCCCAGTCCAGTCTTCTTTCCCTCCAATGATTCCGTCATGCCGTCCAAGATACGCCAAAAGCGCACGTTGCTGATACTGAAACGGAGGTGCTTCTGCAGAGTCACCGGTGCCGTGGTCATTGAAAACCTTGGTCAGGTACTCGCCCTTTTGCAGTGCCACTTCAGCCAGAGTAGGCAGCGATTCTCCCTTGATATCCGCTGCATCGCCCAGAGCGTACACGCTATCCATGGGAGTTCCGTCCGGGCGCAGAACACGAAGGTGCTTGTCCGTCAGTATTCTCGGCAGCCCCTTCTCGGGAAGCTTGATGCGATCCGACAATGTTTCCACAAGCTTGCTGACTTTGTTTCCAGTTGCCCAGATTAGAACACCGTATGGGAGGCGCCCATCTTCTTTGGTGTAGATCGCGCCGGCATCGACTCCCTCAATGTGCGAGCCCGTCTTTATCTTTACGATATTGTCCTTGCCTTTGGTTAAAGAATCGGTGGCATACTCGGCCAAGTGTTGATCAAAAGTGGTTAGGATCGACGATGCCACATCGTGAATGGTTATGGTGAGCTTTCCGTCGAGGTGAGGGAAGAGAAACCGCATATCCTCGTTCCACAGGTCGAAGAGCTCAGCGGCTGCCTCGATGCCGATGGCGCCGCCGCCCACAATGCGAATGTTGAGAATATCGCGTTGTTTCTGAGGATCCTGGAGAATGTGGGGCAGGGAAGCCTGGTCCAGCATTTCAAGGAGGCGCTGCTGGAGTAGCCGGGCATCATTTGTCGTCCTCAAGAATAGAGCATGTTCCTTGGCGCCTGGCGTGCCGAAATCTTGGATGTCACAGCCAGGTGCAATGCAGAGTTTATCGTACTCGACATCAAAGTGTTTTGGGTCCTCTCCATCAACTTCTGCTGCTGTTTTGCATCGGATCACACGTTTGTCGAAGTCGATGTCAAGCGCAACTGCTTTATAATACTCGACGTCGGTGCGGTGTTTTCTCCTAATGGGCTCTTCTGCCAGGCGGAAGTTGAAGAGACCGCATGCTGCGCTGGCCAGGAGAGGTGTGTATTGAATCGTGCGTACTGGGGAAATGACTTTCAAACTGAATCGCTCGAGAGACACCTTTTGAGACAGCGTGAAGCCGCCCCAGCCGGATCCAATAATAGCAAGCACGGGTTTACTCATCTTCACAGCGATGTGATTCTCTCTGATGTGTGGCAGAATGCAGTGGCTGTACATGCGGACTCTGTGCCTAAGTACTTACCGTGTTCTCACATTTGGACACTAGGCCACGATAGAATCACTCGTCACTGCCGGGGAGTGTAATGCGTCACTGCTCTAGGTAGCATCATGACTTTTGGTTTGGGTAGTTGAGTAACGTCATAGGTGCACCAGCCACTAATACCATTCAGATTGCTCGGCGTTCGGTAACCGTCAATGCGATGCACCCGCGAATTCTCCGACCGGACCAACTCCAGAATTTTTGCATATCTGCGGCAGCCTCCCGAAGTCAGCAAGCCCCAGGCCTGGTTTGATGCAACACAACTGTCAGAACTGGGCAAGCGGCAATGGTCTGGCTGTCTGGGTGATCGGCGCCAGTGCGAAGCCTATCTAGGTACGGAGTACCCATGGTAGGCTATGCCCCTGTCGGCAGTTCACTACAGTAGCCAGGACGGGGCCATTCCACCCAAACATGCCCACGTTGAATGATTCCAGACAGAACGTATGATAACTACCCAATACGGTGCAACGCAAATGGTTTGCTTACAGCCAGGTTTCTTCCAAGAATCAAGGGAGAGTGGGCTGCGCGCTGTGCTTAATCGTGGAAGCTTGCTTCACTGCTCTTGGCCGATCCTGAGCAGAGCGTTTTGGCTCAGCGCTCCAGGGGGAGGCAACAACAAGTATGGGGAAAGGGGGAAAGGTCGAAGAGGAATTCAAGCAAATACAATCCAATTCTACTACTCAAGCAGTATGTGAAGGGAGGGACTGTACGCCTTTAGGATGTATACGGAATGGGAACGAAGCCACTAGTACTCAAAATTCAAGTTCTCGACCTCTTGACATGCCTTTCACTAGACAAGAAAAAAGGCAGCAAATATTCTAGGTGTGCTTACACCAACTTGCTCTGTTCCAACATGCAATGCTGTGTTGACTCGCCTTCAGAATTGGATCTAGAAACAGAGCCCGATGCACTTGAGCAGATCTGACCCAGGTAATTTGCGGTATAGACATAGCGGAATGATATGTATTAGTACGTCTGGGTGCACTGGCGCTGACCTGATAACTACTTGCGCCGACCTGACAACTACTTGCGCCGACCTGACAACCACTTGAGCCGGTGGCTTCGACGGTCTTGCTCAAGAGTCCGCGCGCGAGGCCTCCAAGGTCGATGAATCTGCCCGGGCCAGCTTTTCCAAAAACCATTCTACTGACTTAGCGCTGAAAGAAGGCCATAGAGACTGCTGCTTTGATCTAGTATTGGATGGTGCATTCCGAAGATGAGGGGTTTCGTACTTAGTTATTGAATGGCTTCGTTTCATCCGTACCTAGGTAACATATACGAAGCTGTGTGCGGTCCCTTCGCATAATCATGATGATGAGCGCTTTAAGACAGGGCGCTGGAGGGGGGCCAAAGTCCTTCTCCCCACCCCCAATTTCGAATATGAAACAAATTGGTATAAGTGAACACCAGAAACTACATGGTCGAAGTGGTGGTTTCGTTTCTAATCACCATACATATAAAACGTATGCGGTGCCTTCATATAGTGACGTGGTTGAAGATAGTGTTGGTCTAAAAGCCATGGTGTATCGAACTATGTTGTTCAGCGAAGTTTATGAGACGCTGCTAGTCTTTAGTCCGAAGCTGCGGTGAAAAAGCTTTCACCAGCTAGCGTATGGTACGCGTCAAGCTGTCTTCTACAACGTGGTGATAACATTTAAAAACAGAGGTATTTATTTACCTTCTCAGTCAGGAGCCTTCCTCCACCTGCAGTTTTGCAGAGTCCAAGTCCAAGACAACGCAAGCTATCCAAAAATGCTGGGACGGCGTATTTTACCGTTGCTAGTGTCCAACAATGGCCAGGTCTCTCCCATTCCAACTTGGAATGTGGCCCCTCAATCTATTTTCTCCGACGTGAGTAGTCCTTGATTTGATTTGACCCCTTCGGAGAGTCTGTCTGTCTCCCAATTTTCCGAGATGCAAACGAATTCCTGGGTACCCTTGGGTCTACACTGGGGAACACTAGGTGTAATGTTTGTTTTCCTCCAGTAATTATCAAGGCGCACGATACTATCAAGGTAGCATCATCCCATTCTCTCTTCCCCTCCTCATTCCTATGAGAGCGCAATCGCTTCTGAGCGGATAATCCGTGAAGACATTCGACTGGGTGCCCAGGTGCGGCTCCTTTGAAAGATTCGAAAGCGTGCCATGCGGACAACTTAATCATCTGCTATTCCCATGCCGAACACTTCCCTGCGCATTTTAGAAGCGCAAATTATTAATTACCTCTGACGAGGACTATTCTGACTTTTATATACGGTGTAGAATATCTCAACACTTTCCATACCTGGCAACTCACAGTCAACCCACTGGCACCATGCCCCTGTCTCAAAATGCACATTGATAGGCTGTCTGCATGCCGCAGGGATCACCCCATGGAATGATATTGCTCAGATATTTACAGCGGACAATATGGAAACGCACAGGTCCAACAAAACTTGGGCAGAACCCTGGCTGTATCGGCAAGAGTTTAATTTGGATCCCGGTCATGGCAAGCATTTTTTTCTTGAGACGAACGGAATCACTTCAAAAGCAGACATTTATCTCAATAGAAGGCAGATTGCGAGCAAGGATATCCAATCGGGCTCCTATGGTGGTCATGTCTACGACATCACAGCAACGGCGGCTGAAGCCAACGCGGTGCTGGTAAAGGTTTATCCGACTGACTATAACCACGACCTGGCCCAAGGTTTTAACGACTGGAACCCTGCTCCCCCAGATAACGGCTCAGGTATCTGGAGAGACATCAACATCAGGCAGACGGGGCCAGTGACTTTGGGTCCACTTAGTGTGACAACTAAGTTCGAAGCATCCGCTTCCTCTGCCAGGGTGAAACTCAGGGCACTTGCACGCAACCTGGAGAACCGCACGTTGGAGGCTTTCCCATCGACTAGTATCTTCAAATTTGAATCTGGGGACAGCCCAATAGGAAATCACGCGGGTTCTGCGACGTCAGCAGTGCACATCGGTCAAGAACGCAGCCCAACGGATGTTGTGATTTTGGCCCCATTTGCATCCGCAGAAATACAAATGCAAGTGGATGTTCCCTTCGCAGACTCAGATATTTGGTGGCCGAGACATTGGGGTCAGCAGCCGCTATTCCAGGCCCATTTGAGAGTGTTAGTCGACAATGGAACCTCTGATTTGATTGAGAGCACATTTGGATTTCGCAAGGCAACCTCTCGACTGAACAAAGATGCAGACAGGGTGTTCGAAGTGAACGGGTTGCCTTTCCAAGTCCTCGGTGCAGGGTACGCACCTGATATTTTTCTTCGATGGGATACCACACGATTTATAAACATTGCCGAGTACGTCCTGGATATTGGTTTAAACACGATTCGACTTGAAGGGAAGATGGAGCACCCTGAGCTCTATGATATCTGCGATCGCCTCGGGATCATGGTCCTTCCAGGATGGGAGTGCTGTGATAAATGGGAGGCCTGGAGCTATTCCGAGGAGGAAGGATTGGAAGATTCCATCTGGGGCCCAAACGACTACAGAATTGCCAATGCCAGTATGATCCATGAGGCAAACATGATGAGGAATCACCCGAGCGTGCTTGGATTTCTGATCGGAAGCGACTATTGGCCGGACGAAAAGGCAACATCAATCTATTTGAGCGCGTTGCACGGCTCTCACTGGGAGACTCCCATCATCGCCTGTGCTTCAGGCAAGGGACATCCAGAAAATATGGAGCCCTCAGGGCTCAAAATGCCCGGTCCCTATACTTGGGTTCCACCTAATTACTGGTACAAGAACCGTTTGGGCTCAGCCTTTGGTTTTGGCTCGGAACTGGGTTCCGGGGTGGGCACACCAGAGCTCCCAAGTCTTTCCAAGTTCCTCGACGAGTCTGGAATTAACGACCTATGGCAACAGCCGAAGAAGGTTCTATACCACATGTCTCCTGGGGAGGTGTTTTCAACGAGAACTATCTACAATGAGGCACTCTGGAATAGATATGGTGCGCCCGAGGGCCTATCAGATTATCTTTTGAGCGCTCAGATGATGGATTACGAGGCAACCCGAGCCCAATTCGAAGCATACTCGTTGAGTTGGTCTGCCCAAAGACCAGCCACCGGGATGATCTACTGGCTCTTAAATAATGCTTGGCCAAGTCTGCATTGGAGCCTGTTCGACTATTATCTCCACCCGGCTGGGTCATACTTTGGAGCGAAGACAGGGAGCCGGCTGGAGCATATAGCATACGACTATGTGCACAAGAGAGTCTTCATTATCAATCGTACTCGCGATAGGCAGGGGTCCAGAACACTTGAACTCGACATCATCGATCTGAATGGCAAGCATATCTGGGACAAAACGGCAGCGTTTAACACAGAACCCAATTCCAGCAAATCAATCTTGAAGGTCAAGAAGTTGAAGAAGGCCAAAGATGTGGCGCTTATCCGTCTGGTTCTGAAGGACACCGAATCAAACGAGACTATAAGCCGCAGCGTCTATTGGCTGTCGAGGCAGGCCGATGAATTAAAATGGAGCAAATCGACTTGGTGAGTTGACATCTACCTAACATTTGAAACATCATGCCATAGGCTATGACCTACCAAGCTTCAACTTACCTCCTCAACATCAGGTTCTACACGCCGGTCCGAGAATACGCCGATTACACGTCTTTGAATCAAATTCAGCCGGCCAATGTCTCAGTCTTTGCCGCAGCGGACGACGGTAACAGGCGCAAAGTGATCGTCACTCTTAAAAACCGCTCGCCCTTTCCTGCTGTGTTCATCCGCCTGGATTTGGTTCACAGGGATAAAACGTCGAGAACGGGGAACTTCAAATGGGCCCCTGTTAGCCCGCTAAAATGGTCGGATAATTATATCACCTTATGGCCGCATGAGGAGATGGTCCTGCATGTGGATGTGATGTCGGGAGCAGAAAGCCCAGATAGGCTGCTGGTCCACGGCAAGAACACCGACGAGGTCGAGATTCCCATCGTGTAGGGCCTGGGTGGTTATATCCCTGTCGTATTGTTGTGTCACGAACAATGTCCACGGGTCATTGCTCTACTCACACAAAATCGACGCCGCTAGCTGCGATAGGCACATAGCGTATATATCTTAACATCCCAGCTAGCTGTGTTCTTGACCATTCTACTAGACCCTGAGCAGCGTTGCGGTATTTTCCCCATAGCAGCATCGCACATGTGACAGGATGGAAGTCCAGCTCGATAGGAAATGGGTAAATTCAGTCAGGCAGTAGGGCCCAAAACATGCTTCAAAGGAGCGGCCTGGGGAACATCCACTCCTCTGTAACTAGGTAGTTCAAGTAAAAATAAAAGTCGCCATCGAACCTCGTGGCCATACGCTGTGTAAATGGCACATGCAACCCTGTGAAGACACGCTACTGTGTTATTAAGGTCGGGGGTCGATCCCGAAGCTGGCGCTAATGATATATGTCTAGCTGCAGCCGTTGGAAAGCAGGGCCGGCGTCCTTGATACACAGTAGAACGCACCAGGCTGCCAGGGCAGCTTAACTAGCGCGAGAAAAGCCATTGATTCTATCTATACTATTGGTGTTATCAGGGGCCCGCCAGGCAGGTTCTGCTTTTCCCCCTGGTCTGGCCTTGCACTAGAGCAGGCTCTGCACTTGCGGCACACACTTTTCAGACCGATATACCCACAACAATAGTTCGATGTTACGCATGTCACATGCCGGGTACAAATACGAGGTACAGAAGGGCAAGCATGGCAAGTAAAAAATATGATCGCCATATGCAAGGGGGATATCCCGAGGGCGGGACCAATGCAGGCGGAGATCAGGCGGAGGTGCTCCCAGATTGGTGCGAGATGCGAACACATTGCGACTTCTGAAATCGGTCCCACGTGCTGTGCGCGACGTTCCCATGGGTGCAAGGAACGCCGCTTTGACTTTCTCAATCTTAATACTACATACATAGTAGGGAACTGATGAACGTTCGTCACCACTTTTTGAAGGGGCGCCGACATGGACCCCTGCCCCGGCTCGAGCCAGTCAAGGAAGTTCCCTTCATCCAAGATTGGCCTCGGGAGGGATGAACGCCTCTCCCGGTGCGCCACAGATCCTTTCCCGACCCCCACTGGGCTTCCTCGATCCGGGATATTGAACCCGGTACCCTAGTGTACACTAGATCTAGGCCCTGATAATGATGAACATGGATGGATCGGCTTGGTCTACCAAGAACATGTTGAGGGTACGGAGTAGCTACTGTTGATTTCGATGCCACGGAAGGTGGGAGGCTCATAAAGCTGCCGTCCTATGGTCAAGCCACGTCCGTTCTCAGGCACTACGTAGAGTTTGGAACGCTTCTGTCCATAATCCTTCCTCTCACATGGTTGCCAGGTAGTCTGTGTATTGCAGGTACCTCTGGAGAGTACTGACCGCCCGTCTCGCTTGCATCTGCAATCCCACCCGTCTACGTGGTATTCTGGTCAAGAGGATATCAACATGGTGCCTTCCAGGCTGTGGTTGGCTGCTCTCTTGGCGGAGTCTGTGCAAGCACGAATACTTGGCTCTTCGTTCGGAATTCCAGGTGTGAACGCAACATTCGACTACGTGATCGTCGGGGGCGGCACAGCAGGCCTCGCCATCGCGACCAGGTTAGTTGAACAAAAAGCAGGGACCGTAGCGGTGGTGGAGGCAGGAACATTCTATGAGCTTTCCAATGGAAATGCTTCTCAGGTTCCGGGTCCTGGCGTCAATTATGCCGGCAAGAACGCCTTGGACTGGCAGCCGCTGATCGACTGGGGATACATGACAACACCTCAACCAGTGAGTTTCTGGTCTCGAGGACCATATACCCGCTTTTACTGACCATTATCAGGGCGCAAATAATGCATCCTTACACTACGCGCGAGGCAAGGCGCTGGGTGGCAGCTCGGCGAGAAACGCGATGATATACCAGCGCGGCACGACAGCATCTTACCAGCGATGGGCTGACCAAGTTGGAGACACGAGTTACACCTTTAAAGAGTTCCTTCCGTACTTCGAAAAGAGTATCAACTTCAGCGCACCAGACATGAGCGTTCGATTCGCGAATTCGACACCGCAGTACGACGAGACAGTGATGGGAGACAACACAGGCCCTCTTTCAGTGGCGTTCCCCAATTCGCCATCCGTGTACGGGACTTTCGCAGCGGAGGGCATGAAACAGATCAACCTGTCAGTCATCGACGGGTTCCAGAGTGGAGATCTGCTTGGCTCGTCCTACAACATGTTCACAATTGACAGCGGTACAATGCTTAGATCGTCCTCTGAGACTTCTTTCATGCGACAGGCATTGCAATTTGATGCTTACCATGTCTATCACCTTACTCTCGCCAAGAAGGTTCTGTTTGATTCCACCAAGAAGGCAAGGGGTGTGCTGGTCGACACTCAGGGGTTTCAGTACATTCTGAACGCAAACAAAGAGGTCATAATTTCAGCAGGTGCTTTTGCGTCTCCTCAGATCTTACAGGCATCTGGAATCGGCCCTGCCGAGATCTTGTCTCCGTTGGGCATCGATATTATTGCCAACAGACCAGGTGTCGGTCAGGGAATGCAAGACCACGTTTGGGTCACGCTTGCATATCCCATCAATGCCCAGACCAGCTCTTCATTACGATATCCATCATTCCTGTACGGCCAGCAAGCCCTATTCAACGAATATCCCGCTACTGGAATCTACTCAAGTCCCAACTGCGACGTTCTAGGTTGGGAGAAAGTACCCAAGGATCTTAGAGCAAGTTGGAGCAACGCGACCAACGGCCTTCTCCAAGCCTTCCCAGAGGACTGGCCGGAGCTCGAATACATGACGGTCAACTCGTATGTCAACGAGCAAGAGATCTACAAGCTCATGGACCCATTCGACGGCACGAATTACGCATCGGTGGGAGTGATCCTCGCCTCGCCCGTCTCGCGGGGAAGAGTCACAATCACCTCTGCCGACACCAGCGTCCACCCATCCATAAACCCAGGGTGGCTGACCAGCCAGGCAGACATGGATGTGATGGTAGCTGGCGTCAAGCGGGCACGAGAGTTCTGGGGCACCTCAGCCTTGCAGAGCCTCGTCACTGGCAAGGAGAAATTCCCGGGTGCCGAGATATCTACCGACTCCGAGATCGAAACCTTCATTCGCAGTGCGTTCAACACCATCTGGCACGCCGCCTGCACGTGTGCTATGGGCAAGATTGACGACCCTAACGCGGTTGTGGACTCGAGTGCAAGAGTAATAGGAGTGCAGGGCTTACGGGTGGTCGATGCGTCCGCCTTTCCGTTGCTACCACCAGGACACCCTCAGTCCACCATCTGTAAGTCGCATCAACTCACCTGGCCCTTAAGTGCTTGCCTCGGTCGACTGCTGACAAATCGTCTAGATGCTCTTGCCGAGAAGATAGCTTGTGATATCTCCGGAGCCTGCTGATGTCGGCTGTGAGTACTAGCATCGCACGAGGGACCTTGTGAATGTACGTACTTGACAGAGTAATGTGGAATCATAAGTAGTAAGGTCGCATGAACCACGGGATTTAGAAGAGCACGTTTTAAAGAACGGCGCATAATCTAATAAAATAATACCAAATACAAATCTCACAGCTTTTGTGATCTTTAGCGTTCTCGGAAAGAGGATCGGTTCCGTAGGCAGAGATAGTTAGTTGTTGTACCACGACAGAAAAGGCTGCACTGAAACGGTCTGCTAGGGGCTTCTAAGTAACAAAGCTGCTGTAATAATTGAGCAAGTCCAGAGTTAAGGACTTAATACCTAGGTAGTTTCGTTTTTAATCCCCATACATATAAAATATATATAGTATCTTTATATAATAGTAAATACTTAAGACTTAATATTTAAAGAAATATAATATTAATAATAATAAAAAAAGAATATAATATATAAATATATAACTAAACTTTATATTATATAAATAAAGTTAGAAGGTATTACTCTTAATAGTACTATATTAGAATTATTAATATAAGTAACTTAAGGGTTAATCTATTATAATATTAGAATTAAAGCTAGTAAAGTAATTATATAGTAAGATTAAAATAGTCTCTTAAAATAGTCTTTATAAGAAGAAGAATTCTATAATATAAGATTTAATAAGTTAACTTTTTTATTAATATATTTATTATATAATTACTTAAATCTACTTTTATTAAATAAGTTAAATTATAATCTTTATTTTAAATATATAGTTAATAGAATAATAATATTATAATAATAAATCTATTTAAAAAGCCTTTTATATAAATTTTATAAAAGATTAAAACTTTTTAAAAAGTTAAGTAAAGTTTATTTATTATATATTAAATAAATATTATATAAAGAAAATAAAATTTTAAATATTTAAAAACTAAATCTTTTTCTTTTAAATATATTACTTTATTATTAAAAATTTATTTACTTTTATATAATATATAAGGAATATAGTAGAAGAGGGAGCTTTATAAAGGAAGTTAGTAACTTTATTATATATAAATAAGTTTAAAGATATATATAAAGTAATTATTAACTTTATACTTAAAGTATAAATTAATAGCTAGTTTAAAAGCTAAAAAGATAATAAATAAATAAATAGTTAAATAAAAATACAATATAGCTAAAGCCTTAATACCTAGGTATTCCATAGTCTGCGAGAACTCAGCAACAAAGCATGCTTTTAATAAAAGTTTGAAAATCTGTACATATAAAAGTTCGTTAACATAATGCCATACATGCTTCAAAGTAATGTTGTAAATAAACAACCAAAAGGCAGTGTGCCAAGCTCTGCTAGACCTCAAGTGCTCAATTATACCAAACGTATTGCAGTCTCTACACACTGTTATCGGCATTGTGTTTTTCTAAATTCTGGGTCTTGAGCGTTTACCACTGGATGAGGCGCCACATATGTCTGATTATATGCGGTGGTTAGAAACGAAGCCACTCGAACATGCCATCTTCTTCCGATATCGTCCACCCGCTTCATACACGTCTATTTAACAAGAAATTCCCTGCGGCACGTTCTGGCAGTTTGTTGCCTTCTTTCCGCCCGTTATCTTGACGTCCGTCCAGGTCCAGTCCGAGCAGCTGCCTTCGCCGCACTCTATGTAGACATTGACTGCATCCTTGTAGACCGTTCCAGTGACGTTCTGTAGCACAAAGTTCTTGATGGACACGCCGTTCGTTGGTTGGCCCTTGACGCCGTTGTATGACTGCGAAACAATAATGCCGTAGTCAGCATTATCAGCGGTGCTGTCAATGACAATGTTGCGGTAGGTGATATCCGATACGCTCCCTGTTTCGTTGGCAATGGTTTTCTAAGACAGAAATTAGTAAGGGCGTATCTGTCTAGCAAGCGAAGAGTCCGCCTGGGCACTCACAATTCTCACGGATTGTTGAGAATTCACGAACTGAATATTCTCAAACGTAATGTTCGATACGATATTATTGGTGCGGCCGCCGACTGAGCCGATTGAGCCCCCGTGCCCGCCACTACAGAGCCCGTCCCTGAACAAGACGTTCTGGCCCGAGTTCACGGCGACACAGTCATCCTGGTTGTATACTTTGGCATTCAAAATTTCCACGCCGACTGCGTTGTTGATGTCAAATGCATCGGTGTTGTGGCCAAGCGTCTTCCCATCCTTGAGCTCATCGCCGGCGGTGTTGTTGCAAATAAGGTCCTTCAACAGCAGGTTGTTGACATAGTTGATACTATAGAAGTTCTCTTCTGCGTGTTAGTTGCCTAATACAGAGCCTGAAGTATGACATTCTGGGTCACTTCGAAACATGGAAGACGAGGTTCAGCACGGGGGCAGAAGTCGGGCTTACTGGGTGCGTTCTGGATGTTGATGCCGTCGAGCACAGAGTCGTTCAAGTTGTTTGCTTTGAAGAACTTGGGCTTTGTGACGCCGCCTCCGCCACCAAGAGTGTCCCACCAAAGATGCCCCTGTCCGTCCAGAACGTGGCCTGGTGCGCCTGTCACCGTAATATTATTACTTTTCCAGCGTTAGGAATTAGCAATTAAACAACCAAGGAAGTAGCTGAAGGCAAATATAGGGAAGAGAAGGCCATAAGCTAGTTATAACTGTTGAACCTGTCACACAATCTATCGCCCGTGAAGATTATTACACAGGCTGGAGATGGGGCATGTTTGTTCTTGAAGGGGTAAAGATTGTATCTAAAAGTAGAAGATGCTTACCCAGAGATTGAGAAGAGAGACCCCTCCCATTCGGCGTAGGCCCAAGTAGTGCGGCCCTGGAAGGTAACCTGGGCCATTTGTCAGTACTGGACTTGTAGGACTTTCCATGGTCAGGTGGGACAAACAGTCGTGCCGTCATTAAGCTTCTCAAGGTTCAGAGTCACTCCCCCGGGAACCTGGAGGCTGTCTAGAACGATATTCGAGCATGAGTTCTTGTTCTGACTGGCCTGCAGGTACCCGTCTGGACCACTGAAAGTACAATCAGCGGCCAAGGCGCCTGAGGCAAGCCCGCACAAGGCGGCCGCGGCAAAGATGATAGATCTTGGCATCTTGGCGGTCTAACAAGGACTTGCATCTGATGGTAGGATGGACGAGATCATCCCAAGAGCCAAGACAGCAGAAGAGGACCTCTTTTAAATGGACCACACTTTCCAAATGCCATCAATTCGGAACTGCAAATTTGCCTGACCCGCAACTCCGGCGAGCTCGTGCAGTCGTAAAAGGGGCGTGCTGGGTGGTTTGTGGTGGGGAGGCGACCCCTACCAAATTTCGGTATCCCGGATTCGTGGAATTTCTCGTCGAGGTTTCGGAAGCAACTCCGCTGAACAAGCTTTCCCGACTCGAAGAGAAGGCGAGCCGCTGATCACAACGCCATCAATGCTGCGTCGTGCCTCGTGACTTCCTGGATGCGGACAGATTGAAAATCAATAGTCTTATGAGTCCTGGGCACCTCTGGATGCAATGCTCGTTAGACATTCGGCAGAAATCTCCGAGGTATGCGTTCAGGGCTTTGGTTCGGCGATCAACATCCCATCCTTCATAAGAGGGATTTAGAGGGATTTGAAGGCAAACGTGAACTCTCTACCTCGGCTCGGGGGGCAATCCCATGATATTGAGCACGCAAGATGCGAGCAGTAATATTGAGCGTTGTGGCTGGCATGAAATCAAAGTAGTAAGGCTCATTATTTCTGTTAAATCTCAAGAGAGTTCGTCATTCTATGTAATTGATCGGCTGCGTAGAGCCGTCGCAGCCGCGGTGTATACACTGGCATGATTCTACTCAGCTTGTCCATAACGAGTCCAGACGGAATAGAGGTTACATTTACTACTTCTAGGTAGCTAAACTACTTCCTAGTAGTTTCGTTTTTAATCCCTATATATATAAAATATATATAGCGCCTTTATATAATAGTAAACACTTAAAACCTAACATTTAAAGAAATATAATACTAATAATAGTAAAAAGAAAATATAATATATAGGTATATAATTAAGCTTTATACTATATAAATAAAGTTAAAAGGTATTACTCCTAATAATACTATATTAAAAAGTTAGTAAAATAGTTATATAATAAGATTAAAATAGTCTTAAAATAGCCCCTATAAAAAGAAAAATCCTATAATATAAAACTTAGTAAGCTAGCTCTTTCCTATTAATATACTTAATAACTACCTAAATCTACCCTTATTAAATAAATTAAATAGTATATAATCTCTATTTTAAATATATAACTAATAAAATAATAATATTATAATAATAAACTTATTTAAAAATCTTTTATATAAATTTTATAAAAGATTAAAACTTTTAAAAACTAAATAAAGTTTATTTACTATATATTAAATAAATACTATATAAAAAGTAAAAGTTTAAATACTTAAAAATCAAATCTTTTTCTTTAAATATACTACTTTATTATTAAGGATTTATCTACTTCTATATAATATATAAAGAATATAATAAAAGAGAAAGCCTTATAAAGAAAGCTAGTAACTCTACTATATATAGATAAGTTTAAAAGTATATACTAAATAATTATTAACTTTATACTTAAAGTATAAACTAATAGTTAGTTTAAAAGCTAAGAAGATAATAAATAAATAAATATATAGTTAAACAAAAAATATAATATAGCTGAAGCTAAACTACTTCCTAGACCTCTGCATGAATAATATCTGGAAGGAGCTCCTCTGTAGAACATGATTCTATCAGAGGGTATCGCGTAGGAGGCTTGGGGGGGGGCTGGCATGGCCGTGTAAGTCAGCGCACCAGTCTGCGCACAACCCCCTTCCCGCACACGCATTTCCCATTAAAAAGCCTAATTTTAAGCCCTCTCTAATTTATTCTAAAAAAATACTATATATAAGAAAAAATATTTATTAAATTCATCTTTTTTATTTTATATAATAATAAAATTTAAATAATTTTAATCTAATCCTAATATAGTTAGATAACTATAAATAGATATTTTCTACTTTTTATATACTATATTAATATTATAATTTTAAAGTTAATTAACAATAAATTTAATTACTTTAACTTATTAAAAGAAGTAGTTAATATTAATAAGTATTTATAAAAAGAGTTTCTATTTTAAAAATTTTCTTTAATTAATTATTAAAGATTTAAAATAAGTAGAGTAAATATAGTAGAGAAAAGGCCCTATATATTATTAAAACTTAAATAACTAATTAAAAGAAATTCTAAAATAGAAACTCTTTTATAAATATTTATTAATATTAACTACTTTTTTTAATAAGTTAAAGTAATTAAATTTATTATTAAATAACCTTAAAATTATAATATTAATATAGTATATAAAAAGTAGAAAATATCTATTTATAGTTATCTAACTATATTAGGATTAGGCTAGAATTATTTAAATTTTATTATTATATAGAATAAAAAAGATAAATTTAATGAATATTTTACTTCTCTTATAAAGATTTAATAGAATTAAATAGGAGAGGTGAAAAATTACGGTTTTTGGTGGGAAATGTGTGTGCGGGAAGGGGGTTGTGCGCAGACCGGTGCGCTGACTTAGCGGACACCAGAGCAGACTTGAAGCTTGCATGGACTATCGTTGATCTGAATGATGAGTAGCCACCGCGCTGACAAGCTCCATGTAGAAATGCCAGCTAAACAGAGTCCGGCAAGAACTGCTGTCAACAAGCCTTCACTGTTGTGTCAATAGTAATCACAGCAGACCCACACAGAAACATGCGACCATATCCACAAGGACCCGTACAGAACGACAAGCTCAAGCTGCCAATGTTGGCATAGAACCGGAAGAGCCAAACGATTTGCCATTAGTGATTAGTCTCACTGCTGACCTGATGGAAAATTCCATTCCACTTGCGAGAGGCAAAGGCATTTCCATAATGGTTTTCAAGTGCTTTCGTTCTTAATCTGTATACGTCTCAAGGGTATACCTTTGTCATTGTAGTAGACACTTGAAAGCTAGTATTCTAAAAAAGGAAAATACTGATAACATTTGAATATTACATAAACGCTGTGGCCCTGGCAAAATGAATTCACAAACTAAACTGATTGTAAATATGCCTCCGCATCCCGTGCTGGAGAAAACAGTACTGGGAATTCCATCACCTGGGCGTGCAGCCAGCCAATGTGACACGGCGTGTGCTCGGCGGTTGATCAGCAGGGTTTATTAATGTTGCGTCTCCGTTATCAAGACTGTCACTTGAGTAACAGCATCCTGGTGATTTGGATTTTCTATAGCACATGGCATGGCCCAATATTCACGAGGCGCGGTTATCGACATTAACTGCCGTTCCATTTATAGAAGGTTTCCGATGTCATCAATACCACATGTGCATAATGTTTCTGGTGTGCCTCTAGGTGCTGGGGCATGGACATCTGATGTTTGAATATTTGTACCCACCTGCATGCTTCGGCCGAGCATGTGCAGGGAAAACTAGCCCTCTGACCTGTTGTGTTTCGAGGAAGCCATTTGGGTACCCATGTAGTCTCTTTCCAGGATTCGCCTTATAAGGCATTAAAGATCAGGACGAGTTTCATCCCATCTAGCTGTCAAGCGGCCCAGCCGAAGTGCCAATCGTGGATTGGCTTTACAGATTGGCTTCCTGCACAGGTTGTCCTAGAAAGCCGTTGGCACTTTAAAATCTCTGGACGATCCGGATGGCTGCAGAGGATGAGCATGTATTTTCTGTTCCGTGCGCCAATCATCTCTTGTACCTTGCAGTATTTCTTATTCCAGGCCGAGGGCTTACAGATGCAGCATGGCACCCAGACCGTTGCGCTTGGTGTCCGGAAACCCTCGCGATGACACCATCGAGCTCTTGACGCCAACAACCACACAGCCGCAGAACGTCGCCCCGATGACCGCACGATACCAGGCTGATCGAGTGCAGGGCGACGCTCAGCCTGAATGCCAGTGCAGGCATGGCAGGTCAGACTACGAAGCACTCATGTCGCGCAAACTCCAGAGGAGTCGTCAGACCAACGCATCGCAAGAAGGTATCTGGGACTGCCTGTCGGACTTCTGGGAGAGCTGGTGCTTCTTTGACAGGATGTGCGATAGATGCTGTGATCGTTGCTGCGACAGGTGTTGTGATAGGTGTTGCGACAGGTGTTGCGACAGGTGTTGTGATCGATGCTGCGATCGTTGCTGCGACAGGTGCTGCGATCGGTGTTGCGACAGATGGGCCAAGTAAGCACAGCCAAAACCGGGAGACCGGGGGGCTATTTAGAGACCTCACTGACCACTGCATTCTCCAGCGTGTGCATTGAAGTATGCGGGAGGAGGGCACCAGCTCACTGAGCAGCGAAGTCCTTGCATGGCATGGCGTTTATCAGAAGTGGGTGTTATGCATGGACTATTTTGCCCGAGACATCTGTTAGCCTGTGCTTGGGGCAAAGTATGTAATCTTGATATAATTGACACATGGCTGATTTGAGACTGCCCCGCACGAGCTACGCGGGAGGGTTTGAATGGCACAATTTTGTCACTGGCCCATGAAGCCACACCCATGTCTCCTGTTAACATGTACTATGTAGGCGGCAATACTGTATTCTCATTCCACTGTTATTGGCACTGTATTTCTTCAGACGCTGGGTCTTGAGCGTTTACCACTGTATGAAGGCGCCACGTACATTTTACATGTATGGGGATTAAAAACGAAACCACATGTAGGCGGCAAGAATCACGCTCGTGAAGCGTCTCGTCTGACTAACAGCTTCTGGGCTTTGTCTTGGGCGAACGACTTGTCAGATACGGCGCATGTTGTGGTGGGCCGCGTGGCCGGAATCCCAGGAATGCTCTTGGGTCTCGGCGCTGAAAGAATTGCGGTCCAGTCAACGGCTGGCACAGCAGAGTACCCAGGTACCTAGGTACTTCAGTACCTAGGTACTTGAGCAGGTGGGACCCTGGGAACCCTGGGAACTTGGAAGAGTCTTATCGCCTCTTGGCGCATGCTTATCAATCCAGAATTGGCGGGGCGACTTGGAATTTTTGGAGGGGATGGCAGCGCATATCCGCCCCAAATTGTCTGCCCTGCTTCGCTCCGCCGCCACGCAGAACCTCGACCAGACATCGCAACCCACTCAACAACACACCATATTCCTCACGAGGCAAGCCACAACCATGGACGTGGATATGGAAGGTGCCGTGTCCATCGGGGCCCCCGTGGGGACTGCCATGACCGGCGCAACCATCCTCTGCTGCAACTGCGGCGCCCCCATCGACGGAACCACCGCCGCCAACGCCCTCTGCTACGACTGCGTCAAGCTCACCAACGACATATCAAAAGGCATCCAGCGCGAGGCTGTCCTCAACTTCTGCAGGGACTGCGACCGTTGGCTCATGCCCCCAACCAGCTGGCTTGTCGCCGCCCCAGAATCGAGAGAACTGCTTGCCCTGTGTCTGAAAAAGCTGAGGGGCCTGGGAAAGACTCGGATCATCGATGCCAGCTTCATCTGGACAGAGCCACACTCGAGGAGGATAAAGGTCAAGCTGACAGTGCAAGACTCGGTCTCCGATGGCGTCCTCATGCAGCAGAGCTTCGAGATCGTCTACGTCGTCGCCTACCAGCAGTGTCCGGATTGCGCAAAGTCATACACTGCCAACGTGTGGAGGGCCTGCGTGCAGGTTCGGCAAAAGGTCCTCCACAAGAGGACGTTCCTGTTCCTCGAGCAGCTCATCTTGAAGCATGGCGCCCACCGCGAAACGATCAACATCAAGGAAGTCAAGGACGGCATAGACTTCTTCTTCGCCCAACGAAATCAAGCCGAGAAATTCGTCGAGTTCCTCAAGTCGGTCGTGCCAATCAATGTGACCAAGAGTCAAGAACTCATCTCAGAAGACATACACACCTCCAAAAAGAGCTACAAGTTCGCCTTCTCCGTCGAGTTGGTACCGATTTGCAAAGACGACCTCGTCGCGCTTCCCATCCCAATGGCGAAGCAGCTCGGTAACATCTCCCCACTGGTCCTCTGCCACAGGATCGGCACTTCCGTCAACTTTATTGACCCAAACACCCTCCAAATCGCCGAACTGCGTCCCGACATCTACTGGCGTGTGCCGTTCTTCTCCCTCTCGGAAGCGCCCGACCTCGTCGAGTTCATGGTATTAAACATCGAGCCGACAGGCCCCCAGAAGGGCAAGTGGCTCGTCGCGGACGTCGAGGTCACGAGGGTGGATAACATGGAGACAACCTACAACGTGCGGACGCACCTGGGCAACTTCCTCAACCCAGGAGACTCGGTCATGGGCTACATGCTCACGGGCACCAACTTCAACAACCCCCAGTTCGAGGCCATCGAGAACTCGCACACGTACGGCTCGAGGATACCGGACGTCATGCTGGTCAAGAAGCACTACCCGCGCAAGCGCAAGCACCGCAACAGGAACTGGCGCCTCAAGCGCATGGACAAGGACGAGGGCGAGCTGCTCCCCAAGAAGGCCGACCAGGAGCGCCTGGACAACGAGTACGAGGCTTTCCTTCGGGATGTCGAGGAGGACGAGGAGCTGCGGGCCGCGCTGGCGCTGTACAAGAATACCAACAAGAACAAGAAGAAGAAGGAGGAGGGCGAGATGGAGGTTGACGGCCAGAGCGTTGCGGATACAGAGGCCACTGGCGAGAGTGAGGATGATGATGTTCCCAAGGTCAACATGGACGAGTTGTTGGATGAGTTTGAGGAGATGACGATGGAGGACCAACAATAGAGATGTCATCAAGGGCTGATTCGACCAAAATCATTCCAGCATACTCCGCCCGTTATTTGTGGCTTACGACTACGTCAAATCGCGCTTTAGATGAACATAACATGACTGCCAAACTGGATCTTGTCCCTTGAAATGGGGTTTCTCTTGCTTTCGCTAGTATGCAGGCGGAGCAGGCGGAGCAGGCGGCACAGATTGAATGACCTGGCCCTCGGGCTGACTCTTCTACCACAAACGATGATTCCCTTCCTTTGCCACGCTTTTCTCGCGTCTAATACTCAAGCGGCCGCCCTGGCTTGCCAGATACCGCACGCAGATGTCACTGTTGCCATCTGAGCTGAGCCTAGAAACCAGTGAAGGTTGCCATGTCGAGCTCCGATCGGCTTGCTTGACCTTGTGTCCAGGTCGGCTCATCGACCAGCCAGCTTGCACTACCGGCTCGAGTGAGAAGCCCACGTCCGGCCCAAGATGTCGCACCCGCCACAGAAGAACTCCACCATGGCTTTCATACCCTGTGGCAGGAGACCATGTGTTGCTTTCCCACCGCCTTTCCTGCAGCGCTCCCTTAATTACAACGCGTCGATGCGATAGATCAACAACGCGGTGGCTGTCGCTCATGAGAGTCTGCGTAAAGCAGTATCCGACGAGGGTAACCGTACGGTGTGGTGCTCCATAATTAGGATGTTCTCCTCTAGGCGGATAGGCTTAGAAAACCTTGCTCAGGGCCTTGCTAGCCTTCTGCGGCTGAGCCGATTCCGTCGCTTTCTTCTTGTGCGCCAACGTCTTCTGTTGGAACTTCCTATGCCTCTCGGCACCAGCCCCTTCGTCTGCGGGAGTGGGGGCGGCTGCATCCGCTGCGCCGTCATGCGCGGTCGTTTTCTGGGCCTTCTTGCTCTGTATGCCATCCAGCATCTTGGCCTTCTCGACCCGCTGCACGAAGTCCTTGTTCTCCTTCTTCTCCCTCTGGAGCTCCGCCATCATGCGGCTGCTCCTCTCCGCGCTCTCCGCCGCAATCTGCTCCGTCAGGTGGTGCCACTTGAAGCCGTTGAGGTACTTCAGCGTCCATATGTCGTCCCGGTAGTAGCTCCCCTTCTTGCCGCCGATTGTCTGCGCGTTCAGCATGGCACACACGTCCTTGGCGTCCTTCTTGTTCACAAACTCCACCCAGCCCTCGGTGTACATCTTTTTCTTGTTGCCACCGTTACGTACCCGCCTCTGGTGTGCCATGGGATCTTCGGGAGCAAGAAAGATGCGGTTGATGGTGCCGTAGTTCGACAGGAGCGAGCGCAGCTTGTGGGGCTTCATAAATGGTGGGATGCGCGAGACGTATACGACGCCAGACTTTTTAATGGCAGCTTCTGTGGCGACGGGATTCTTCTTCAACAAGGATTTGACTTGGAGGATGTCGTCGGGCTGTGCGTCGCTATCCTCCTTGCTCCGCCGTGTCTCTCCCCGATCTTTCTTGCTAGGCGTTGGTCTTTGTGGTTTGGTGCTCTCGGCTTCTTCAGCATTCTTCTCGTCACTCTCGTCGCCCGAGGCCTCGTCGCTGGACGCCGCGTCCTCTTGGTCACTGTCATCTTCCAGCTTACGCCTCTTGGCGGTGCGCCCTCCCTTTCGCAGTTCGTCGTCTGAGTTGTCCTGGATGGCATCGTCGTCGCTGTCCTCGGCATCGAGGAACTGATTGCGCTTCTCGGGCGCCATGATACGAATCCCGCGCAGGTGACGATCGGGGGCGGCTGGTCTAACGAATCAGGGACGGTATGCGCGGTAGATATGGATTGTGCTGTTCTGTGCTGATTCGGCCTGTCAAAGGAATTGGAAATCCTCAGGCGGCATTCGAGGATGCCCTCAAAATTTCAGTGGGGCGCCCACCCGTCCTTATCTTATCGAGGGTGGCCGAGATCGGCTCCGTGGGGCGGCCCAGTGGGACAGCGTCATCCAGCGCAGCCAGGGCAGACGATGGAGGGGTCGGGCAGGCAATGGATAACGAGCAGCTAGAGAGGCAAGCAAACGACACGAGAGCACATCAAAGCTATTTGTATTGGATTGTGCCAGCATCATTGGCACGCGATCCACGCCTTCTCCTGTCTGTCTTTCTTCCATCCTTCCATCCATCCCATCACTGTAACACCCACCCCCTTTTGGCTACACCGTGAAACATAACTACAATGTCTGTCGAAGTCATCAAGACCGTCTCTCCCAACACCAACGAGGTCGTTATCACCCGCAATGGCCCGTCGGCCGGGGACTTGGAGAGCTTGCCCAAGACTTCCGCAGAGGCCTTCAAGACATGGAGCAAGACGACTCTGGCAGAGAGACAGGATATCATCCGCAAGGCGCTCAAGAATCTCTCCGACGTCACAGATGAGCTGGCCCTCGAGCTGACTACCCAGATGGGTAGGCCTATTGCCTATGGAGCAAAGGAAGTCGCCACAGCCATCAGCCGGTCTGAGTATCTCGTCAGTATCAGTGAGGACGTGCTCAAGGACACTGATGGTGAGGCGGAGAAAGGCTTCAAGCGATTCATTCGCAAGGTCCCGGTTGGGCCTGTTCTTATCCTGTTTGCCTGGAACGTAAGTCAACTGCCACAACTATTATGCTACCTCGGTATAACTGGCGTGACGGACTCTAGACAAAAGCTTCCACGAGGCAAGGAGCCCAATGCTAATTTTTGTCAGTACCCATATCTCATCCTCGTCAACTCACTCATCCCGGCACTTCTTGCTGGCAACACAGTCATCCTGAAGCCCTCGCCACAGACGCCTACCATCGTAGAGCAGGTGTCGCATGCCTTCGCCCAGGCTGGCCTTCCATCGGGAGTCATTCAGTACTTCCACGCCGGCTCCCCCACAACGGTAGAGTCTCTTGTCCGGAACCCTTTGGTATCCCTGGTGTGCTTCACCGGCTCGGTCGCTGGTGGTTTGTCTGTGCAGAGGGCCGCCTCAGACCGCATTGTGAATGTCGGTCTGGAACTGGGCGGCAAGGACCCTGCCTATATCCGTGAGGATGTAGACATCGCCTGGGCCGCCGAGGAGATTGTCGATGGAGCCGTGTTCAACTCTGGCCAGAGTTGCTGCTCCCTCGAACGGATCTACGTCGACGAGAAGATCCACGACAAATTCGTCGAGGCCGTTCAGGTTGTCCTCAAGAGCTACAAGCTTGGCGACCCATTCGACAAGTCCACCAATGTTGGACCTGTCATCTCTGAGAGGTCAAAGGCAACCATCGAGGCGCACATCAAAGATGCTGTTGACAAGGGTGCAAAGGACGTGACGCCCGACAACGAATCATTCAGTAACCCTCCTCCCAAGGGCAACTTCGTCAAGCCGACGCTGCTGGTCGACGTTACACACGACATGACTGTCATGATCGAAGAAACATTCGGCCCGGTCATCCCAGTGATGAAGGTCAAGAGTGACGAGGAGGCTGTCAAGCTCATGAACGACAGCGAGTTCGGCCTGACTGCCAGCATCTGGACCAAGGACACTGATAGGGCCTATGAGCTGGCCCAGGACGTCGAAGCTGGTACCGTCTTTGTGAATCGCTGTGATTTCCCCAGTCGCGTAAGTTGTCCGAGACCCCTTCACGACCCGCCCTTTGCTGACCGAGACACCTGTAGGATCTGGCGTGGACTGGTTGGAAGAACTCAGGCAAGGGACAGACCCTGAGCAGGTTTGGTTTCGATCAGTTTGTGAAGCTGAAGAGCTTCCACCTCAAGGACTACCCCAAATAAGGTCAGATGATGAAGATGACAAGTCGGCAGAGGCAAGGGATGGACTCTACGGGTAGCCTAGATCGAATTGCACCACATGCACCACGCTGTCCATTCAATTACTGTCGCTTGCTCCCTCGTGATTCAACTCTGACGCGTCCAAGTCCAATTAGACGCACGCGTCCGCCTCGCGTCTTTCCTCTTAAAGTGCATGCATTCCACGGGAAGGCCACAGGCCGTCCCCGTATCAGACCTAACATTCCAATATTTTTTTGCCGAGAAGGGCGACTCACCAGCCCTTTACAGCTCCCATCTATCGTTCTCAGCATTGGAAGAATTTTCTTCTTTGACGACAAGGTGTCAATCTCCGCAACACCTGCACCTTGGCCCGGCCGTCCTGCTCGAGGGTCCTTTGTATCCCACCGAATAAAGGCAATCATTTCTAAATCTGGACATCCAAGCCTCCCAAATTAATCCCCACGGGTATGTATCAAACCCTACTGGTCGTTCTTGGCCACTCCTTTGTTCGTTATCATCGGGATCGTTTGCCATCACCCCTTTGGCGTCCGAGTCTTCCTTGGGTCTATGTTCCGCTGCTTTAAACCGTATCGTGTGCTACGAGTCCCACTTTGCACCGGTCCTTCTGTTACCACATCTTCCTGTGCCTGTCAATCATTTGCCCGATCCAGCTGCCTGGTCAGCCTTCTCTGCAACGCCATCTACGAGCACGACCTTCCTTCCCTTCAAACCGGCCCCCCGAAGCAGCAGAGAGCAAGCTTCCCTTTCGTCACTCCTTTCACAGGACCGTCGCCAACTTCTTTTACCAACTGAGTCGTTCCCTCCTTTCGACTTTTTTGGTATCTCTCAGCCAACTTTGCCCACACTCTCTTCCAACTCCCAACTTGCCACTCCCTCAGTACTCAAGTCGCCAATATCGATATCGACTCGCCAATTTGCCAAAACTTTCATTTCAATCCCATCCAAGCAAATCTTCAAATCATTCAAAATGCAAGTCTGCAACTCATTCAAGCTGCGCCTTGCGCGAGTCCAGAGCGTGGTGAAGAACGTGGTCAACCGCCGCCTGCGCAAGGAGAAGAAGAGACGTTCAATCCAGATTGTAAGCGAACGACCTGTCCTCTGGGTGTCCCGTACTCGATTTTGCGTAAACTGATAGCATAGCAGTCCGAGCCCTTCGGTTTCAGGCATGTCGCCACCAACATAAAAGGCCTCAGCGATGAAGAGTGCGTGCCCCTTCCTAGTTACATCCCCAGCTCGTCAAGCATCGCCTCCCGGAGTCTTGACCCCCAGGCAGCCACCGACTCGAACCAGAAAATACCATAACGAGAATACTGACAAAAAGCTCACAGGCTCCAGGTTCTCCGGGAGAAGGCCATCGCCAGCCGCTTCGCCACCATCGACGAGCAGCAGCACGACCCCCACCAGAAGCCATCACGGCCTAACAAGACCCGCACGGGCTACCGTGGCCTCACATCAACCCCGCTGAGTGCCTCTCGGCCCTCCATCACCCAGTCGTTTGCTGCCGAGGACAGCGGCTCGCACCTGAGCCGCACGACGGCCTCGTCGGTCAGTGGCGCGAGCGACCACGGCAGCGACGGGAAGGAAGCTCTCATCTAGACCACAGAAACCCCCCCTGCCATGGTGCTTCCATCCTTCACGAAGAAAAAGCTGCATCGAGGATAGATCTCAGACTGGGACCATGGTTTTTCACCTGAGCGAGCAAGCAAATCGACGGGAGCACCTGCTTAAAGTGCTCTTGGCTTGAACGGTGTTGCAAATATTGCAACCTCGATTAACGACAGAAGTCATGCAGCCATGAAGACCGCTGTTGTACGATTACGACTAGATTAAGCGAGGAGTGCCAGACGATATGATTACCCCTCTTGAATTTTGAGACGATGATGCCCTCACCTGGATAGATGCGAGGCGGAGGCAGAATAGAATTACTACCAACACGCCCAGACAGCACAACCCAGAAACCACGGGACCTTCACCACCATGTTCGAACCAGATCTGACAGATGGCTTTCCTCGGCCCAGGCCAACAATACAGGGCGGGCAGAGAAAGACGGGACTGATTTGTGGAGCCCACGGTCACCAGGGAGGCAAAGGCAGGAAACCAACTGTTCTCGTTGTTCCGCTCATTTTTGGAGACTAGCAACCTCACACCGGCTGCCAAATAGACCGAGACATTATTTGGGATCAGACATTATTTTTGGTGGTGGGGGAAACTGGATGTTGGCCATGAGACACGATCTTTTGAGAGACGAATCACTGTAGCATTACTCACGTATCTGTTGGGGCTGATGCCAACCCTCATAATAATGCAAAGACCATGAAAGACAACAAACAAAGCTTTGAATTGAATGGCTGACTGTGGCACAAAAGACCGACCCTTGAAAAGAAAACATTTGCTTTTCAAACCCCCCATCCGCCCAACTGGGTCTGTAATATTAGTGGGCGTGTTGTTTACATGCAGCCTGACCATGTCAAAAGGAACGGACGAGGCAGCCAACGGCAAGATACCCGCACGACTTGCAACGCTGGAAGCAGCAGCGACAATCAGGACAGCCACCCATCAAACTCCCTCAGCTTCTCGACCCGCACGCCCTGCAGCTCGCCCTTGACCCCGAGCAGCTTGACCTTGCTGTCCTTCTTCTTGGCAGACCACTCCTGGAGGAAGCGCTCCACCCGCGCCGCCGTCTCCCCGTCGTCCCTGACCAGGATGGCCACGGCGTCGAACCCCCCCGCACCGGGGACAACGCCGCCGTAGACGCCGTCGACCCCGGACAGCGCGTCGATGAGATCTGTCTGCGACTCGGGCTCGATGGGGACGCCGGACCTGACGCCCATGGCCCGCACGAGCTCCCTGCCCGCGGCGAGGGCGGCCGGCAGCTCGTCCACCCTGCCGCCGGCCAGGACGGCGGCCAGGGCCTCGTTGCGGCCCTGCAGCTCGTCCCACAGCGCCTTGGAGCCGGCCGGGTCGGAGGCGCGCCACGCGTTGACGGCCTTGACCATGCCGACGGTCTGGGAGCCGCACTCGACGTCGACCATGCGCATGGCCACGCCCTGGGGCAGGCTGACCTTGTCCTTGTGGATCTCGGTGTCCCACCTCCCCTGGCCGCCGACGGTCTCCTCCAGCCTCGAGCCGAAGCCCGGCTGACCCGGCTGCGGGACGGCGTCGAGGACGGAGGGGGAGAAGCGCCGGTACAGGCAGCTCCCGTGGACGGCGGCGGCGACGTCGAAGCCGGAGCCGATCTTGCCCTGGGCGCGGCAGTGGGCGGCCTGGGCGAGGTTGTGCAGCACGGTGCGGCCGCCGTCGGTGGCCAGGTCGAAGTGAGCCGGGTCCAGGTAGTGGGACAGCAGGGCGGCGGTCAGGCTGGTGACGAGTGCGGCGGAGGAGCCGAGGCCTGTCTTCTTTGCATCTTTCAGGGAGGTGCCAAAGGGGATGAATCTGTTACTGGATGGGCTGGTGGCGGGTGCTGCTGCTGATGCTGATGATGAGGAGGAGGACGAGGCAGAGTAGTAGTCGGTGTCGGCGAGGATGGTGAGCCTGGCTGACTGGATGCTGTGTGCGGGCCTCTGGTGGACGACACGGGAGATGTATGTGAGCGCGTAGGTGAGAGTTGTCTCTATAAAGGGGTTGGGCTGGTAGGATGAGCCGCTTTATGGTGGTTAGTTGATATAAAATTGAGGCTCAAGCATCACTTACACCTGCAGCTGGGTGACGGTGATGCCGCCGTCTTCAGGGGCAAGATGATAGCCGTAACGCCAGGTGCCGCCGACAAACTGGGGGCTCTCGACCACAATCTCGGTCAGCTGGACGCCCTGGGAGGTGGGGATGCCGCGGGCGACGACGTTGATGCGGGCATCGAGGCCAAAGACAAGCCCGGTGTAGTCGCGGTCGGTGACGAGGTAGCCGCCGGCCAGCAGCACCTTGCCCGGGGCGGACACGGCGGTCGTGGGGTTTACGGGCTCGACGGTCATGGCTCTCTTGTGCAGACTTTGTGCTGGTTGTGTCGGTGAAAAAAGAACTGCCCGGCTCTGCGGATACCAGAGCAAGTTTCTCGAGGGAGGACACCCGGCGCAGCCAACACAATGGGCAGAGAGACGTGGACTGTTACAGCAAGGAACAAGGTGCGGACGAGGTACGGACGAGGTACGGACGAGGTACGGTAGGACGGCCAGGACACACCCAATCTGACAGTCGGGCGGACTGCGAGTAAAATGGCCCGGGGAATCTCAATTAAGCGAGGCGAGATCGGCAGAAATGCCCCGCCGGATCCAGGCCTGGGGGATTGGGAAATGGGAATTGGGAATTGGGAGGGCTTTCCTTGTGCGAGCGAGCAGCACGATGCCCTCAATGACGACAGCGGCGACGGTCAAGGTTTATTAACCCCAGGCTCTGGTGCGCCCCAGCGGCATGGGATCTTCAGGCACAGATGGCAGCGGCCGGTGATCTCGGACGGACAAGACGATGGGTGGATGGAGGGGCAGAGGGGGCGGGCGGGGAGCTCGATTGGGGTAGCAAGCTCCTGGAGCTATGGGAATGGCTGCGGGGCAGACATGCATATGACTCTATGTATTCCCCCTCCATCAACGACCTAGGTACTTAAGTACCTAGGTACTTGGGTGCCTACATATACTGTATATAAGGCATCTACACATCCATCCTTGGCTGCTTGATGCTCTGGCCGCCGAGCAGCTCTGTGCCGCGGCCACACAGCCACAGCAGCCTGACCGTCTTGCGCTGCCGATGAACTCAAATCCTCTTAGTTGATAACACATCCAAGGCGCCAGGGCGCTCGAGGAAGGCCGAGTCACCATGACGGCCTTTGACGTGCCTCGACTCTTTGACCATCGTTGCTAATACATAGACTACTACCTACTACTTAGACAACCTTCAGCCCAGCAGTGAGGCTGTCAGCGTTCCAATGGTACGAGGCACTGGGGAAGGATATAACATTCGGTACCTAGACAGATCATAGAACTGCCGTTCAGATAAACTGGAAGTTGCCATCTACCTAGGTCGCCCAGCCATGTCGTATTAGTGCACCCCAACACGGCGTGTCTTCCTGACGTCATGTATGCATGCACAACATCACCACCACACCACCGAGAGGTGAGGCCGAATGTGCTCTCGCCTCTGAACTCAACCACCCATCCGTTCGGCCTACAAACCACGAAAGAATAGAACACTACGCAGCCAGCATGCCTCCCTACGAAGACCCTCCGCCCTCGTATGAGGCCAGCACCTCTAACAACTCACAACCCCCCCAGGACACAAGCCGTCTCACCGTACCATTGAGATCTCGCAATGGCATCCCGCCGGACGAGCGAAGGAGCATGGAGGACTCGGCCCGGGCCCTCCCGGAGGGCTGGGTCAGGCAGTACGACCGAGAGACCCATCACCAATTCTTTGTCGACACCAGGGCCAACCCGCCACGCTCTATCTGGCACCACCCCTACGACGACGAGCAGTACCTGGCCTCCCTCCCCGACCACGAGAGGGACCGTATCAAGAGCCTCCAGCGCGTCCACAGCCTGGCCGACATCGAGGCCGAGAGCAGCGATGACGACACCGCCCGCGGCAGCCACGGCCAACCAGCAGCCGCCACACAGCAGCAGCAGCAGCAAGAGAGGCTCTCCAAGTCCGAGAAGTTCGGCCGCAGGCTCAAGGACAAGCTGACCAGCTCGACCCACCAGGAGCGCGCCGCCAAGCGCCAGCAGCGGGCCGAGGCCGAGAGGCAGGCCTACTACCAGCACCAGCACATCCGGCGGCAGCTCGTGCGCGCCGTCGAGACGGGCGAGCCGCAGCTGCTGGGCAGGGACGGCGACGGGAGGGAGGTCTGGATCGAGCCCCCACACGGCTCCCAGGGGCTGGCCGGGCGCGCCAACGTGCGGGTCGTCAACCCTTGGGACAGGGGAGGGTACTTTGGTGGCCCGCCCGGCATGATGGCAGGACCCTACGCGCGACCCGTTGGTCCTTATAGTAGGCCATATGGACGCGGCGGCTACGGGTATGGCTATGGGGGTGGCCTGGGCATGGCGCCTCTCCTCGGGCTGGGTGTTGGGCTGGGGTTGGGCGGGCTGATGTTCTGATGTTCTGTTGCATGTCTTCAGAAACGGCCTGGTCATTGAGGTTATGAAGATACCCTAAATCACTCTGCTTCCAATACCCGATTCATCCATACCCAGCAGTTATCCAGGTGGAGAAAGGTAAACGGGGCAAAATGAAGGCTTGACCTATGCGGTGCTGCAACATGTGTGAGATTGACCTCGTAAATTCATAATGCTAATTCGGGATATCCATATCTACATTTTGATCTTGGATGCGAGGCCAATCAGTGTCTGAGCGGCTTATAGTGGGGACACTGTGACCCACCAATCGATAACGTGGGATATCACCAGGACCCACTAAATTTTCACCCGCCCCCGAAGACTCGGGGTCCCTCTTGCATGGAAACAGAGACTTTCTAGTACCCGTTGCCTTCGTCTTCACCACCAACTTCTTGGTTCGCCAGCCTCCTGTCAACCACAACAGCGACAATGGCCGATGACCTGGTCCTCAACCTGGCCCCGATCGGGGACTCCTCGTTCGCTTCCAAGAAGGTTAAATATGTTGGAGGGTCTTGGAGAGATCGTCGCCGGGCCCAGAAGAAGGACACCGCCCGCGAGCAAGGCAGGACGGGCTCAACGGGCTCGACGTCGAAACCTGCCACCACCGACGGTGCCTCTGCCCAACACCACGCTGCCTTTCCTTCAGACAGACCACCCAAGCGACAGAGGACCGACCATGGGCCCACCAGCCGCCCAGGTGGCGGCCACCACGACCCCTCGAAGCCGTTCCAGGTCGCTTCCAAACTCTTCACCTACAACCCCACGGCCAAGACAGTCTTCGACGACGCCACACCGGCAAAAGAGGCTGAGCCGGCCACTCCTTCCAACGCGCCCCTGTCCGAAGAAGCATCCAACTTCCACGCCCTGGGCCTGTCCCGGAGGGTAGCCCAGCACCTGTCGACGAAACTCGAGATGAAGGTACCCACGTCGATCCAGAAGAACACCATACCGCCCCTCGTCACCGGCGACGACGACGCTTTCCTGCAGGCACAGACGGGTTCCGGAAAGACACTTGCCTACCTGCTTCCCATAGTACAACGGATTATCGCCCTGAGCCGCAACGACGATGGCAGCAGCACCGGTGCCGACATAAACAGGAATTCGGGCTTGTTTGCCATCATTCTCGCGCCCACCCGAGAACTGTGCAAGCAGATATCTGTCGTGCTGGAGAAGCTTCTGCGATGCTGCCCGTGGATCGTTAGCACCACTGTCATGGGAGGCGAGAGCAAGCACTCCGAGAAGGCCCGTATCCGCAAGGGCTGCAATATCCTTGTTGCTACACCTGGCCGTCTCACTGACCACCTGGAGAACACCAAGATCCTCGATGTTGGAACGGTGCGGTGGCTCATCCTCGACGAGGGAGACAGGATGATGGAGATGGGTTTCGAACAGGACCTCAAACAAATCGTCACGGCCATCCGCGAGGAGCCACTCAAGGAGAAAAATAAGGATGGCGTACTGCTCACAAAGGCCATGCCAAAGAGGAGGGTGACGGTCCTCTGTTCCGCGACGATGAAGTCAAATGTCAACAGGCTCGGTGAGATCAGTCTGCAGGACGCTGTCCTCATAACTGCCTCCACCTCCAAGGACGACGCCGAGGAGGATGCAAAGGCAGAGACTGTCTTTGCTGCACCGGCCCAGCTGAAGCAGACATACTTGGTCGTTCCGGCAAAGCTGCGCCTGGTCACACTCGTGGCGTTCCTCAAGGACGCCTTCGCCCGAAAAGGCTCCGTCATGAAGGCAATCGTCTTCATATCCTGTGCCGACTCGGTCGACTTCCATTTCGAACTACTCAAATCCACCACTGCGCGACCCCAGCCGTCACCAGAGACTGTACAAGGCAAGCCAGACCACACGGCCAACACCGTACACCCCTCGGCCTACATCACCTCCCCAGCCAACCCGACCATCCTCCTCCACAAGCTGCACGGATCTCTGACCCAGCAGGCGCGTACCTCGACGCTCCGCTCCTTCTCGACCTGCAAGGACCCCGCCGTGCTCATCACAACCGACATCTCCTCGCGAGGTCTTGATGTCCCCGCCGTCGAGCTGGTCGTCGAGTACGACCCGGCCTTTGCCATCGCCGACCACGTCCACCGCATCGGACGTACAGCCCGTGCAGGCCGGCCTGGAAAAGCCGCCCTGTTCCTGCTGCCGGGCTGCGAGGAAGGCTACATCGACATGCTACCCACCACGCCCCCAGCGGTCGCCCAGTCCTACGAGACCGTCCTGCAGAAGGGCTTCGCCACACCCGTGGCACTGCCCCCGATCCCAGGCAAGGATGGCGGCGACGGCGACGACGAAGAGCAGCAGAGACCACAGAAGCAGTCCCCCCACGCCAGGGCGGAAGCCCTGCAGCTGCACCTGGAGCAGCGCGTCCTGGCCTCGGAGCCGCCCAAGCCGGCCCCGACCAAGGGCGGCGGCGGCGGCGGCAGGAGGCCCGCCGCGCCGCCCCCGCCGAAGCCCCAGCACGGCTCCGGGCCCGCCCTCATCGACTCGGCCCGGCAGGGCTTCAGGGCCCACGTGCGCGCCTACGCCACCCACGTCAAGGAGGAGCGGGCCGTCTTCGACATCCAGCAGCTGCACCTGGGCCACATCGCCAAGAGCTACGGGCTGCGGGAGGCGCCCGGCGGCATAGGCGCGGGCGTGCAGAAGCGCACGCACAAGAAGGGCGCCGGCGCCGGCGGCGCCGCAGCTGCCGGGTCCTCCTCGGCCGGTGGCGCCAAGAGGAAGTTGGACGTGCTGGAGGACGTGGGCGGCGGTGACGTGGATGCTGCAGCGGCCAAGAGGAAGATGGAGGAGATGCTTAGGAAGATGAATGCTGCTAGCGAGTTCAATATCGCATAGGCGGGCGGGGTCGTTACTGTTAGCGATGATGGGGGCTTGTTTTTCCCCCCTTCCCTGGCTCTTCAAAATAGACAATTTGCGCAACGCATCTGCATTCAAACTGTTTCTGCTATCCAGGAGAACCCAATTTGGCTTTTCCACACGTGTCAACCGAAGACCATAATCAGGGCGACGGTCAGTGATCTTGTACTTCCCGGACTTATCTTCCAGGCCCATAACGTGCCACAACGTGGTCTGCTCGTCCACGACCAGCCCGAGCTCGAAAGGGTCTTGGATTGATATAATCACCCAAGCCTGATACTCTGAATAGATGACTCATATATGTGCCTGGACAAGATCCAACTTGTCATTGGACATTTATCATTATCAGCGATGGTTCTATGTAATATACACAGGCGACATGACCTGTCCAGCATTCCATCGTTTCTAGATGCCTGCCTGCCTTGATAGCCAGTCCTCCCAGCCAAGATGATGACCGACCAACCGACCCGAGACCAGCCGCCATTGCCCAAAATCCCGTCCCGTTCGCCACCGCTTGTAATATGTCCATGTCTTTTTCTTGCTGATATGCAGAGTGGAGATTTGTCTATATGCCGCCTTTGACGACAGATGCAAGCAGGAAGAACGTGCCTCGACTGCTTCGAAAACAAAAATAAATAACAAGTATCCCGCCCCGGACCTGCCTTCTGTCCGGGCACGACAATAACCTCACCAGGTCGGGCAGCCAGACCCAACCAATTGACCAAACAATAAGACCTTTTCATCCTGGGCCATCCATCATGCCTCGTGGGCGCGGCCGTTTGAACCGATTTCCAACACGATACCAACGCCCGCTGTGATGACAAAGACATAGGAAAATACGACAGTAAGGAAATAGCCAACACATGCCGGCCTCATGAACACCGACATCCCGTCACTCTTGTACTTCCACCGGACATCGTTTCTCGTCCGTCATCATCCCCCATTGTTGTTCCACGCACCGTATCGAGGGGTATCAAACAAGACGGTAAATCAGAGGCGCGACACAAAGGAAATAGAAAAACAGGAGCGATGGAGTTAGTGTACGCCTTGGGAGCAGGCAACTTAAACAGCCGCAACTGCAGCCTCCTGCTCACCGCCACCGACAAGCTCGACAACCTTTCCGACCACCGCACTTGGGTAGCCCCGTCCCATCATCTCTGACACGACATACCTCGCCTTTTCCCTATCCTCGACGGAGAGATAGGCCCGGGTCATTGCTTCATATGTGCTCGGCTCCCGGCGGTCACGACCAACCGCACCATAGATGTCCTCAGCACGGGCGATGTTGCCCTCGGAAGCCCATCCGTGGATCAGAGTGTTGGCAATGTAAGGGGTCAGCTCGACTTTCCGTCGACGCATCTCCATGAGAAGTGGTTCAGTGTCGGAAACACAATGGTTGGCCACCATACTCTCGAACAATGCCTGGAAGAGGGACGCCGTCGCGGTAATGCTGCGGTCGTTGATGACTTGGTTAAAGGTCTTCCGAGCTGCAGCCATGTCGTGCAAGACACAACCGCGGGCGTGGATCAGAGAAGCAAAGTGCACAGCCTCCGGCTTGCCGCCGCTGGCGCGGATGCTATCCAGAACGGATTCCGCGGCCTGCATATCCACAGGCTCAAGGGTCGCGTGAGTGTCGACGAGCAGCTTGTAAGTGTGCGCAGTGGGCGAGATGCCCCTGGCCTTCATGCGTGCGTAGTATGCTAGGACCTTGGACTTGTCGCGTTTGGTGGTCAAGAAGAACTGCATCATGCTGTTGTAGGGCGCAGGACGAGCCTTGTAATTCGGCATTGCCTCCATCTCATCAAAGAGCTCCTCGGCGAATTTGACGTCAGACACGCGGCATAGGGCATTGACGATGGTGCCGTAGGTGACGGAGGTCGGCTTGATACCAAGGGCACGCATCTCAGCGAAGAAGAAGAGGCAGTCGTCGATGCGGCGAGCCTTGCCAAGCTTACCGATGAGGGCGTTGTAGAGGAATGAACTCGGCTCAACGCCCTCGGCCTTGGCGCGGTGGAAGATCTTGACCGCCTCGGAAGCCTCGTCAAAAGTTTTGGTAGACTCCTTGAGCGTGGTGATGTACAGACCAAAGGTGTTGGCAGACGGGGTTGCACCCATATCCAATAGCTCTTGGTGGTACTGCTCGGCCTGGCCTCTGTGGCCCAGGCTGAGGCAGGCACCCAGCATTGAGTCCAGGATCGATGACCACCCGTAACGAACAACGGCAAATTGAGGTAGCAATGGCACATCAGTGCGAGCCATGTTGAGGATGTCGTTGCAAGTCTCCATCTTGCCCTCGCGGGCAGCGGCTGAGATGAGCTTGGCATAAGTGATGTACCGGGGGTGTCGACCAGCTCGGCGCATGTTGCGGAACCGAGCAAGGGCATCGTTCAACTTGGGGCCCTTGCGACCGTGAGCACCTTCGAGCTCATCAGATATGAGAGATGAGCCTTTGAAGTCGGTGTTATGCGCATATGGGTCGAAAGTGTCTTCGTAGCTCGACGCGGACGGGGCTGACTGTGACTGGTACGGCGAGGGAGCACTAGTCGGAGAGACGGTCGAATCGCGGGGATCAGTGATGCCTCGGGAGGTCATGTACCGTGAGACGAAATCCATGCCCTCCTCGACCTCGGCTGCTAGTTGAACGTCGTCCGGCTTGGATGAGCGTATCCGGTGGAACATCGCCTCGGCCTCGTTCAGACCTTCAACAACTTGACCGGAGCCAATCAATGCCACTGCGAACATGGCGGTTGGCTCGATGAACGAGGGGTTCACAGAAGCCTCAGGGCTGCTGAGGATCTGCCAGTACCGCCATGCCTCCATGACCTCACCACCACGAATGCAGAGTGCGAGGAGGGCACTTGCTGGGGTGGCGATGTCCTTGAAGTTGACGGGGATGTTCGCAAACGCAGCGAGGGCCGTGTGCTTGTCGCCGTTGTCCGCCGAAGACACTGTGAGCTCGGCCATGGACTGGGCCCGCGACTCATCTTCGATGGCCTGAGCCCACCGGAGAGCCTCAAAGTAGATACCCCGGTGAACCAGACCCTTGACAAAACCGAGGCTGATGATGGCATCTTTGATGCTTGCAGCACGCACGCCATATTCCTGTACGATCTTCTTGTAGAACTTCATGGCACCCTCAAGCTTGTCCGAGACGATATAGGCGTTAATGACTGAGGCATAGACCTGAGCATCCAGACGGTCCTTCAGAGTGGGCTCGCCATTGTCATTGGCGATGGCCAGAGTCCGGTACTCGCTGTAGCACTCGACAGCGCTGACCAGATCTCCGCAGTTAGCGAAAGCAGTGATCATTGCCGGGAATGTTGCAGCGAAAGGCGTGGCCTTGTTGGTCTCCATGTGCTCGTAAAGGTGGAGCATGTCAGAGAGACGGCCAGACTGGGCGCAGGCTGAGATGAGCTGGTGGTAGGTCTCGGGTGAGAACACATCCCGCTGGCAGGCAACCGAGTTCTTGAAGAGCTTAATGGCCAAGTCGAGACGGTCATCCTCGGAGAGAATGGCGTGTTCGAGTTCGGAGGATGCGAACATAAACTTGCCAGGCTCGTCCATGCCGCCATAACGAGCGCGCTTATCCTCGAGCCTCTTCTTCAAGGAAGAGACCTCGAGCGATCGAGCGGCCAGCAAACCGACGAGGATGTTATAAGTGTCGCTGTCCGGGGCAACCTTTCGGCGCATCATGTCCGTGTAAACATCCAGGGCCTTGGAGACAATCTCAATCTTCTCGGCCGGCAGGTGAATAGCGGCCATGAGAAGGGCATTGTACGAGGTGGCCAAGGGTTGGATGCTGGCGACCAACATGGCCTCAAAAACAGCTGGTATTTTGGCATAGCGTCCAGTCTCGGAGAGCTTGGTCAGGTGGTCGGCGTAGCTCTGGGATTGCGGGTCGACCGGTGGTGTGGCGGAGCGGGCGAGGCTTGCCGGCGAGAGAGGTTCAGCGGCCTCATCAAGGGGGGGTGTCGGTGCCCTGGACACGCCGGTGTTCTCGGCGTCCCCATGCTGCCTGGCCTCGATCTCCTTGGAAAGAGCAGCATCGATGTGAGCCAATGCGGCCTGCTCCTCTTCCGAGAGGGCGGACACGCTGAGGCCATCTTCATCAGCATCCTTTGCCTCGAGAGCGCGTGCCTCGGAGCCGATCAGGATGGAAGCAGGCGAGGGCTTCCATTCGATCTTGTCCTGGAAGCGAAACTGCACCCACTCGTTCTCCTCGGCGTCGTCGGTGGCCTCCTTCTTCTGGAGGTTCTCGAAGTAGGCATCTAGCCCTCCATGGTTGTTGGCAAGCTTCTCATGACGGTGCTCGGTGGGGAGGCTGGAGGAGTGGTGGGCGCTGGTGTGGAAGGCGCTCTGAAGCTGCTGGAGGCGGCTGAGACGGGTTGTGGTCTGGCGTTTCCGGGCCGCAAAGGACGGCCGGTTCTGGGAGTTTAGAACATGAGGGTGGGTGGCAGCTACGACGGACTGCGCGTAGCCGTGGGTGAAGGACTTGGTGAACCCAGAACGGATAAAGTTCGTGTATAAGTTGTTGTAGATAGATCCAGGCATTTAGGTGAAGCCTTTGGAGTGGGGGGACTGTAAAGAATGGGCGGCAGCGGTTAGTAATGCGTGCGCTGGGCAAGAGGCAATAGAAAAGGACATGAACACGATGAGTCGAGGGGTGCGACGTGACGAGTTGGGAATTGCATGTGGGAAAAGAGTGTTGGTTCGCGTTGGTCTCGACGATGCTCGAGTTCTCTTGATCTGCACCAAAAGTTTTGGGGGTCTTGGCCGAGCGACATGGACGTCCTCGAGGTAGACACACACAGAGAGAACGTCATGGACTCGGGTGGAACCGAGACAAACGAAGAGTGGGTTTTGGCTGGGGCTGGACGTTGACTTACTCGGGGGAAAAAGTGAAAGCGCAACTGCAGGTTCATCTGATGCCAATCAAGACATCAAACAAACGCGCTATTCAGAAGGGGTGTATTGGACTATTGAGGGAGATAGTTTTGGAGGTGACAGAGGAGAAGGAGAAGGGCTCGGAGGAGAGGCGCGAGAAATTTGGAGCGTGATATGCAAAATCGCATCGGGCCTTGGACTCTGAAATTCGGAGGCGACGAGTCACACTGGTGCTCCGGCTGCAGCACGGCCGCCAAGTACCCCGTACAGTACCTACAGCAGTTGAGCAGGTACTAGCTGCTCCTTCCCAAACCTTGTTGTGGGGGGGCGGGGCGTGGACAGCAGCATCTTGATTGGGTGCATGAAAACATCCCGGGTAGGCTCGCAGGGAGGACTCGGAAGCTGGGGGGCAGTGTGCAGATGTGGTAGGTCACATACTTGAGTAGACACCTAGGTACCCAGGTACCTAGGTACATGGTACACATCGTCAGTAGTCACCCTCGTCCAACAAGAAGAAGCGTCAAGCACACAAAAGAAGAGACTGAATACTCCAATCTCCCGCATCAAGACCCAACTCTGCACCCCACGACCAGATTTCTGACAATTTTGTCCGTCGGACCGAAGTATCTCGACTTCGGCACCAGAGATCGCCAACCCTCCTCCCTCCTTCTCCTGTCATCCGTGACCAACACCATCCCCATTTGCATGTGCTGTCCTCACCGGGCAGGCTGTCAGGCTGCCACAGGGCTCTTCGATGATGACGACTGTCATCGCCTCTGCTCGGCCTGAGGTTTGTGGCAGGGCGGAAGCCTCGGACGCGCTGCCCTGCCCTAGCTTGTTTCCTGCGTCTCCTAGCGAAGAAAAGAAGCCGGCACAACATCTCAATCGCTACAGGGGGGCTCCCGTCACGCCTGTCAGGACCATCCTCCGTGCGTGGGGTTCCCCAGCAGCCCACCAGCCCAGCATGCCGGGCACTCAGGCACTGCAGACAAGCCGGTGGCTGACAGAGGCCCGGCTGCCTTCCTATTGGCAGCCCGGCGTCTGCCCCCAGGAAGAAGCCGGAGCCCACGCACGGCACGAGCACAGCCGCCTGGGCGTGGAATTGTCCCTTGTGAAGGTTGATGGATCTGTCAGATCTGTCTCAGACAACATGTATGTGTTGCTTCTTGGCCTCCCAACCTCCGTTCAAGGCTCAGCATCAAAGCTACACACAAACAAGGGACATGATACCAAGGGAGGGAGGGTGAAAAAAAAAAACCAGTATTTTCTCGCCGATCTCAATAACTCAGCCCGTGGGCCTGCAGGACCCTGAGGACCCGACAGCCTGACAGCCAGCAGCACGATCCTCCTGTTAGCCCCAGGCACCCGGTCGGCTTGTCTGATCTGTCCGTCTGACGCGGCTCTACGGCCTTCGCGAAGCCCGTTTCCGAGCCCGACTCGGCCCTGCTCAGCGCTCACCCATTTTGCGGGGAATCCGGGGTCCCACCCATCATCTGGCTGGCTGCTGCTGCTTTGATCTCCGTCCCCGACATCTTGGTGCCGAGAGGCCTGTCTCGGGTCCGAGCTGTCGCATGATCCTGCTTCCCACCCATCTCATTAGATCTTATCAGATTGATCTTGCTCAACGTCGACGCCCAGACCTTGCACCATGACGTATTGTAGCATAGAGGCACAGATAACAACTCGACGCGGACTTCGAATTCCCTTTTCCGCGCGGTTGGGCCGGCCGTTTCGAGGTCCACGCTACCAATCCTGCTCGTATCAGTTCCAGCTACGGCGGGATAAGTCATGCCAATAGTGCTGCAAAGCTCTCGGTGACGGGCAGGTGCTACATGTCATAATCCCCCGTCACATGCTACCAACGATGCCGTTCTCCAGCTTGTCATGCACTCAGGATTTATCGATCGCCCTGGTCGTCTCAGTTGCATCAAGCTCTAGCTGCACAACAATGTTTGAATGAAGCAGAATTGACTACGCGCCAGACTTACACATTTCTCGACATTTGGGACTGAACAAGGGCTGGATATCAGGCGCCGCTGTGTTTGACTTTTGTAGCTTGAACCCGTATCGTCAGCCATGGCCTCCGGTGGCACCAAAACTGAGATGGCTCCTCTCCAAGCACAGGCTCGCCGCTCTGGGCCTAGTAGACTACACCTTGGAGCAGCTAACTTAGGATGCCTCCTCGAAAGAACCTTTCAGCTACGGCAAAAGGTGCAGCACTTGAGCCAAGTCTACGTCGTCCGAGAGGACCACTGCACAGACGAAGCGCAAAGCCGCCGGTTTCAACCATGACAACTGTAATAGCAAACCAGCAAAGCGCTCCCGCACCACCGAAAGGCTCCGGAATGGACACGAGTTTCTCTCAGACAGACCGTAATATGCCACGATATCCACGGATGAGCTTGACAAACCAATCATCGTGAATCGTGCTCCGGGGCTTGGGCTGTGGGGCGTGTGTGTTGCTCACTTCCTAACGACATCCGGGATTGTCTTGGAATCTCTGCCTCAGCATATATAGGAAGGAGTATCTCCAACATGACCGCAATCTCTAAGGGTCTGTCTATCGGGACAGTTGAACCGCCTAATCAGTCAAAGGATGGTGCTACTAGCGGAAACAAGGGACAAAAAGAACGGGGGTGATACCATCCGGGTCATGGGGCTCCCCATGATGATCAAGGAGGCGGTGTCATGGTCAAGGGCAAGCCCAAGACAATACGAGAGGCCGTGAGAAAATGTGGCTCTGAGGAGGTTTACGCAAAAGTAAAAGACAATGTGACACGGACTGTGGGATTGGGGGGGGGGCAGGACGATTTGGACGCGAAAGCATTCCAAGTTGTCTGAAATTGGTTACTTGATCACGGGATTTGTCTCTTGGGAGAATCTTGAACCCGTTAAGCCTCATTCGCTTGATGTGAGGGCTTCCGCACCAGTCTGAAAAATGGGATGAAGTGCTTCCCTAGCCCCGTCAAGCCTTCAACTACCTAGGTACTAGTGTTAGTCACGAAGGAGCACGCAGAACCGGCCTCGGGTTTTTAGCCCGAGAGACGTGAACTTTCTATACGACGACGAAATCACCTCCTGTCTGTCTCTGAAGAAGCATTTATTTAGTGTCCAGGTGCTTTGGTTCAACGCGCGAATATGTACAAATCCATTCTCATTTGAGAACCCTACCATGACGTTGCACGATTTGTAGTACTGGTGCCAGGATGTATGTATTTATGTCGCGCCCTTTCGTCCGTAGGCGAAAAGTCTATCTCCGCATGTGGGCTGAAATGGCAGGCCGTGGATGATGATAGTCAGACCAAGACTGACGAAGTGGCCTTTTCATCGGCTTCTGGCCTCAAGCGTAGATGGGTTGACGTGAACTAAGGGTAGATAATCCAAGCTTGAGGTGGGAGAGAAGACTCCTAGACTCTCAACATGGGCTATCTCTTGCAATGTGGACGGATTCAGTCAGGTCTTGGAGGTGAAGTGAGGGCAGGTGTCTATAGCAATAACCTTGGAAATTCCATTGCATTCCAAGTTTGGGAAATATACTAAGTACTTAGGGTAAGTAGACTGCAGATCGAGAAAGAGCGTTAAAACAATTGCATGGTCCATAATGGCAATCAAATAATGTGCGTGGGACAAACTCGGCCATCCAATGCCAAAGAGAAGCACAAACCGGCTTTTGCGAATGCCTGGCACTGTATTTTTTTCAACCCTGGGTCTTGAGCGTTTACCACTGTTTGAAGGCACCATATGTTTTATATGTATCGGGATTGGAAACAAAACTACTTGCGAATGCCTACCTACTTAAGGGACCTAGTGTCAGTGGAAATTTAGGTGGGTTTCGGCCAATGCCTCAGAGCTGTAAGATTGTAGGCTGCATTGTTGGTATTAGCATTGTCCAGATCACATTTTCCACACGAGCACCTAAAATTTAGAGATGGGTCCGTGACAAAGCTGTTGTACAAATTAGATCCAAAAGATACCAAACGCGGCAAATGCCCCAGATTGCCATGTTTGCATTTGCGGCCGGCCTCGCGCCACGACGTCATCAATGATCATCCGGGTCGCTGCTACTAGGCACTGATCAACGTCACTGGCGTGCTCTGGAAAGCTCAACACAACGCTCTGTGAGCGAGACTTGGAAAACTCTCATCGTGATAACTTGCATGTGCTCTATTGAAAACCTCATCTATCCCATCCTGCCACGAACTAGTCAAGGACAAAAACAACCCATCATCCATAAGACCCCCCCCCAATCACCATGGCCAACCAACAACCATCCAACATCGAGCCCTACATTCAACCGAGCAACCCCATCACGAAGGAACCACTCGAAAACAAAGTTGCTGACAACCGTGCCCGTGACAACTCCTCAGCCCAAGGCAACGTCGATGTGCCATCGGAGCGCTCTCAAGAAGGCACCTTCAGTTCCCTAGGCAGCGGTGTCCAAGGCGGCAGCGGACCAGTGGACGCAACAGAGGCGAGGAGCACAGGCAGCATGGGCAGCGGGGCTGCCGAGCAGCTGCAGAACCCGAACGTAAACGCGGAACAGCTAGCCACGTTCAGCGAGGGCAAGGTCGCCGACGCGGTGCAGCGCAAGAGCGGCATCCAAAAGGCGCCCGATGACGGCGAGGTCAAGTATGACGACTACGCGAGTGACCTGGATAGGTATGTGTGCCGCCCACACCAACAGTAATGGATGGCATGGATCAGACTATTGATACGACTGCGACTTTTAGGAAAAAGGCTGAGCAGGCGGCCGCGCGTGATGACATCAAGGCGGCAAGGGAAGCTGGAGTGGATGTCGATGGGGGATCTGCAGGTGGCAACGTGAGAGGTGCTGTCCAGGTCGACTAGTAGCACGATGTGATATTTCACAGTGGGTTTGTTGGTGGGCAATACTCCCATAGACGAACCTACATGTCTTGCTCAAGTGCAGCATTTTCTTGCGATCCTGTCAAACTTATAAAGGAGAACATGGTCACACAGACTCAGATCTAGTTCTGATTTCAATAATTGAGACATCATTTTTATGACCCGATCTCGTACAGTTTGAGTTCTCCGTTTATCACCGTTTCATTTGTGAAAGGGCGCAATGTTTAGCTCTAGTTGAATTTTGTTATAACACCATGTGGTGGAGCTCAGGAGCCAGTTGCTGTTAATCAAACTATACAGGCTTGGAGTCTCGAGTTTGGGAAGGATGCATATTAAAGGAACAATCCTGTCGCCTATTTAGCGCTCATTTCTCGTTTCCCTGTCGCCGGAATCCAGTCCCCATAAATTCCTGCCCTCGTTATCTCCCCAACCAGCAACACAAATTCGTTGGCATTGGTAATCCAGTGCTGGCTGCAGTGTGGTCATATTTACTGGTTGATTTGACCCCCGCAATACCTTGCAAGAGATGCCAGACTGCTCGGATCAGGGACGCACTGGCACAGTAACCCATCACTCGAGAGTGCATTGTTTTCGAGACGCGTCCATGCAATGTCTACCCTCAATTGAAAGTTCCTGCTGAAATGTAACAGAGGCGAGTCCACAAGTTCAACTGATGGTGATTTCCTCATGTGAGTAATCATTTACGCGGCCCCTGCCCTTGGGCCGAACCATGCCCCCAGTCAGAGCGTGAGAGCGGCCAGACTGCCAGATCCACAGGCATCCCCACGCCAAGAGATGCCCTTGGTGGAATTATTAGGGGCTCAACTCTGCATCCCTGTCAGGCACCGGAGATCAAAGTTGGTTACCAGGATCGTCGCATTAAAGCCGAGACCAAGCTTTTCCCATATTGATGTAGACCACGGAGACGTGCTCGGCAGAAGGTGAAGGCACCCAAAAGAGCACCCCAAAAGGTTTCAGCCCTTGTGATTGAACGAACCCCTAATGTGTCTGTTGATGGCAAATATGCAAGTCCTCGTAATTTCTCCGCCATTGATACCCTGGCCTCGTGCCAACTAGCTTCCCCTCTGAGATCCCGTGATGCTCCTTTCCTGTCCGTTCATGTATATAAACACGATGCCAAGCCATCGATCGTAACTTGTGCTTGGTATATTTGTACATATCCAACCAATTTGAAAGCCGCTAGACTGAACGGTTAATACTCGCTCGTTCCTTGTCAAAGATGGCTCTCAAGAAATCCCTTGGTGTTGTGGCTGCACTAGTCCTGACTGTCCTTGCTGCCTCAAGGACCAGTCCTCCTAGTGGAAGTATCACAGTTTGCTCGTCCGGCTGCAATTACAACACAGTATGCTTGTCGATGGCCTACGACTTACAAAACTCGCTTAGCCTGACAACTTATTACAGATCCAAAAAGCAGTCAGCTCCATCTCCGCGTCTTCCAAGGATGAGCACAGTATCTTCATCTACTCCGGGACTTACACCGAGCAAGTCACCATCCCAGTACTGAGTGGGAAGCTCAACATCTATGGCTATACCAAGGACACTTCCGACTATTCAGGAAATGTAGTCAACCTGGAATGGAAATCAGCGCTTGCCACCGGGGCCGCTGACGATGAACACACCGCGGCACTGATCAACACATCTCCCAACGTCGCTGTGTACAACATCAACATTAAGAACACTTATGGCAAGCCCTCCGGCAGTGGTGGTCAAGCTATAGCCCTCTCTGCTTATAACACTGAACAGGGATACTACGGCGTCGGCCTGTAAGTTCACACCAGAGACAACACATTATCCTACAACTTTTTCTTCTCCACACATCACTCGGAGTCTGCCATGCTGTAAGCAGATTACAGACACCTGCTGATGCCGACGTACTCATATCAGATATGGATACCAAGACACGCTCCTCGCTCAGACCGGCAACCAAATTTACGCCAACAGCTACATCGAGGGCGCCGTAGATTTCATCTTCGGGCAGCACGCCCGCACATGGATTACCAAGTCCAAGATTGTATCCATCGGCGCCGGCGCCATCACCGCGAGTGGCCGGCCATCCTCCTCCGACACGTCCTACTACGTCATTACGGACAGCACGATCGAGGCGGGCTCGCCTGCACCAGCCGCTGGGGCCGTCTACCTGGGCCGGCCGTGGGCTCAGTACGCTAGGGTGGCGTTCCAGCGATGCACCCTCAGTAATATTGTCAACTCTGCCGGGTGGGAGGTCTGGAGCACCAGTGACACCAGGACCCAGGATGTTTCCCTGGCGGAGTATGGCAATACCGGTGCTGGGGCCAGTGGGACGCGAGCTAGCTTCTCATCTAAGCTGAGCAGTGCCCTTAGTATCTCCACTGTCTTGGGCAGTGATTATGCATCGTGGGTCGACTCGGCCTACTTGTGAGCTGGCAAGCGAGTGGTTCTCCAACCTGGCTCGTCTACAGTTTTTTGTAAATACTTCTTTCAGATTGGGTAAATACATTTTGGTTTGTGCTTTCGATGCGCACTGTTTCATTTCCCCAGTTGCTACGAGGCACCTCGTGCGCCCACCAGGACCCTACAATTTAATGCACATTATTGTGCTTCCAAGGTTGGCAGCTGGAGATTGATAGATCCGGTCGGTCCTGTCGCGAGGTCGATGCCTATCTCGCCGAACAACTGGCGCTTCGCCTCGGCCATGAAGGCGTTGCCAGGTTTTGCGAGGAACTCGACCTTGCGAATTGTCTCCGTTTTGATTGCTGTGACTGTACCCGCTTGTGTCTTGCCGAGGATGAACATTTGAAAATCTCGTCTGCCCCGGCAAGGTCGGCTGCGACCGTTGCGTTCGGGATCTGGCCATTGATCGGCGGTGTGCACGTTATTACATGCTTTACACCGGCGACCTTGGCCGTGGCAATAGTCATGAGCGCCGATGCGAGGATAGAATAGCGACCTCCTGGGATGTAAGTCCCTGCCGTGCTGATGGGGTTGTTTCTATGGCCAAGGAAAGAGTCCGTCTATGCCTGAGAAAAGGTCCACACATTTTTCTGGGCCTCTCTGATGTCCCGAGGGTCTGCTCGGGAATTTTGGACATGAAATGCCCCATTGGCTGTTTGGTAGCTCGAAGGATTCGAGAGCCCATGTGTTGAACTTCTTAGAATACCTAGGTATGTCCGGACGGCCTGGTCACCAATGCTTTAGATATCATCAATAACGGAGTTGATGGTCTCGGTATCCTCCTGGGAGGCCGCAAAGCTAACTGATGCTCCTACAAGGGGGGGACTTGGGACGACAAGCGACCATAATCGTGTGCTGCTTGGCTGTTCTGACGAAATCTTCCAAGTTTGGCAAGGAAGATACTCTGGTGCTATAGGAAAAGCGATGTTTCGCGTGAATTCTCTTCGGGTCTAGAGATATCTCCAACGGCATCTCCCTCCATTCTTGTACGAACCAGAACCGGATCGCCATCTTGTCGCGAGCCGATGCCGCAGGCAGATCCGCAATAACTCTGGGTAACTGTCCCGGCAACGAGGTCTTCATACTCATGACGATAGAGGAGATCAAGTTAGATATGCGTACGCTACTCGGGCGTGTCGGTCTCTGGGCCATAGAAATGGCACTGACCGGGGCAAAGCCGCCTCAGAGCTCCTGGTGGGGCCGGCCGAACCCCGTCATGGGAGAATAGAACCGGTCCATCCTGTCCTCAGATCCTGGGATTCGCGCAGTTCAGGAACGCGGTTCATTGTGTGTTTTCCTTTGGCACCGTCCTGCGTGCAAGTTGCTCACTCACGGCACTCTTTCGGATGCTCACCCAAACCTGAGACTGTTCCTTGGGTAAGTTGACGTTGAACAGGCGTATTGCATCAGGGTGAGATACAGTCATGATAGACACATGCCCCAATGATCAGCGATGCCCTCCCCTGACTGTCTGTGTGGGCTGTCAAATGACTGACGGTCCGAGGAGCCCCGCCCAGCGGGACGAAATAGTAGTAAGGGCCATCAATGTGCTGATGTGGTACCAGCTCTCTGGCTCAAGATGGGTACAGTACGAGAAAGTGGGTATCTGGCCAAACCCGAGTCCAGGCAAAATGTGCGTGCACTGTTTGACCGTCTGCCGGACTCCGGTGCGGTGGGACGGAATATGGGCCAGCACACGGCTGCCCCGTAGGGCGCGCTGTTACATCATAGGTATGCAAAGTTATTAGACATGGACGTGAGTATGGTGTTTCTTCCTGTCTCGCAATGTCTTGGAGGACACTTTGAATCTGCCAGCCACATGTTTGTCCACTTGAGCACCAGCAGAGACCCGCAAAGCCACATAGTCAGCGGATCCAAAGATGATGCATATGCGGGTCGACAGACCATGTGGATTGAAACTTTCTTGAGTCGTGCTGGCGGCGCCCTGTCCAGCAAGCCGCTGCGCCAGCGGCAAATTCGACCAGATGGGCGCCTGCCCAGCTGTCGTTGTCTTGCATGCGACCAGCCGCACAGATTTGTCGGAATTTGCCAACACGAACTGACGATCCTGGCTGATCCCAATCACGAACTCAACTCAAATTAGCAGGAATTTAGAAATGATGGAATGCCAAAAAGCACAAAACCATCGGCATGTGCCATTCTATTTTCCCTCCCGCATAGACCGTTATCCTGGCCTGCCCTGAAGTCCCTGGCTTCACTGCCTTGTCCGGGTCTACCGAGTGAGTGACAACGTTCTCCCCCGTGCTGACGGGTTTCGACCACGCGTCTAGACCGTCAAGTCGACTGCCCAATAAGTCTCTTGCGCAGTACTCAATCCTTCTTTCAGCCCAGTCAATCTGCAGATGAATGAGCCGCATGGGCGGCGAATCAAGCCGGCGCTTATTTTCAGGGAGCATTCAGGGAGCAGGTCCGCCAGAGCTTGTGCAACCAGCTCTCAAGCTTACTCGCACGCTAAGGCAAGCCCGACGTTCTCGCCAAGCCGACGATAGGGAGCCAGAGGTGGCTGGAGAGGGAGGGTGAGAGCACTAGCACGGCGCAGGGCCACGCATTACAGCTCAGCATGAGCATGGCTGCGATTAAGACGGGCCCTGAGGCCAACCCTGGCCCTAATCAGGCGCCAACGAAGCAGCAGGATCAAGAGCACCAGCAGGCTGAGGACCAGGACCAGGACCAGGACCCGGACAAGGACCAGGACATGGACCCGCGACAGGGTTTGGATGTTCCGACGCCCACTGCAAGCCCCTCCGCAGGCCGCCGGCTTAGTGCCGCCTCTGATATTTCCGTCTCCAACATTTCCACAACATCCTCCGGCAACGAGAAGTGGCTGTCTCCCTTGGACAGATTATCACTGCAGCCAGCCGAGAATGCTGCCATAAACATCAGTGCAGGCCGGGCCTTGAAGATCATGGATGACGACGGCGTCGACCTGAGCTCCCTCAAGGCGGGGGCCACCGGCCGCCCGGCACAAGGTCCGGAACAGATACTCTATGGCCAGCAGAATGCTTCCACGACTCGCATGCCCTTCCACGGCGACGAGTCCTTCCCCGGCACGCCACAGTTGTACACGCCCGAACCGTATAATGGCCAGTATGCGGGCGCACAGCGAGACTCCCAGGCAGACCTGCTCCTCGACTCTCAGCGTAACCGGCATTCGTCCCGCTCAGTGTCTTTTGGGCCGTCGACGACTTTCATGTATCCCGGCGGGGACAAACCGCCCCCAAGCCGCGGCAACAGCCTGCGACCCCGATCATGCAGGCCGAGATGGCAGAACTCATTCGGCATGTACATATGTTTCATCTTTGGGGTCCTCTGCGCCGTCGGCCACCACATCTTCTACGCCTCGCTAGACGGCGAGCCCGCCAAGAGCCAGACCGAGATGCTCCGATACGGAACCTTCCTTGCCTTCGCAGCCAAGGCTGGCTTCAGCGCCGCTGCTATTTCGGCCTTTAAGCAGCGCATATGGGTCACAGTCCGCTCGAGGTTCATGAGTATCTCCGCACTCGACTCCATGTTCGCAGCGGCCGAGGACCTGACCGCCCTTTTCGACTGGGAGTTCATCAGGGACGCAAGGGCTGCTTTCGCCCTGGTCTTATTTGCGTGGACAACACCTCTGGTGGTTATTCTGACTGCGAACACGCTGTTAGTAGAGCCACGAACGATAGTTAACAACACGACGTGTCCCTCGGTACGCACCTTGAACTTCACTTTTGAGGACCTCAACGACTGGAGGAAACCCACACGGATAGACGGTCTATTTGAGATACCGGTCTCGATATGGAATACCACGAAAAGGAGTTCCCAGGATGATGCTGATGATGACTGGTTTGACTACTACACCGGACCAAGCCCCAACTTCCAGCAGACAGCGACCCTGGGCGCTTTCCTCCAAGAAGTGGTCGCCCGGAAGAATGCATCCTTCGAGGTGTGCACTTCGGGATGGAACTGCACCTTCGATGTCGAGTTCACCGCGCCCGGCTACGACTGCACCGAGGTGGCAAGCGGAGTAGGCTCCACGCCGGTCAACCTCACCCAGGAGACAGGCCAAGCTGAGCCGCCATTCGGCACCGACATTCTACTCCCCCAAGGCAAATACAGCTATTACGCGTATGCCACTGGCGGCGAATACTCGACTACTCAATTGAAGAACGTCGGTGTGGCCGGGATCCCGAACATTCCAAACTCTGAGTTGCCACCACACTTCGGTGCTCTGAGGACAGAACCCATCATCTGGATCGGATACGTTGTGCTCAACACACCAGGAGACGTCCAGCCCAACCGATCTGACCCGAAATGGCAAGATGCTTTCACGCCCAAGATATTCGCCTGTGAGCACCGCGAAACGAGCTACATCGCCAACTTCAACTACACCGACGGGGCCCAGTCAGCCAGGATGGCCAGCCGCAAATTCGGGGCGCCCATCATCAACACCACCTTTATTCCCAGTATAGAGGCAAATGATGGAACTGATGACAATATCACCGCGATACCCGAAGAAAACTACATCTACCCCACCGACACGGCCCGATATCGACGGGTCGCCGCGTACCATTCAATCGGATACATGCTGCGGAAGTTTGTGAATGGCACGGTCGAGGTTGAAGATACGCTCATCAATCCGATTCAGAACACAGAGGCCATCCAGACAAAATTACTCGACCCACGCAACAACTATTTCCCCTACCCAGAACTCATGTCTATGATCCAGGGCCTCTACGAAGACCTCATCCTGTCCATTTTCAGCAACCCACAATTCGTCGAGGTCGTGTGGGCCTCGCGGCCCTCTGAGCAGTCAGGGACTCTCTACAAGGGTGGGATCAAGACATCGTCCGGCGTGCAGACCGGCACTGGCGACGAATCAGACTACAACTACAACTGCACGCGGACCCGCACCGGCAACGCATACGCCTACCACAAGCGGGACCTGTGGATAGTGTACAGCATCGCAGTCGCGCTCACCCTCATCTGTGTGGTGATTGGTAGCCTGGCGGTCCGCGAGAACGGAGGCGTCACGAGGAACACGCACTTCTCGTCCGTCGTCGCGGCCACGAGAGGCCCTGCGCTCGAGAAGGTCGCATGGATGGGGCCGCTCCAGGACCGGGGCGATGTCCCTAAGGACGTGAAGAAGCTCAAGCTCGGCTATGGTATCATGAATGATGGCAAGGTCGGGGCCCTGAGCCCGGCGTCGCCGCCCCCGGAAGTCGGGCCCGACCCGAACCTCATGGGCGTAGAGGACGGGGGCTATGGCGAACGTGTTGCCCCTGAGGAGAGAACGAGTCCAGGATACTTCCGGAGAAGGAGGGCCTACTCTACTGAGATGAGGTGCGGGTTTGGCCTCAAAGGCGACGTGGATCAGAGGCACCGGGAGGGAAGTTTGTTTCATCGGTAGACGGATTGGAAGGCAGGTCTAGATGGTTCCAGGCGTACAGGAAGTCATGGGAATGCGTGTTCTGGGATACTTTAGCTCGGCTTAGGGGGGTTTGTGACTTTTCTGAATGATACCATCAGCGCTATTCTAGTATGCTCTCTATAGATATACATCTCTGATGCAATTTATGCCGCACGGTCACCATCAGGCCTTGCGCCCCGTGTAAGCACTGCACTGTCTTCCTGCCCAAGGTTCTCAGCCAACGCCTCCCTCTCCTCAACCCTCAACTGGCTCTCCGCCTTGCCAGTATTGACGAAGCAAAACAGCACCATCGAGGCGGCCGCACAGCCCGTGCTGAACCAAAACGCAGCCTTGTAGCTGACCATGGTGCCCCTGTACTCGTAGCTTGCGGCCACGACGTCCGAGATCCCCAGGAATAGACTGATGGGCAGGAAAAGGATGCTGTAGATGAGCGAACCCGCGGCGCCTTGGTCCTTGTGCGGCACGTTAGTTGTGATAAAGACATTACTAACGTTAAAGATAATGTCGACCCCGATTGTCGCGCCGATCATAGCCGGCAGCACCCACGCCCAATAGGAGCCACCCTCTGGGATCAACGCGAACATTAGCACGCTGACGATGCTTCCTGCCCCTGCGATTATCAGCAGCACGCGGCCTGGGAGGAGGTGTAGTGTTAGGCCGCCCACTGTCGCGAGGATTATTCCTCCTACTGCCATACTATGTCGTTTGACGTTAGCTACTAAGAGGGTAAGAGTTCGAGAAAGATCAAAGCCACTAACGGGATGAAGGCCAAGGCCGTTGAGAGAACGCTGTAGTCCATGACTGTGTAGAGACTTTGGTATTGTGATTAGCATGCTGACCGATACAGAGAGGAACAGGGATGAACCGCACTTACTAGAAACTGGCGTAGTACATGAAGATGCCAAAGTTCCCGTACCCAAAAGTCAGGCCAATTAGAATGGTCTTGAAGTATTTCGGATGGAACAGGCTTTTTGGCAACAGAGGCTGTTCGGCAACCGAACCCTCAACAATGATAGCCACGATCAGCAACAAAATACCTGCCACGAAAGTCCCAATTACATAATTTGTCCCCCACCCGTTGGGCGCATGGGCGCCGTCCGTAACCGCAAACACGATTAAGATGAGCGCAGGGACCGTGGTGAAGACGCCCCACCAGTCCATCTTGACACCGGGGGTCGAGAGGCCGCCCCGCGGGATGCTAAAGAACGCGGCGGCAGCGCAGAGGCTCGTGACAATGGCGGCGAGCCAAAAGTACCATCTCCAAGAGAGGTACTCACCCGATATGCCGCCTATGATGACGCCGAAGAAGAAGCCCAACGGCGAGAAAGCGCCATACAGGCTGAAGATGAGGTTCTTCCTTGGGCCAGGGCGGTATATCTTGCCCATAATCATGATACCCGTGGGCAAGAATGCTGCGGGTCCGAGGCCCTGGAGTGCCCGGGCTGCGATGAGCATTTCGTAGTTAACACTGAAACCAGCGATGAGGGTCCAGACGACGAACCAGGCCAGCCCCAATGTGAAGACGACGAAGCCGCCGTAGATATCAGCTACCCTTCCCAGGGGAAGAAGTAGGGCGCCCAATATTAAAGTGAAGACGCTGGCTGGCCAGATCTGAGCGCCGAGGGGGATTTCGAGTTCTTTTGAGACGGTTGGGAGGAGGATGTTGAAACCGGAGACGAAGTATTCCTGCCATTGCATATGGTATTAGAATCACCGAAGTCATAGCCAGATAGTCCAAGTGTGGTGGTTGGTCTTGGTAGCAAACTGACCGACATCAACATCGAAACCAGCATAGATGTGCAAAACATGATTTCTGAGAAGGCGGTTTTGAAAGTCTCAGGCCGTTGGCGTCCCAGACGCTCCAAATCCGCCTTTTGCAACGTCATTGGGTCTTGCGTCGTGGGAGTGGAATCACGCTCTGAGTCCTCGGGCGAGGTGGGCTTATCGTGGAGGGTCATACTGTCAACTTGATGAAGTTGGTATGGGTGGGTGATATGTTGTACAGTCTACTGTAGTTGAAGTCTCGCCAGTTCCCATTCTTGTTCGGTCACCGGATGGCACCAGCAACTTATACATCACGGTGGGCCACCCAGAATGACTAATGAGACGTGTATATCTTTAGCTGATAAGTTTCGATTTCGCATTTCCAATTCTCTTTGAAATACACGACGTAGAAAATTGTGTTCAAAGCCTTGGTCTTGGCGGTTCATATGCAAGCGTTGCTCTTTTGCTACCAAATATGGCATAGGTCGACGGACAAGGGGCGTCATTCCAGACTTTAGAGTCAGGGCAGTCACGGATATACACCTCTACAGGGGTAATAAACGTTATTCGGCCACATACCATTACATCACTCCTTTTTTAACCCACACAACCTAAATAACCTTAATTTATTAGCTATCACCATTAAAATTTAAGTACTTATAATTATCCCTAATAATCAATCAATTTACCACCTATATTAATCACCTTCTAAAGCTAGTCTAACATCCTATAAACTAAATATAATAGGAATACACTATTAATTAACTCTTATATAGCCTTAATAACCTTATATAACTCTTTAAGAAAAAAGGATTAAATATTATAATATTATTTAATTTAATCCTTTATTATAAATTATATATTTTTTATAAAGTTAAGGTCTAATAAGTTTACTAGCTAGTAAATAACTAGAATACCTATTAATTAAAGTATTTTCTTTATTACTTTAATATAATAAAAAGGAATATTATTCTACTAAAAAATCTCTTAGTTTTTAAGTTTATAGATATAAAAGTAATATATAATAAAAAGTATTTAAAAATAGTATTTTACTATATTAATACCTTTATAATCCTTCTCTTAAAAATACTTAAAACCTTATCTACTATTAGTAAAATAGCCTTAAAATATTTAACTTTAAAGCTTTTAATATAATAAAGTAAAGTCCTTAAAATTCTCTATATTATATATAATAACCTACTTCTTTTATATTAAATTATTAACTACTTATATCTTATTAAAAAAATATTTATTTTTAATCTTTAAAATTAAAGAACTTTAACTTTATTATTTTATATTAATATACTTAAATATATTTATTAATAATAATCTAATAGATTTAATAATAATATACTTAATAAATATAACTAAAAATTTAAAGGGTTTAAATAATAATTATATTATTAACTTATAATTTAAATAGTAAAAGAACTTAAAGTTATCCTATATTATAAAGTAATAAATAGAGTTTAATAGAAATTATCTTTATATTTTAATATACTTTAAAATATTAAATAAAAGTTATTTACTAACTTTATTTTTATAATATTAATAGATTTTTAACTATCTACTAAATTTATTAAAGTATAACCTTTAATAATATAGTAATAATATTATATAATTATTTTATATCTTTAATAAAAGTCTAAACCTTTAAATATTTATTCCTAGTAAGTTCTCTTAAATAGAGTTTCTTTTAATATATTTAAGTAGTTTAATAAAGTAATTAAAAAGTAGTTAAGCTAGTAGAAAAAGAGTGTTTAAATAGTTAAAAGTATAGTATATATAATATATAAAGTAAATAAAAAAGGTCTATATTTAGTTAGTAACCCCTAAAGGTAATAATAGTAATAATAAAGTTAAATTTAAAGTTAAAAATAAGGTCTAAATACCCTTTAATTCACTACTTCTTACTTAGATATATATTTAAGGTACTTTTTAGGTGGAATCTATTAGAAAAGTAATAAGGTTAGTATATATAGGTTAAAAAAGGAGCGATATAATGGTATGTGGCCGAATAACGTTTATTACCCCTGTGGAGGTGTAAAGGCTTGCAGGCCGAGTTAATCGTCCGGGACGATGGGTACTCGATCGCGCTAATGCACGTCTTGTGTCTTGGCTTCCTAATGCAGAATGGTGAGAAGCTTCTTGCGCAAGGAAATGCTGACAAAGAGAGGGAAGGCGTGGGCAATGACAAGTAGTCTAGTGCTCAAACTGTCGTCCAACGGCTCAGCCTCAAGTCTACCATACAATGACGAAGGAACTCGACTGGCACATTTTCCGTTCCCCCTAACGCAAACCTCTCCTCAAAAGCTTGGTCTGCTGCAGGGGACAACAATTGCACATACTATGTATGGATTGCCAATGTCTATCCGAACATACCCAGCCTGCATGTGACACAGTGTACACAGTACAAGAGTAGCCTACGTTATGATAGACTCGGTCCCGGTTCGGCTCAACGCGCCCCCGCCTTCGAAACCGTGTCACAGCTGCCGTCGGAAGCGATTGAGATGTGACCGGTCCATCCCCGAATGTCAAAAGTGTGTCAGCAAAGGGGAGAAATGTCTGGGCTATGGGAACTTACTCCGATGGACGAACTCTGTGGCCGTCAGGGGCAATCTTGCGCACCAGATATCACAACACCAACGCCAATGCCTATCCAAAGATGCCATCCTCTCACATGATAGTCTGCCAGCGAGGCGGCAAAGGGTAGAGACGGGAATACAGCCTCTCCAACTTCCCCTAATTGATCCTTTGCTGGTCAACCTCGGACCGCAACACCGGGAGTATATCGGCCACTGTGAGTCGCATCAATCAGATATATATTCTATTCAAGAGGCAGCCTTGCAACTCCAATGTCTGACTGTCATCAAAAGTCGAGCGATCCGTCTGTAAGGATCTAGTCTCTTTTGACCACCAGGACTCCTACAACCCGTTCCGCTTCATACTCTCCCTGATAGATAACTTCGACTACATCCGGGAGATCACGCTCGCAACATCCGCCGTCCACATGGTCGCCCTCCGACGGAGTTACGGGCTCACCTACCACAAGCAGCTCGTGGACGCCCTTAACGCCAAGGGGCAGGCGTATCGTCTGCTACGCCGTGCCCTCGACAACCTGGCTGCGGTCGACAAGCCGATCGCAATGGTGGCCGTCGTCTTTTTCATAAATTTCGACCTCATCGAGTCTGGTCGGGGCTCCTGGAAGACGCACGTCGAGGCGGCCGGGAAGCTCCTCAAGTCCATACATACCATGGAGATCAGGAAGCAAATACCGCCAAGCATCGCCAAGCTGGCCGACATCGTCGTGGCGGACTGCATCACGTACCACGTGCTTGGCTCGGCTTTCACCGGCTCTGGTGACACTGCCCTGTCCGCGTTCGAGTCCATTGATATCATCTCCGTCTTGCAGAGGGCAGCGCCTTTCAGTTACGGTTGCTACCCGCCGATAATGCTCGAGATACTATCAGAGGCCACCCATCTATCCCAGACAGATGCCTGTGTGGGTAGAGATCTGATAGACAAGCTTTGTGCGCTCGACTTCAGGGCTTGGGTGTATAGCATACCGGATTTGTCCCCCAAGGACGACCTCGAGGCGAGAGTGCAAATCGCAGAAGCTCACCGGGCAGCAACGTGTCTTTACATTCTCCTCGCCGTACCGGACCTAGAACGTGATGCGATTTACGGACAGGGACTCCATGCGGAGGCCCAAACTCGCAAGGTCTTAAAACACTTGGCGGCTGTGTCGATTGAGCACGCCTTATCCAAGGGACTGATATGGCCCACTTTTATGGTCGGCGCGCAGACGGATGACCCCGAGGGACGGGAGTGGTGTTTAGGGAGGATGCAAAAGATATGGGTGGCCAGCCCCTTCATCTGTCCTTGGGGCTATATCGAGACTGCTATGACCATGATGCAGCGTGTGTGGGAGTCGAAAGACGCAAAGTCAAAACTCGATAGCCACACTAGCACAAGTTGGCTACAGGACCTTAAGGGGTTCCCTGACCATGTGTTGATTGTGTGAGACTAAAAATCTGGTATTTGAACGTCACGGAGAAGAGAAGCTTCATAGAATAGAGGATTTATCGTGAACTCAGAAAGCGACTGGTGTGATCTGGTCACATGCAGCTGACTGCTCCCTGAGGTCGACGATCCACGATGGCGAGAGGTCCTTGATATACTTCCATTTACACTTCCACACACTGTATGTTTTTTTAAAACTCTGGGTCTTGAGCGTTTACCCTCATATAATGGCTCTATACATGTCTTTAGACGTATATGGAATAGAAGTAAACCACATAAAATAATTTCAAACATTAATAAATACATAAGACCTAGATCTTATTTCAAAAAATAATATTAATAGTAGTAGCAAACATATATAATCATGGTCTTATAATATATAGATAAGGCTAAGAGGTACTATTTTAATAGTAGTGTTAACTAGAATGCTATTAAGGTAATCATACGGCAAAACTAGGTAGAAAGTCTTCAGATGGTTACTATATAAATGCATCCTGTAAAAAGAATCCCAGTTAGAAACTTGGCCCTCCACCACTACCAACACACACACACACACACACACACACACACACACATCATAACAAGATCCTCGCCAGGTATGAACCACAGCCCCCATCCAAGCACACAGCTAACTTCTCACGTCATTTGCATGTAGAAGAAGTCAAATTATTTCTCCATATGCTCAAATCTGGTCACCTTAGCATCGCCATTGCTGGTAACCTGACGCAGATCCTCCTCTTTGAGTACACCTGTTTTGGATATGTGTCTCAATAGGCCCTCGTCACCCTCGCGATGTTGAGCATGGCCTTTGCCGATAGTAAGGAACGAGTCTCTCAACAAAAGCTCATCTGATTCATAGAACACGTCAGTTTTGGATACACAATAAACCAGGAACAACATGGCGTGGCCGCTCAAGTGTCAACTCAGATATCGCGCACAAGAAATAGCAAGGGCGAGTGAAGCTGCAACTGATGTTGTACTTACAGAAAGCAGTGGCGAACAATGTCGCAGGTATATTGACAAGAATAGCTATAGGAGCGTATCCCATGTATGTGAATGCCTCTCGCCCGTAGAAGATCAAGGCGACGAGCCTCGTTCCCAAATCTCGACTAAGATTAGTACTGATTGTAATATCAGCAAACCCCCAGACCATGTTTCCGTATGCGAGGCCGATGATAAATGGTGCCGAGTAGGGTGATACGAAAGGCTATTAGTTGGTCAGTTACTGTGCGGAGCGTGGGTTGAGAGAAGATCAAATCGCAACGACCAAATCATAGTCACTAGCAGTGTGAAAGGGCAGCGGCGGAAGCGACTGACATTGGCTGGATCTAAGCAGCTCCAAATTATAATTCCGATAAAAGAGTCAACGAAGAATTCGGTCATGAAGACGTATCTACCCAATATTAGGAGTCAGCCGTCAAGAAAGTGAAGAAGTAGTTCAATGGAAATGTAGTAGGGAGCAGGCCACAAGGTGGTCTTAGCCTCTTGTAAAATATATAGCCAGTGAAGTCTTTGTCATGTAGGCTGAGAATAGGGTATATTTGGTCTTCAAGGGGAGAATATTGTATGTAGAAGCTGCTTACCCTAGATTTGTTTGGTTCGGATTTGGGAAAGAGCATAGGATTGATGCTGGTGCTCCGTTGGCCACAAGAGGCTTTCCGGCTGCCAGGAACTGTTCGTTGGCCGCTTGAATTTGTGGCCAGTACATGCCCATCAACATTAACCCTGCCACAAAAGCGCCAAATATCTGGCTGAATATGTAGTAAGGGACCTTTTTCCACGGGAATCCTTGCCAGACCGCCAATGCAATCGATATCGCTGGGTTAAAATGCCCGCCGCTCGTCGGGGCGCAGGTGATGATCGCAAACGCGATTCCAATGGCGAAGGACCAGCCAATCTGAAATATACTCCCAAACGCCGTCACCCCGAGTGGGTTCTCGAGATTTAGAGTGAAAGACGCGATGGAGGCTATCCCAGGGAACACATAGAAAAATGTGCCTGTTGCTTCTGCCGCGCATTCTCTCAGCCAGCGTGGCCGTGAATGTTCCAGGTCGAGGGTGCGCTGGGAAACGGGCTTCCTCTGTACAACTTGCCGACTGACATGGCCGATGACAGCTTCTGTAACGCCGATTTCCAAATCGTTAGTTTGGAGGCGATTGATTTGCGACATCGTGGATCAAAGGCTCTTTGCAAAGGTCGATAGAATTCTGACCAGAAATGTCAATGAGGCTGTGTATCTCATACACGAAGTCAAGTTGAAGTAAAGACTTTCATGAGAAAAGAAGAGGGCAAGTAACCTGGAAGAGGGAATGGTGGCACCCAAATACTGGATGCATCCGGGGGGGGGGTGGGTTTTCAGGATGGGCATGCCGTCCTCGAACCTTCCGCAACTCCGGCGTCATTATCTAGAGCAGGGACATGCCCATGCCTCGATGGAACCGAACGAGTACATACTAGCAAACATCACAGAGCGGCAATAAGATCCGGTATTCCCTGAGCGTTTGGTTGAACCCGGCAAGAGCATGCCGAACTAGCAATGGCCGGGAATGCACTTGTAGATGCATCTCAATGCCGAGGTGCCTAGGTACCCTTGGACAATTCCACTACATCCCATTGGTCATGACGCCGCAGGCCGCGGTTCCCACCTGGGGAAATAACCTGGGGAAAAGAAAGGGGATGGGGTCAGAATCTGGGGTCATTCATGCTAGAGATGAAAAGGACCGAACTTGGATCGAACTTGCCCAGACTAATTCTATAAATGAAGCAATAACCCCAAGGATGCTGGCGCGGCTGAAGGTTCAGACGGCGTGCTGACCTTAGTCGGACCATTGTCTCCTGGTTCCTCACTTATTTAGTGCTTCCATCTCGCGATGCCTACTGTGTAGAGTACGTTATGGGGTTCCCGGACACCCCTAGTACCCGGACAGCTGCCGGATTGATGAATGAGCTTTCTCGCATTTGTTGATATTGTTAGTGATTATGATGTTTGATTGGTCTGTCCGGTTACTAGGGGTGTCCGGGAACCCCATAACGTACTCTAGACATCTTGCGACTCCGCACCTGTAACAAGGATCGTGAAGCAATCCTTGGGGCCGTCCAGCCCCTTACCCCCACACAACAGGTAACATTTGAACCTTGGAAGGCAACCGGGCTCTATGGTTCCCGTAGCCAAGGAAGCTTATAATCGCCACCTCGGTCGCCATGAGCCTCATGGCTTCCAGAAGGTCTGGATCTTTTACTCGTTGGATCTGTCCACATTATTCAACGGAATAGTCCACATCTGGCATTCAAGTCTTGTGGGACCCCTCGAACGCTGCTGCACCAAGATTACGCCCCTCGGCGGGACGGGTCGTTTGGTTAGTTTTGGAAATTGCTGACCTGCAACTCTTTCACCGTGTTCGAATATCAATGCCGTCACCGTAGTGGCACGGATCACGACATGAAGCGATTACACCGGGTTTTACATTAAGTCCGATGCAAGAGCCTCCTACGACCGTATGACCCCGCTTCCCCCTTGGACCGGTTAAATAGCTGCGGCAGTGGAATTTCCAAATCGTGCGAGCTTGTAAATCTGGGAAAGTCCACTCCATTATCTTCGTACTTGAGCCTTTGGCTACCTAGGTATAGACAAATTGTTTGCAATCATGGCGCAAATGCCGATACCCCCCAAGCTCAAAGAGAGTCTATCAAACTCGAAATGCGAATACCGTTACCTCGGGAAAAGTGGCCTTCGTGTGTCAGTGCCAATCTTTGGTTGTATGAGCTTCGGTGACCCGAGGACTCTCCCATGGGCTATTGGCGAAGAAGAGGTGAGCCCATGAACTATTCGCCTTGGCCTACGCCATCCACTGACCTCCTCAGGCACTGCCGCTGTTGAAGAAGGCCTATGACGAGGGGCTGAACACCTGGGACACCGCCAACGTCTACAGCAATGGTGTGAGTGAAGAAATCATCGGGAAGGCCATCAAGAAGTATAGCATCCCGCGACACAAGATAGTCATCCTTAGCAAGTGCTACGGAGCCGTCGCTGAAGACCCCGAGGGTCGCTACGTCTTCCAGCGGGACCAGTTCCAAGCATCGAAGGACTACCAGAACCAATTCGGACTGGGAAGGTCGGCCATCTTCAACCAAGTGGAGGCTTCACTAAAGCGCCTCGACACACCGTACCTCGACCTGCTGCAGATCCACCGCTTCGACGGCACTGTGCCAATCGAGGAGACTATGAAAGCACTCCATGACCTCGTTCAAAGCGGAAAGGTTCGTTACATCGGTGCTTCGAGCATGTGGGCGTACCAGTTCGCACAGCTTCAGTTCTGTGCCGAGAAGAATGGCTGGACGAAGTTCATCAGCATGCAGGTTAGTTCGAGTTGACTCGCTCCAGGGCTGCTTTCTACCTTTCAATGGCTTACACTTCTTGAATTAGAACCACTACAACCTTCTATACCGAGAAGAAGAGCGCGAGATGAACCGCTTCTGTGACGAGACTGGCGTCGGCCTCATCCCCTGGGCGCCTTTGTGCCGTGGTCATCTCGCGCGTCGACCGGATGAGTTTGGCTCAACGGAGCGGAGCAAAGGAGAGAAAGCCAATTCCGAGATTCCTGCGACGGACCTAGCCATCATCAAGCGGGTGATCGAGATAGCCGAGAAGAAAGACTGGCCTATGGCGCATGTATCGCTGGCCTGGATCAACGCAAAGGTTGCCAGCCCGATCATAGGCTTTAGCACGGCGGAGAGAATTGACCAGGCTGTCACTGCCAAGGGGAAGGTGCTGAGCGAGGAGGAGGTCAAATACTTGGAAGAACTATACGAGCCCAAGAAGATATCGGGCCATTGAGCGCTTGACCGTTTTCGTGCTGCTCTGGTAAAACGTTCGGTACATATAACAGGTACCACCCGTCTCGGAGGCTAAGTATACATGGATATTTGTGTTGTACAGAAAACCTACAAAGTCGGCTTGGATGGAGGAAATCAGATTTTATGGCTATGAATGCAATCCTTGGGTGGCTCTTCCTTCCCATGATTTTGGTGTATTTTCAAATTCTCTTGAATGTGAACGAACATTTCCAGGGCCATATTTCTTGCCAAGAAGAAGACAGGCTCGGCAGATCACGGCGTCAGAGCTTTAGTAGTGTTAAACGTCCTTCGAAGCCCTCAGATGCTAACTTCATGAGGAAAGAGGTCATCTGCCGCAAAGCCCAACCCGACTGCCCGCGTTGTAACGGCACGACCATATTGACTACACTCTGAAATTCAGAACGTTCTGAAATTCTGTACATTTTGGTAAGAACACGGCGTGGCTATAGTGTAGCGGTTACTCCCCGTGACACTCATCCGAAGTTGGTTCTAGAGCGTTACATACCCTCCCACCTACCCCATAGCCGTCTACTAGCTCACACAATATACTAGATAGAGCCTCACATGTGTTTATCCCTTGTAATAAATTGAGATAATTACTAGTCTAAAACTAGTAGCCTAGACATTAAAAGGCCCTCAAGTCCTACTAGACTACTTTAAGGACTTGTAGCACGCATCTATAATGATCAACACTAGGTGGTAGGCCGACACCTAGTAGCACACAAGCAGAAAGATCCCTTGTGTTGATAGTACGATAGGTCGGCCTTCAGCAGGTCGTCACCTAACCTCTTGCAAATAACTGCCTGATGCGCATCTGCCGTGTCATTGGATGAACCCTGATACCCTATTCGTCTGAACTGTAAGGCTAAGCAAACTGTCCTTGGTCTGACACATCTTCAATTGGCCGAGATCTTGCCAAGTTCGAGCAGCTTTTAGCCTCTACATAATACCGTCTAAGAAGCCATTTCCCTCATTTCTTCATTCTATTCAGAGCCAGACCTGAGATCCCACATCTAATCTGATACACCAGAGCACATGGTATAAATGAGCCGTACCTGGAGATGACTCCGGACCGGTCAGCCCCCCTGTGATTCAGGCCTTGGGTACCAGGATGACTGTTGTTTGAATCCAGAACTTGCAATGTTGATAGGACTGATGACTGAAAATGAGGAGTGTTGTGATTAACAGCTCCACCCATTGCAATTCTGAGCATTGCACAGGTGCAACACCGAAACTTTTGGGACAAGTGATGCAGTACATGGTAAATGTATTTTGAGGGTGACTTTGCTGCATGAGGGGGCTGTATTCATGGTTGTGAGGAGATCTGAGAGATGTTCGCGAGTCAGCTGGTTTAGCGTTTTGGGAATAGAGGCAAACATGAAATGGGGACGTGGCGCAACGGTAGCGCGTCTGATTCCAGTGATGGAGAATCCAGAAGGTTGTCTGTTCAAGTGCGAGAATTCCTTCCACCACTCAGTACACATAAAATGCTAATAAATAAACAGGTCAGGCCGTCCTCACAATTTAATAATCTTTTTTAATTTTTTTTAAGAATTAAAGATTTATATAAAAAAAAATAGAAAATATATAAATATAAATATACTTTTTATATTAAAAAAAAAAGTAAAAATATTAATTTTAAATAAGTTAATTTATTTATAAAAAAGAAAGAAAATATTTTAATTTTTATTTTTAAAATAATTTTAATTAATTATTTATATATATAATAATTTTTAAAATAAAATTTATATTTTTATATTTTATTATATATTTTTAATATTTTATATTTTAAATATAAAAATAATAAAAAAATATAATAAAATTAATAAAAATAAAATTAAATTTATAATTTTTATATAATTATAATATTATTATATTATATATTAATTATATTTTTAAAATATAAAGTTAAAAATTTATAATTATAAAATTTTAATTAATTTTTATTTAATTATTTTATTATATTATAATTTAATTTAATTTTTAATTTTATTTAAATTTTTTTAAACTTTATAAAACTTTTATTTTTATAAATATAAACTTTAAATTTAAAATTTTTATAAATTTTAATATATTTTAAATTAAATTTATAATTTTTAATTTTTTTAAAATATATTAATTATTTTAAATATTAATAATTTTTAAAATAAAATTTATTTTATATAATTATAAATTTAAATATTAATAATTATTTTTATTTATAATAAAGTTATTAAAATTATAAATTTAAATAATAAAATATAAATTAATATTTATTTATTTAACTTTTATAATTATTTATTTAATAATTTTTATAAATTTATTTAATATTAACCTTTTATATATTAACTAAATATTTAAATATTAATTAAATATTAAAAATTAGAAATTAAAAAATAAAAATAAAATTATACTCTTTTAACCTTTTAATATTCCTTTTAACTTTAATATTTTAAACTTTTAATTTTTAATATTTAATTAGTATTTAAATATTTAATTAATATTTAAATATATATAATTTAAAAGATTTAAAAGGTATATTAAAAATATATTAAAAATATATTAAAAATATATTTAAAAGTATTAAAAGATTTATATTTAAAGTATTAAAATTATAAAAGAAGTTATATTATAAAGTCTTTTAATACTAACTTAAAAATACTTATAAATATAAAGGAGTTATTAAAAAATAAATATTAAATAAATTTAAAAATTATTAAATAAATAATTATAAAAATTAAATAAATAGATATTAGTTTATAAAATATAATTATTTAAAAATTATTTTAATTTAATTAAATAATTATTTTTAAATAATTATATTTATTTTTAAATTTATTAAATAAATATAAATTAATATTTATTTATTTAACTTTAATATTTATTTATTTAATAATTTTTATAAATTTATTTAATATTAACCTTTTATATATAAAACTTATATAAAATTATATATTTAACTAATTTTTAAATTATTAATACTTTAAATATAAACTTTTTAATATACTTTTAATATATTTTTAATATATTTATATCTTTTAATATATTTTTAATATACTTTTAATATACTTTTAAATTTTTAAATTATATATATTTAAATATTAATTAAATATTTAAATATTAATTAAATATTAAAAGTTAAAAGTTAAAAATAAAAATAAAATTATACTTTTTTAACTTTAATATTTCTTTTAATTTTTAATATTTAATTAATAATTAAATATTTAATTAATATTTAATATATATAGTTTAAAAGTATATTAAAAGGTAATTAAAAGGTATATTAAAAGGTATATTAAAAGGTATAGTTTATACTTAAAATATTAAAAATTAAAAAAGAATTATATTATAAGGATTTTTAATATTAATTTAAAAATATTTATAAATATAAAAGTTATTAAAAAATAAATAATAAATAAATTTAAAAGTATTAAATAAATAATTATAAAAATTAAATAAATAAATATTAATTTAATAAATATTTATTTAAATAAAATTAAAATTTTTAAAAATAATAATTTTAATTTTATTTATTTTAATTAATTTATATTTATTTAAATTATATAATAATTTTATATATAATATTTAATAATATTAAAATTAAATAATTTATAATTTATAATAATTTTAATTTTTAATAAATTAATAATATTAATTTAAATTAATTAATATAATTTAATATATTAATATAAAAATATTTTTAATAATAAATAATATTATAAATAATTATAAATTATTTATATTTTTAATTTTATTATTAAATTAAAATAAATAATTAAAATTTTTAAAAATAAAATATAATATATTTTTAAAAATTAATTTAATTAAGTTTATTATATAAAACTTTTATAATAATTTTATAATTTATTATATTTATAATATTATTTATTATTAAAAATATTTTTTATATTAATATATTAAATTATATTAATTTAAATTAATATAATTAATATATTTATTAATTTATTAAAAATTAAAATTATTATAAATTATAAATTATTTAGTTTTAATATTATTAAATATTATATATAAAATTATTATATAATTTAAGTTTTTATATATAAATATAAATTAATTAAAATAAATAAAATAAAGTTATTATTTTTAATTAAAATTTTAATTTTATTTTATAAATAAATATTTATTTATTAATTTTATAAATAAAATTATTTAAAATAATTATTTAATTTATTATATAATTTATTAAATTAATAAATAATTTTTAAATAAAATAATTATATTTTATTATTTAAATTTATAATTTTAATAATTTTATTATAAATAAAAAATAATTATTAATAATTAAATTTATAATTATATAAAATAAATTTTTATTTTAAAAAAGTTATTATTATTTAAAATAATTAATATATTTTTAAAAATTAAAAATTATAAGTTTAATTTAAAATAAATTAAAATTTATAAAATTTTAAACTTAAATTTAAAGGTTTTAATTTAAATTTAATTTATTTTAAAAATATTAAATAAATTTAAAAGAATTTAAATAAAATTAAAAATTAAATTAAATTATAATATAATAAAATAATTAAATAAAAATTAATTAAAAATTATAATTATAATTTTTAATTTTATATTTAAAAATTATAAATAATTATAAAATTATTATAAAAGTTTTATATAATAAATTTAATTAAATTTATTTTAAAAAATATATTATATTTTATTTTTTAAAACTTTAATTATTTTATTTTAATTTAATTATAAAATTAAAAATATAAATAATTTATATTATATTATTATAATTTTATTTAATTTTTAATTTTATTAAAACTTTTTTAAATTTTTTAATATTATTTTTTTAAAAATTAAATTTAAAAAAGATTTTAAGTTTAATTTAAAATTTTTATAAATATTAATTTTTTTAAATTAAATTTATAACTTTTAATTTTTTAAAAATATATTAATTATTTTTAAATATTAATAATTTTTTAAAAATAAAATTTATTTTTATATAATTATAAATTTAATTATTAATAATTATTTTTATAAAATTATTAAAATTATAAAATTTAAATAATAAAATATAATTATTTTATTTAATTATTTTTAATTAAATTAAATAATTATTTTTAAATACTTTTAAATACTTTTATTTATAAAATTAATTAATAAATATTTATTTAAATAAAATTAAAATTTTTAAAAATAATAATTTTATTTTATTTATTTTAATTAATTTATATTTATATATAAAAATTTAAATTATATAATAATTTTATATATAATATTTAATAATATTAAAATTAAATAATTTATAATTTATAATAATTTTAATTTTTAATAAATTAATTTAAATTATTATAATTTAATATATTAATATAAAATAATATTTTTAATAATAAATAATATTATAAATAATTATAAAATTATTATAAAAGTTTTATATAATAAATTTAATTAAATTAATTTTTAAAATATATTTTATTTTATTTTTAAAACTTTAATTATTTATTTTAATTTAATAATAAAATTAAAAATATAAATAATTTATATATTAAATTAATAATTTATATTATTTATTTTTAAATTTTTAAATTATAATTTATTTTTTTATATTTTAATTTAAATTATTTATATTTTTATAAATTTAAATTATAAAATTTAAATTTAATATTAATAAAATTAAATATTTATTATTAATTTTTTTAAAATAATTTTAATTTTTAATATTATTATTAAATTTATTAATAATTTAAAATAATATTTTTATAATTATAATAATTTTTATATATTTTTATAATTAAAAATTAAAATTTTTATAATTTTTAAAAAATTTTATTTAATTATTAATATAATTTTTAAATTTATAAATTTTAATTTAAAAAAATTTATAATTTTAATTATTTTATTTTTTTATTTTTATAAATATTATATTTTAAATTTTTTTATTAATTTTATTAATTAATAGGAAATAAAATAGATTGATAGCCTTATGAATTCCTAGTGAATTCACTAGGCATTCCTATATAGTGAATCCACCGTGAATTCACGGTGGGACGGTGAATTCACTGTGAATTCACCGTGAATTTATAGTGGGATGTATTATTAATTATATTAATTAATTTAAAATAATAAAACTTTTAATTATTAAATTTAATATTATATTATAAATAATTTTATAATAAAATTATAATTTTTAATAATTTTTTTTTTTTACTTATTTTATTTTATAAACTTTTTATATTATAGGGGCTAGTTTTATTATATTAAAGAGTAGATACCTTAGATATTCACTATAGCGGTCTGTGAATCCACCGTGAATTCATAGTGAACTATTATTTAATAGTGAATTCACTGTAAATTAGTTATTTACTATACTTTTATAGTAAACCTTAATCTTTATATCTAATAAAAGCTATAAACTTATATTATAAAAGGTATGAATATAGATCCATAGTCTAGTTATGTAAGCAAGCCCCTGCAGGCAGCCAAAACCACGCTTCTGCAGGCGCCTTATGACAGCAGATAATAAGAAACAATAACCCACTTACCTACACCCTCAGACCTTAGAATCCATCGAGAATTCTGGTGTTCTGATATGTGGGTACGGGCAAGAATACACATGGAGGCCACTTGAGCTGATAAGATAAGCAGGGTGCACGGACCCACTAGTCGGTACTGCGAGCGATCAGCCCATGGCCCTGACAGTCATTAAGTTGAGAGACACCTACAGACAAGGGGCTGAACATCGTGTGCTGTTCTTTAGAACCTGCCAACCTACCTAAGTACATCTGACCTGCCAGACTTGCGTCAGACAAGTAATTCTCAATGTGGCTGTGGGAGCAGAGCCAGGTTATTGGATGCTGGATGAGACTGCCACTGGTGCGAAGAGCTTCAAAGTGGGTAATGGGTGTGCTGAGTGCGCATGGGGCAGCTCACTTTCAGTGATCACAGCTTCAGTCAACCACAGGGAGATGGTAAATCGACCACAACCGCCACCTCAACCAAACAAAAATCTATTAGAACAGAAATACATTAATACAGAATGTATCTAGTTGTATCATTACAATTTTCAAATTGAGATTTGAGCATACGTGTGCATGTAAAACCACGTGGTAGAGGCTGTTTGATGTACAAGGGGAAGGAGTGGTCCTAGCAAGGAAGGGTGTGGGAGCTCCAGACTGGTACTTACCTAGGTAGCTTTTTTTTGCGTCGTCGACAGATCTTGACGGTTTTCCCTTTCTTCAGCTCGAGATCAGTCATAGTATGTACAATTGCCCGCCCAACCAGACATTCATGATTGTATCCACTCTGCCCATCTACTCCCCTTGACTGTCACTTTGCACAGTCACATCTACCACCGAGTGGTCACCTCCCCGTTATGTCCCTGGAAACCAGCTCCTTGAATCTCTGACCCAGAATTCTGCACCTCTCTGCAAATTCTCGTACCCCGCGGCGTTATTGCAAGTCAGTTTGTCAAGTGACAGGCCGTCAGCTCCATGGTCCTCTGTGATCGAGTACTTGGGCTCTTTTCGCAACTCTGCTGGCGACTCTGCTGGCGACTCTCTATTGACCTTTTCGCGACACTTCTTCTCGCAAACTCTTCGCAAAACTGCTCATCGCACAACACCTGTCTTTCCAGCACTTCTCTCCAGCACTTCTCTCCAGCACTTCCCAGCACTTCTCTCCAGCACTTCTCTGCAGCACCTCTCGCAACAGAACAACATCACAACATATCCTCTACACAGCCCCAGTTCCTCTGAACTTCAATTGGAAGAGACTAACTAGTAATATATAGATTTGTGAATTAAAAAAGATCTCTAAAAAAGCCTTCCAAATTCTGAGTAAGTTTATACTTCCGTACACGTGTATCCGATTGGAAGGACTGACCAGGCATGGAGATTAGACCAGTCAAGATGGCCCCCAAGAAGAAGACCACCGGCGGCGCCGCCCCCCCGCCGCCCCCACCGCCGCAGCAGCAGCAGCAGACCATCAGTAAGTAGATCTGTACTAAACAGTGAAAGGTACATAGGTACTTGTACTAACAATCGATAAGCCATCACGAAGGATGGTGATACCATCATCCCTGTCTCCAAGAAGGAGAAGATGGCCCTGCTCCGGGCTGCCATCGCCGCGCCGTCCCGGGCGCACAAGCGCGTATGATGGATTTCCATAACCATACACAACACTCTCTCAGTTACTAATACCTTTCTAGAAGGCCGAGGAGAACGAGGAGGCCGAGGACGAGGACGAGGAGGCCGAGAAGGCCGAGAAGCCGGTAAGTTGCCCACGCCTGTTAGAAATTTGAGCTCGGCGTGGCAATAGATTGGCTAACTGAATGAACAGGCTGGCGACAGCCAGGCTGGCGTGCCTGTAAGGTTTTCCTCTCATTGCCTGACTGTTTCAGGCGACACTTCTAGTAGCTGAGCTGACTTGTGATATGTACATAGTTCCAGGGCACGTCTGCGAAGGCGCGGGCCCGCGCCCGAAAGCGGGCAAAGAAGGCCGCCGACGCCGCCGCCGCCGCCACCGCTGCTGCCGCTGCTGCCACCCCCGCCGCCGCCGCGCCCGCTGCGCCCGCTGCGCCCGCCGCGCCCGCCGCGCCGCTGCCGCCGGACCGGGTTGCCTCCTCGTTTGCCCTCGCCGCCGCTGCCGCAGCCGCCCAGGCCCGGGCCGCCGCCGTGCCGCTGCCCGAGGAGGGCGAGGACATGGAGTTGGAGGGATAGGGGGGGGGGCAAGAAGAAGAAGAAGAAGAAGTACAAGAAGAAGAAGGACAAGAAAGAGAAGAAGAAGAAGCCACTTTTGTGGTAATTTGAAATCCGTTCTCGCTACCTGATTCGGTACAAGTGAAATATGCTCTCGTGAATGCTGCCGGGACCCAGGAGAATGGGAAAAAACACCGGTAACGATATCAGCCACTGGGCGGAGACTGTGACGGTACTCAACCAGTGTGTGTGCTAATGGACTCTTCCTCGTCTTGGCCCACCTTTCCTAATGGGTGCGTGGTTTGTCTATTCCGTTTTGGTTGGCGGAAGCCCACGAGTTTCTTCTTTTCTTCGCTCTACAAGTCGCCTTCACCACGGTATCTTCATCCAACTCCTCTACACCATTCAAAACAAGGAAGGGTCCGTTCTTCTCGTTGCCAAAGCCACAAAACGGGCCCGCCACTGCCCCGCGCATCGAGCACCACTCGAATGTCTCCAGCAAGACGAATCTTCTAAAGGATGGCTCCCAAGAGGGCGTCGGTCCCTACTTGCCACCCAGCCACAGCTGCAGCACACTAGCGGTAGGTAGATTTACCCTGAGCCATGAAGTCTACTTCGGCTCATCGTTGTACCTAGCTACTGATAAGTGATTAGCCATCAGAGAGAAACGTTCGGAGACAAGCTCCTATGTCTCTGTTGAGGAGAAACCTGCACTGCATCAATAGGCTGTGACTTTTACGCGTATAAGTTCCTATGTGTGGTGTGGTTTCGCTTCTATTCCGTATACGTCCGAGGACATGCATGGCACCTTTATATGGTAGTAAGCACTCAAAACTGAACGCTTGGAAAGAATACGATACCAATAACAATAGTTATAATACAATAGGTGCTTATAGCCTCAGCCTTACAACACACAAACAAGGCTAAGGGGCACTGTCTTGACGACGGTGTTGACGCCGCGAGGGAGTCATACGGCCATAAGTTCCTATCAGTGTAAATCACAACCCCTGGGCCACTCTTCACCTCTATTTTTCCCCAGAAGCTCGACGACGACGACGAGGAGGAGACCAAGGTGAGCTGCCCACTCAAGTGAACGTGAGATAAAGGCCAGCGCAAATTCGCGTCCTGCCCCAGGTCGGGCAAGGGCTTTGACCCGAGAACCCGACCACACGGAGCGTGATACTATGGGGAAAAAGCTCGCACGCTCACGAACGAAGTTTGACGTGGTCAGCAACAGACAACCCAGCTCTCGGTCCCAGCTTCAGTCAATGTGTCGGATCGCGAGGCGTCTGGTGAACGGGATGCTCCCAGGCGGTCCATTCGCACCTTATCGCCCTCGCAGGAGTCCAAAACCACTTGTGGAGGCAACTGATCGGCTTGGATCAAGAGGGAAGTTGTTTCTATTTCCTCATTCTGGCGTCGAGGACCTGGATGAGGGAGGGGAGCTTGGGTGGCTCTGCAAGGGTGGATGGGGTACTTAGAAACGTGGCTGACGCGGCCTGGGCCTTGCAGAGGAGCGAACTCCCCGGTCAGATCCAACACAATCCTTGACGAAAATACCTTTTCTCTGGACCTCAAAATCGACACCATGCCATGCGAGACCAACTCTCAACCCCCACCATACACCAAGGCGAAGCTACCACTCACTTGCTGTTTATAACCAAGCTAAAGAACACCAATCCTTTCGTCCATGTTTCTACCAGAGGTGCCTTGCAAGCAGGGCATTCTCTTGTAGGGACTGAAACCCAGGGGACCTGCCCCGACCAAAATACCAAAACACCAAAAAGGTGGGCACAAGGTCTGATTGATTATGATCGACTCCAAGAGGGATGATGACATATGCTTCGCACTGGAAGACACCAGGAAGAGACACAAGGAGCAGACACAAGGAGCAGGCGAAGTGTGCAACCCGACGAGGCTGACTCAACACTCAGACCAAGGTTCAGACCAGGGCTCAGACCAGGGCTCAGACCAGGTTCATCACACAGACAATCACTCTCCTCTCCGGTTAAGAGGGGCGCGAGCACGTACACCTTTGTAGTACTCGGGCCAGCCATCCTTACCCAGTCGTCGATAAATTAACGACACTCGCTCCGACGACAGATTGTCATCTGTCGGGAAGAATGTCTTCTTCGCCGTCGAGCGCTTGGCTTTCTTGTCCGCCTGCGACAGGGGACAATTGGCACAACCACTAGGACGCGAGAGGTACTGACCAGTCCGCACAAGGTAGCGCGGAGTGTCGTCCTCCTTGACCCAATCGCAGGAACCACACTTGACCTCAACGGTTTGGCCAGCGGGACCATCCCGAAAGATGTTCTCGTTGGCCCAAGCGGCGTTCTTGCGCATGGCGTTGGTGATGCTCTTGAAATTGTCATCAACCACTTTTTGGAGGTTCTGCCTGAGGATACCTCTGACATACTCACGAACCTGGGGGTCTGGCGAATTAGCAAGTTTGCCAAACGCCATCCTCGAGCCGAGGCCATTTCCCTGAGCAAGGGGCAGAGCAACATTCAGACCAACCGGAGCCAGTTCTGAAGAGTCTGCCACAGTCCCCTCGGGCAGCCACTTGATCAGGTCATGGACCTGAAGACCACGAAAGATGAGGGAGAAATACATCTCCCCGATGTTCAGAAACAAGCTGTCGTCACCGGACTCAGGAAATACACCCTCATCCGGCGCGAAACCCAGCTTGAGAATCTTCGCATTGTTCATCTTATCCTCGTCAACCTCATCAACCTCATCTTCGAACGCCCTCCACGCGCGATAGACGAGTTGAGTGCAGTCGATGTTCTTCGCGTTGCGTCGGTGTTCGTTCGCGCGGACCAAAATGGTGCGCGTACTGTTGTCACCGCCGCCGGCCTGTCCGACGTAGACCCGATACCACTCCCAGACTTGACGCTCATCATCCCACATGAAGATGAGGTACCAGCCTGATCGTTGGTGCCGGTAGTCTTCCTTCATGCTGTGAAGGAACTCGGGATCGATGGCCTTGCCATCGACCACACAGTTCTTCCAGACGAAGTCGTCAGCACATTTCTCGAGCAGGGCAAAAAGCTTCTCACTCCCCTGATTGTCAATAAAGGACTGGTAGCGATACTCCTTGGCCCCGCTCCTGTGGAGTCGTGCCTTCGCGAGCATCGCGTCCCAGACCTGTCGATGTGGAGGGCGACTTGCGTCTACCTCCACCTTGGCCTCCGCTTCCATCTTGAGGAAATCGTGGATGAGGTAGGACACACGAGCGTCCAACTCAGCCTCGCTCTCCCTCAGAGGTTGCGGCAGGATTTCGAATATGTCATCGAGCATTTCGTCGATGAACTGGGTCCGAAGTCTGCGAGAATCCTCGGGGCGCAGAGACTTGCCCTTTGCCCGGAGATGCTGCAGCCATTCAGAAACGTGGGAGGACAGGGCCTCCTCCTGCATGACCTGAAGGTCAGCGTCGCTCCCAATCTCAACAGACTGCACGGGGGCCATGTTGGATTGCAGAAAAAAGGGCTGGAAAAAGAAGAAGAAGGTTGTCAAGATACAGGGGTCAGTACAAAGTATTGAGACAAGTGCTCAGAAGTTGTATTCTCGACAGTGTTGAAGCGGCGCTGGAGAGGAAAAGAGAAGACCGGAAGAATTGCCTTGGGCTCAAGAATCTTGGGGTTCTGCCGCAGATGCGTTCCTCCTCTGTCTGAGAGGAAGGCGCACACCTGGCTTGCCTAGGCAGATGCGCGCTCTTTCCTCACGGAGTGGGAAGGAGCCACCACAATGACCTCAGCAACAGCCACCACAGTACCACAAGCACCGCGGGCCAAGCCAGACTACCAGACCAGTCAAGTGACAGAAACATGGCCGCTGGGTTGTCTATCTTCCAGCGTTACCGGAGAATCGTCGAGCCTAGCTAGCCCTGCTGGCCCTCCACAAGAGCACCCACCCCTTTGTAAGTGGTAGCGCGTGTAGCTTGAAGCCGCTGGAGATTTAAAGATGGGGGGTGGGTTGATGGATGGGAAGGAAGTCCTTTCCCATGCGGTAACGGTCCCCGATTACAGTCTAGGGCTACAGTGCAGCCATTCCGCGAGTGCCCCGACACCAAGCACTTGACCAGACAACTGGGCAGCTGTGCAATTTTCGGGAACCTGCTGCAAAAGGACCCAAGTGGTTCCCAATCATTGCATTGAGAGCTAGGAACTTCCACATGAGCATTACTATAAGGAGGGACCTCTCGCAAGGTGCTGTGTGTAGCACTGGCTGCCCAAGTGGTGACTTCACGTAAGACTTTGCCTGTAGCAATATGGGAGACACGTTCCTGACGCATATACGCCTGGGTACCTCTCATGTACACTTAAAATGGCTCAAGCATGCACAATAGCCATCCCCATCTCACTGCTGATGTCTTCGATGTTATGGACTTGTAGTGTGGTTTGGATGGACTTGGGTCACAGGATCCGGGGATCCTTGCTTTTGTGCCTTGGGCTCACAGCCACAACCAGCATGCACCAAAACAACCCAGATGGACAATAGTTCCAGTATAATCATATCTATTATATAGTGCCCAGAGCCCATGGACAATGTAGTGCAATTTCGTTGCACCTATGCTCAGTGCCAGCATAAGGGCAATTGGTGTTTCTAAGCAGTTTAGTTAGTATCTAGGTAGTCTAAAGGTTCTAACATCTAATATTTACATGAATTTAAAATTCTGATAGCTATTTGATTGTGTAGAAACCATTTAGTTGTTTCTATTTTATTACCTTGCTATTACTCAATTTAACAACACAGCCCTCCTTGAACACTAGGACTGTCTGAGTATTATCACACCCCAAGTAGTCGGCATCAGCTGGTCAAGGCTCTAGATAATCAGGCTGATTCCTCAAAAGCTTCACCTAATTCATGTCAAGAATGCGAGGCAGCACCCTTAACAACAAATGTGTTGGCTGCGGATCATCAGCGTCTTATTAGAGGGCCTCCGCATAGAGCCAACGTCCACTCACCCAGCAATTATGTCCACTCACCTAGCTTTTTTCGACCACTCACCCAGTATCAATTTTTCTAAGCAACTCCCTCACATTCATAAGTACCTTCTAAGTCAGCACTAAGGACTTTACATTCTCTAAATTTTCGATATTTTCGGTACAAGCCCCTCTAGACCCCTTCTAGCACGCCTTCTAGGCCTTCTAGCCTGCACGCATTCAGGTACCAACTGAGCGTTCAGATGCCAACTGAACGCTAGAGGGATAGAAGGCTAGAAGGTTAGTTGTTAGATTCAACACCATGTCACGGGTGATTTTATGGTGAAGTTGTAGTTCTTGATGATGTTGTATTGCTTGTTCTGTCCTGTGGACTCCCTGTATTGCAGGGGTTGGTTTTGTCACACTAAAGAGTGGATGCCTCAGGCATTCACCGTAGCGGTCCGTAAATCTACCGTGAATTTATAGTAAACCGTCATTTAACGGTAAATTCACCATAAATCAGTCATTCACCATACTTTCATAGTAAACCATCATTTAAATAACGGTTTACTGTGAAAGTATAGTAAATAACTGATTCACGGTGAATTTACTGTTAAATAACGGTTTACTATAAAAGTATAGTGAATGACTAATTCATAATAAATTTACCGTTAAATAACGGTTTACTATAAAAGTATGGTGAATAACTGATTCACAATAAATTTACCGTTAAATAACGGTTTACTATAAAAGTATAGTGAATAACTAATTCACTATAAATTTACCGTTAACGGTAAATTCACAGTGAATCAGTCATTCACTATACTTTTACAGTAAACCTTAGTTTTTATATTTAATATTAGTAAAGTCTATACTTCTTCTAGCCTTCTAGCGCCACTTCTAGCCTTATAACCTTCTTATATTTTAGCTCTCTAATATTTAATTAATATTTAAATACTTAATTAATATTTAAATATATATAAATTAAAAAATAAATTAAAAAAAATTTAAAAAAAGTTTATATTAAAAATATTAAAAATTTAAAAAATTTTAATTAAATATATAATTTTATATAAACTTTATATATAAATTGTTATATTAAATAAATATTTAAAAAAAATTAAATAAATAAATATTAATTTTTTTATATAAATTTATTATTATTTATAAATTTATTTAAATTTTAATTATATTATATTTTTTTATATTATATAATTTTATTTTTTAAATTTTATATATAAAGTTTTTAATAATTTTATATATATTTTTATAATATAAAAATAAAAATATTTTAATTTTTTTTAGGCCGTCCTTAAATCAGCTATATTTTTTCATTTTTGGACATTTGTGGTGTGTAGGATTGTGGTGGTGGTGATGGTGGTGATGATGGTGGATGGTGGTGGATAGCTATGGCACGTGGGGGCATGGCCGATCAGATTGCGGGCGACTGGCAGGTGGCTGCTTACGTATGCACCAGAATCCATTTCTTTTCACAAACTTTCAGACATGCAAGTCAAAATATAATGATTTCCACAATATAGTCACACACGTGATCTTGTTCATATTAGGACACCAGGACCGCCATTTCAAGGCGCCCGTTAATCCAAGGAGCCTCGCCGTAGTGATTAGGGTGCTGAGGTACTGAAACACTCAAACGAGTAAAAGAAATACACACACTTCGGAGATATCTTCTATCTGTGACATACACTCATTGCTTTACACAATGATCAGGCATGCAGAGCGCCTCCAACTAGATGCCAGTGGTCCGCAGCCGGTGATAGATGTCTTGTTACTATACATTAGACCCTATCTACATTCTTGACGCACTTAGAGATTATCGAAAAGCTATAATAGCTTGCTTGCCTTCCGCCATAATCTACCACACACTAAAGGCTACCATACCCTACCTACCTTTAATCACACCCACCTTTAGTTATAATTTACTATATAAATAAAGAGTATTTAAATAGCTATAACTTAATTAATTCTTTTTATATATATTTAATAATAATATAAAAATAATTATAAAAAGTTATTTAATTATTTAATTTAATTAAATATTAAATTAGATATTTATTATATATTATAATTTATTTTAAAATTTTTAACTTAAATATATTTTAATTATTTTCCTTTTTTTTAATTTTAATTTAAATTATAACTACTTTTAATATTTTAAAATTTAAAAGTATATTTAAAGGTTTTATAATAAAGTTTTTATTTTTATTTTAAATATAATTATAAACTTTTAATTAAAATTAAATATATTTTTAATATTTAGTTTTATTTTAAACTTTTTTAATTATAAAGTTAGTATTTTTCTTTTAATAAAATAATTTATACTTTTAATAAATTAATTTTATTAATAATTTTTAACTTTATATTTAATTAATTTATTATTTTTAAAGTTAAAATTAAAATATCTTTTATAAAATATTAAATAAATATTTATATATTTAAATATATTTTTAATAATTTATTTAATAATAGATTTTTAAACTTTAATAAAATATTTAATAAAGTTAATTTTATTAAAAAATTTAAATTTATTTAATTATTTAAATCTTTTATTACTTTATTAAATACTCTTTTAAATATATTAAATATTTTATTATTAAAAATTATAAGTTATAAAAGGTATATATTAAAAGTTAATAAAGGTAGATATTATATTTATAATATATAGTTATAAACTTAATATTTTAATAGTTATTATAGTTATTAAAAAGTAAAAGAATTATTTAAAATTTATTTTTATTTTATATTTTATTAATTATAAAATAAAATATTTTATAATTAATTAGTAATATTTATATTATTTATATATTTATTATTAAAGATATTAAACCTTTATTTAAAAGGTATAATTTATTTAAATTATTTAATAAACTATTATATTTATAACTTTTAACTATTAAAATAATATTTAAAAATAAATAAAACTTTTAATAATAATTAAGTTTATTATTATAATTAAAGTTTAAATAATATTCATTTTAATTATTATAAATTAATTATTAATACTTTTAAATATAAATTTATTATAATTTATAATTTAATTAATTATTTAACTATAAATTATAAATTTTAAAAAGTATATATATTACTTTTTTAATATACTTTTATTTATATTAATTATTAAATTAAGTTTTATTTAATTAAAGTCTTTAAAATAATTAAATAATTAATTAATTATTTTAAAATATAATTATTAAACCTTTCTACTTTTATTTATAATTTATTTTTAATTAAACTTATAAATCTTACTTTTAAAAATATTAATTTAGTTTTTAAAAATTATATATTATTATTATTTTTAAAGATATTTATAATAAAGTTATAAATAAAAGAAATTATTAAAATATAATTTAACTTCTTTTAATAAAAACTTTAAATTATAATATTCTTTTAAAAGGAAAATAGTTATTAAATAAATTAAAATTATTAATTAAAGGTATTAATATTATTTAAATATTTTAAAAAGGTTTTTAATATATTATAGTTTTTAATTACTATAATTAATATAATATTATTATTTTATAT